CCTTGCCTTGTCCTGTCCTCTGTTCCCTGTCCCCTTTACTTGTTATACCCTTGCAGAGGGTATAATGATTTCAGTCAGAAGTTTGCAAGGAGACGTTTTCTTGACGAGTCGATTTTTAATTATAGCTTCGGTTTTTTTCACATATTACCTTCTACTCTTGGGAATATCAATTTGTAATTATTTCTGAATTTCGAATTAAATTTTTTAAAAATTGGAAAAACATTACAACTATTATTAAATATTTTAGAATTTTGAATTAAATTTTTCAGAAATCGAAAAAATATTATTATTATTTGTAATTTAATAGGAATTATCTGGAAGGGTAAATAAACTTCGGCTGGCCGAAACTATAGCTTCCTTTCCCTTTTTTCTCTTTGCTCTAATCAAGGGCCAAGGGATGCGATCTGGCGCTTGTCGTTGATTTACGAGCTCCCCAATCATTCGGGACAACAAGATATACATATAAGTACAACGCACAACACACAAGTAACACGGTCTTGGCATCTCATAACTCGTCATTGCATTTGATTTTATTTCGGCGTTATTTATTTGAATTATTTATTTATCCTATTATTGGGACGTCGAACAAGTTTCGCTTCTCGCTTCCCGCAAGGGTGGTAATCTATGGTATCGCATTGAATCAGAGGGGTGTGGAGTAGTTCCTCTGCTTTCTGGGGATACCACGCCCCGCAAATTTAACATTACTGACCGTTCCGTTTCCCTCGCATGAATATTCGTAATATTCGCCCCAGCATATGTCCATTTGCGTGTCCTGGGTGTCCTGTGTGTCCTGTGGGCAGTGCCAATCAATAATGCCGACTGGATAAAGATTTATAGGTTTTGCATTTGCCCACCGCACGCACCACACACCACTCCTTCCACAATTATGCCGCCCCACCCGAAATATCCAAACACCCAAAGGAAACCCACACACACTCACTCACTCCTCAAAGGACGAAGGACGAATTTCTGCCATATTTCTGCCCCGACCAGATGGGACACACTGCTTTTGGGAGGCAGGCCAACTGCCTTGCCAACTGGTAATTACAAATAAGAATAAGTGAGCAGTTATTCATCCCGGAGATACAGATACGAGTACGAGGGCCAAGCAAACGGCTTATCCCACCGCCGAATTTATCAAGTGAACGAACGGGATTATTAATGAGCTGGGTGGAATGGGAATGGTCAAAGGAGGTCAATCATAGGTGTTATAATGACTATTGCTAAATAAAAAGATACATATTTAATTTAGCGACTAGTTTTCCCGTGACCACAATTGCTCTTCATAAATTCCTCATTTCAAGAGTTGGATATAATAAATACTTAAACATATAAAATATAATTTTAAGCTACTCCATACTCCATTTAATCTAAGTAGCTAAAAGGGAAATCTTAAAAGTTATTATATTATAAAGTTCAACCTTTTTAGAGAAATATTAAATCAAATTTTTATTGGATTGAGAACATTTGTACTCAATATCAGAACAAAATGGTGAGAGGAGAAAAGCACATTTAAGCACATTTCCAACTCAGATATGAGAATGTCAAATTTCTCTCTGTGTATAATTGCTTTAAATACTTAAAATACTTACTTAAAATACTTTTGGAAAGCGTGTCTTATAATCAAAAAAATAAAAATAAAAGGTAATTTTTATTTTTGAAATTAAAAGCACATTATTTAAATTAAACTTATAAATTGGCTTGTGATACCAAATACACTCCCAAAAAATTTGAAACAAATCCTAAAGATTCTTTAAAGATTAGATTAGCTCCCTTCGGTTCTGTGTTTCCCCCTTCCCTTTGCCATTCGAAGCCACTCCATCAATTAAAGGCATCCAACTTCTGCTCCCCAGGAGCGTTGACACTCTAATAGGGAGGCGGAATTTTTATAGGTTTCTTTATGTCGCTTGGTTGCTCGTACCTTGGTTGCCTAATTACGTGCCAGTCTACTTCCACTCAGGGCAGACAAATAAATTTTCGGTGATTTGTTGACATGTATGGGGCTACGAAAAGGCATTACTTTCCTTTCCCCACAATAAGAAATAAGGAATAAGAAACTAGAGCGAATTTAACTATTTGGCGATTGCTGAATTGCTGCCTCCGTCGTACTTTATGTCCCATCAAAGTACGCCTACTCCATAAGGTGAGAGGTCCATAAGGTCAGGATGGGATACCCGGGATACTTGGGATATCCTGAAGGCGGAAGTGGAAATGCTGGCTGGACCGACCATACAGGCCATAAAGAAAAACTTCATTTACTCGCAGGGAAATAAATCTTTTAATGCACATCGGAGAGTCGTTATTCGGGCATTGTTTTCTCATTTGCCACAACACCTCCCCAGAAATCATGAGGCATATATGTCGTGCCTTTGGCCCATCGAGCTCCTCCCGCCCCCCCATTTACGGGACCAAAGGTACAGGACCAAAACCATCCAGACCCAAACCCAAACCCGACTTCCCTGTCAGAGCAAATGAACGTTGAATGGCTATTTCAATGATTCTAATTATGGAGCCGCCCGGCGCAAAAGTTTGTTAAGTATCGCGTGCATCATTGTTATTGTTTTTCTTGCCAAACCCGAGATCCACAAAAGCAGACCGAATTGCCCTGTTTCTTGGTGTTACGATAGCGGGCAAAAAAATAGGTTTGAAAGTCTGAAAGGATCTGATGGAACATTTAATCGTAGATGAATAAATAAATTTAAAAACTTATTGGAATTCAAAGACAGCATAATAATTATAACAAAAATTTTTTTGCAACTTTTCCTTTTAAATCAATTAAAAGGGTTAAAAAAAATTTAAAGAAAACATAATATTTCGAAATGGTTATCCCAATTTTAATTGAATTCTATCAAACCAAAACTAAATTTCCTAAGAGCCGAAAATTAAATAAAAAATATTTAACCATTTTTACAAGTCTTTATAAACAAGGATCTTGAATAAAAATAATGCTATCAAGCAATTCTTTACAATTGGTATATATTATCTTGACCCGTGCTGTGGGAATCCATCCTCGCCTGCAACATTTCATTCGATGGGTGGTGCGCGCTCATTAGGTGGCCACCCCTTCCACTTCCAATTCCATCGCAAGTCCTTCGCATCGTCATGCAAAATGTCCCACAAGGACGGCAATTGTCCTGTGTTCGTAAGTGTGTGTGGGTGCGTGGGTGTTTGGGTGTGTGCATGTGTGCGTGGCTGTGACCTGTGAAAATGTCCGTGTCAAGTTGTGAGTAATAACACGGAAATGCCGAGGAAAAGGACAACGAAAGCTCAGCTCGTAAAATGGACAAACGCAGGAAGGACATCCGACATCCGTATAGCCATTATCTTACAGTTGACATGGGAATACTCTACGCCAACCTATTTCTAAAAATAGAAAGCAAACTTTTGTGCTACCAAAGTTTTAGTTTATTAGTAAAAGGAGAGAGTTTAAAATTTAACAATTTTTATCAATTTTATGATAAAGTTCTACTAAGACTTTTCTTAAAAGTAAAATCATCTATTAATATTAAGTATTTTCCTTAAAAAATAATATTATTAAAAAAAATTTTAAATACAATTTTCGAAATATTAACTTTTAGAAACCTTAAGAAGCCTTTAAAGTATAAAAAACATTTTTAAAGAGGGCAATATTTTGGGGTAATATTTTGGTTGGTAGAATACAATAAAAGTCTTTTGATTTCGTTGACAAATCGCTGTGCTCTTTGCGATTATACGTAGCATACATTTCGGCGCTGCCTGGCTCACAGCATTGGCAATTATATCTTTCGATTCTCCACGACAAATTTAGCCCAAAAAAAGGACATTAATTAGCCGTACGTGTTCATGCATTACTGAAGTATTTGTTGTGTCGCTGGTATTGGGGAACCATAATAGCTCTTTTGTTCCTCTTGTGTCAAAACGAAAACGAAAATGAGAAAGAGAACAAAACCCAAACACACATAAAGCTCCAGGATGAATGGCCTTTTTGATCTTCCATGGGAGTACGTCTGTACACGGAAATAAATGGCATAGTAAAAATAAATGTCTGCAAATTTAATTCAAAGATTTCTACTACATATTTAAATTGAATAAAAAAAAACGTAATATTTAATATTCATTTTAAAATATTTAAAGGTAGAAAACGTCATTACGTCATTAAAGAAAAGATTTTTATAACAAAATCAAAATTTACTTTATTTGTTAAATGTTTTATTTTCATATTTAAAGTTAAATTGAATATGAAATCTTTGGATTTGTTTTTATCCGTGTATGTAGGTACTCCAGCCATATGCGATGGATGTATGCATGTTTGTACATAATTACGAATGCTTCTTGTTTCCTGCAGAGACAGCAAAAAAGTTAAATTGCAGAATCACAAATCGCAAACTTTAATATCCCCGAGTCCGAGTCCCCGAAACCGAAACAAAAGTCAAAGTAATGGCGTTGCGTAATTAACGAGACTCTGGGGATCTCGAACCGATGAACGTTATTTTGCCTTTGCCGCCTCTTCAATAAATCCATATCCGTAAATGAAACTTGGTCAAGAGTAACAGAACTTGTGAATGGTTTTTATTTGCTTGAGAAGTTTTAGAAATTTTGGAATTTACTAAAAAAAAAATACTTCTAAACTTATTTTTCTTTCCTTAAAAAAAAAATGTAGACATGGAAATTTTATTATGGATTAATTTGATCCCTTTTACAGGTTATTTAATACAATATAAATGTTTTAAGCCTCGTTAGGAGGAGATGTTTTTGCATGATTTTGAATTGAAATTATGGAATGCCTTAATAATAAATGTATTGTGCAATTATTTTAAACGAAAAAAAAGTCTTACATTTAAAGAAATTATTTATAAAATTTTAAAAATGTTTATAAAACAATTTATAAAATTTTACAAATTTTTTTTTTTTAAATTTTAAATTTTTCTTTAAGTTACAAAAAATTAGCCCTTACGTAGCTTTGCTTTTAAAATGTAATATTATGATGGCATAAAAGTAATAAAATGTTCCAAACGCGGTGCTTAGCTCCATGGGGTGGCAGATACAAATGCTTTTGAGTAATGAATATTAAAAAAAAATATCTTAGTTGCTAAACAATACTCGTCTACAAGGTCATCTTATAGGTGGTGGTATTATTATTCGCTAGAGGTCGCAGATTGGACTTTAGTTTTAGCTTTTTATTCAGCTTGTAGGGAGCAGAGTTCCGATCCTCCGGCGGCGCACTGTCATATGGAGTGCGCACGATCTCGGGCAGGTGGGCATAGTAGACGATCCGCTCGTTTCGGGCCGGAAAAGTCGTCAGATCGGCTGGCTTCGAAGAGCCGCCGAACTTGCTGCTGCTGTAGGAATCCATTATGGGTTGCTCATCGATATAGCCACGACGCATTTTCGGATAGTCCGGGTAGCGATCGGGATACATAATGTACGGATCCGGATACTGCGGAATCCGCGGACTGTAGCTATCGTACGGATCGAAGCGCTGCCGGTGCATGTACATGTCCTCGAAGTACTGCGGATAGTTGCGATGGTATTGCTCATCGAATCTTGAAGGAAAAAAAAACATTTTGATAAATAAGAACAGAAATGGTTTTTAAAAGTAATATTTTTTAGCCTTTTTTTCAAAAGTATATTTTATATGCATTCAAATATCCAAATATTTATTTATTATTCAGTTTAAAAACAGATTATGAGAGCAATCAATAATTAAAATTAGAGAAATGGTCAAATAAGAACATTTACCGATAATTAAAAACATAAATTTCATTAAACCATCTAATTAAATAACTATTTAATACCTTTTTAATATCTATTCAATAAGTATTTAATATCTATTTAATATTCAATATCTATTCATTATCTAATTAAATATATATTAAATATCTATTCAACATCTATTTAATATCTTTTCAATATATATTCAACAAGTATTTAATAAATATTCTATATATTTTCCATATTACCCTGTATTTATTTCATTCACTCGACATTCTCATTTCCAGATCAATACACTCACCTGTCGTATCGTCGGATGTAGGGATCGTAGGACCGTGAGGGATACATGGGAGCATTGGCCAGCAGTTTGCCGGAGTAGTCGCCGTACCAGGGCAGTGGTTTCTGGACAACCGGCCTGTTGAGCGAGGCCAAGTTGCCTTCGCCGTGAATCTTCAAAGCGGATGTGGCACTGAGATCGTTGTCCGCCGCAGCATAGGAATCGCCATTGGCCATTCGCCGTGGAGGAGGAGGACCCAGGATGTAGTCGTAGTCCTTGTAGTCCCTGTAGTCCTTGTAGGCCATGGGAGGCCTCTGGAAACTCATGTGCTTGGGCTGCGTTGGGTCATTCAGCATTCCCGCCGACGAGGATGACGACGTGTCCACCACCACACTGCTGTCCCTCGCCTCCAAATCCTCGAAACTACCAGGGTTTGCACAAATGCAGGTGGCTGTGGTCAACAGGAGCAGCAGCGGCATCCAACAGCCCATCCACACTTTATTCTCCGACATGATGGTGCAGCAGGAGTACAGCCGATGCGATGCGATGCGTTCGGGCCACCAGATGGAAGTGCTCCACTAATCGCTGCAAAACTCTATTGAAAGGTTGGGCATTAAACGCTACAATGATTCGACATGGGCGACATGGTAAGTTGAACTTCAAAGCCGTTTGTTCTGGTCAAAAATGCTGCTTTGTTGGTCATGCTATTGGGGCACTGAACCGTAATACCAGTGCGTTCCCCGATTTCACCGCTTGCACAGAAAAGAAAAGCCTAATAATGTAATCCTCCCTCCCTAACTCTCCAGAACTTTTCCAAATACTAAATACAAGCACGACACAAGTTTAGTTACAACTCGACAAACCGATAAATCTGCCTGTTTTTAAACATGTAATTATGTTTATTTATTTATTTATTTTGTATATGTCTACAGAAAGAAGCGAAGAAGACCAGAAAAATAGCCTGGGCAAGGAAAAGTCACATTAAAAATGCAGGAGATCGATATCTGATCAACGACAGCTAATCATTAGCATAAAGAACGCCCCTGGCGAGGACGTCCAAGCAAAAGTCTGCCATGTCTTCAGATACGCGAGACTATTCAGAGGTAAGTCTTTATCTTTATATTTTTCTATCCTATTCAAAAATAATAACTACTATCCTTTTTGCTTAGTTTCCAACCATTGAAAATTGACTTTTCAAGCAGTCGGCCAGAAGACCAAGACGATTTGCAATCGAGCTGCTCGCCTGATTTTCAAGTAGGCCCGCCCGATTTTTAACATCAGCGATGAGCAAGGAGGAGCATCATTTCCACAAGAGACCGAATCCAGAAACGACCATCTCCATCCTTAAAGTATAAATATAAACTAAATTACACAACGATTTTTGTCATTTTTGGATTTCTATGTAAATTTTTTGAGTTTTCCGTTAATTGGACAAACTTATCAGAATTTTTAATTTTCGTTAATTTTTTTTCGACTTAAGAAGACTTGCTGTTATAAATCATGTTTCTATATTTTCTGCTTCGCAAGAAGCTTAAAAAATTTACTTTAAAATATTACATGAATTATTCCCTTCTTGTAGCATACTTTTGGGCTTCGGATGGTTGGCAACGCGGGCTACGAATGGTTGGCAACGCGGGTTACGAATGGTTGGCAACGCGGACTTTGGGTGGTTGGCAACGCGGGCTACGAATAGTGGGCAACGCGGGCTTTGGGTGGTTGGCAACGCGGCTTTGGGTGGTTGGCAACGCGGGCTTCTGAACATGGCTACAGTTTTAGAGTCATTGGCCAATGCTAAGCTGATCTTACAGTTTTAGAGTCATTGGCCGATGATACTGCGCTGTTGTTACAGTTTGAGAGCCACTTTTGGTCAAGATAGCGTCACATACTACCTCAATTTTGAGTTTCGTAAAAAACCTTGGTCAAGATAGCGTCACATCCTACCTCAAATTTAAAATTTGATGAAAAACGTATGTCAAGATAGCGTCACATGTAGGCGCATTTTTGAAATGAAATTGAGCTGAAAATTGAGCTAGTTTGTGACGCTATCTTGACACCGGTTTTTCGTCAAATTTTAAAATTGAGGTAGGATGTGACGCTATCTTGACCAAGGTTTTTCACGAAACTCAAAATTGAGGTAGTATGTGACGCTATCTTGACCAAAAGTGACTCTCAAACTGTAACATACTCTTGGTATTGCACAATGGCTCTCAAACTGTAACAACTGCCTGGCACTGCACAATGGCTCTAAAACTATGACTGCTTTACAGTTTGAGAGCAATTGTTAAAAACCGAAAAACGCAAAAAATCGACATTTGTTTTATTTTTTATACATTTTTAAATTTTATAAGTCTTAGGTCTATGTAAATAATAGGTTTATAAATTAGTTTGCATAACAAATTAATAGTATGAATCATTAAATAACTAAGGCCCGTTTTCATATCCTCATGGTAGGCTAAACTGAAGGTAGCTTTGTTAACCGAGAAAACCAAAAGCACGGAATTCCAAGGCTTCCAAGCCGATTGTATCATAGCATGCCGATGATGGAAAAAAGGCCCTAGGGTTGTGTTAATGCTGGATAAACAGAGAGTTCGAAGGCAGAGCTCGTTTGCGAGCAGCTGTCCCTGAAACGATTGTTTGAAATTCCTTAGTTTTGGCAGCTTAGAGCGACAAATGAGGCCACTCCCCAGGACCCTGTATCTGTATGTGAATCGGGTTTTGGGAAGCTGGTGGTTTTCTTTCTTTCGCTGACGACGATCTTTGTACCGTTCACGATGATCTGCTGATCTGATGATGAACGCCGGGGAGAATTTACAGCTGGATATGCATACGCGTAGCCCCTAGAAAATGATTATGTTCTGCAGTTGTGAGAGCGTGGACCCAAAGTGGGTGCTTTCGGGCAGGTTCTTGATTTGCAGCAACCATCGCTGGCACTCGGCGCACTTCCGCTGGCGATCCTCGCGGGTCACGTCCACGCCCAGGCCATTGGCGGCCCAGGAGTCGAGGTTTTCCTGAATGGTTGGCAAGAAGTTCGACAGAATAATGCGCAGTGTATCACAGGCTCTGGTAAAGTGGCTGAATGAAAGAAGAAATCAATTAGATTTAATGGATTTACCTAATCTAACCAATCTACTTACAACTTGTGTTGGCTTTGCAACAGTTCGTAAATCTCTGGCAGCACAAACATGCAGAAATCCAAGTTCCACGAGGACCTGAAATGGTTTTTTAATATGTCAGCTTTTCTTTATACATTTGAATAACTCTTTATAATCTTACGGTTTCTCTAGTATGGCTCCAAGTAGGTCTATGAAAATAGATTTTCCACAGTTCTTGGCTTGCCTCAATGCGCCCAGCACATCGTGCGACCTGAGAAAAATACACGCAATGAATTAAATTTAATGAAATATAATCTAATGCTTACCGCATGGAGTTCCTTAGCAAGTCGAGGCTGGACTGTCGATTGCTCAGCTCCTGCAGCACAGCCTCATGCGACCGCGAGAGCATATCAAAGTCGTGATCGTCCATCATGATGCGATTGTTCACTGGCTGCTGCATCTGTTTTTCCTGAGTGCTTTTGGCCTGGTGGTGCGAGGTGCGCATGTCCAAAGTGGTGCGCGAGCGCATCGGTGGCTTTGTGATGATCTCCACATTGATATTCCTTGCCTGCTGACCACCACCACCGTTCTCCTTGCTGAACTGGCTCTGCGGCCGCTTGTTCTTGTTGACGACATTCGATGAGGAGGACTTCTTCAGTACCATATTGTCGTCCAGCTTGTGCAGCTCCATGGAGCTAACCGAGGAGACCTGCTGGCTGAGCTTGCTGCCACCAAAGATTCCAATGCCCGTCGAGGTCTGCTTGGAGCTGGCCATGCTGGTTGTGCTCCTCTTGTGCAGGCTGGTGGTCGTGGTCTTCTTGATCGACTTGGACGAAGCGTTGATGGTCGAGGTGGCAGCGGCAGCGGCGGCGGCGGAGGGCACTTGCTTATAGCTACTGGTAATGTAGTTAAGGTTCTGATTGACCGGAAAGTCCTCGGCCATCTCGTAGTTGTCATAGTTGTTGAGTATCGGCGGATTGCTGTCGTTCAGATTGAACTCCAACTGCTGCAAGTCTCCCGCTGCCGCTGCCGCCGCCGCCGCCTCCTCCGAGTAGATGCTGTAGATGCTGTCCGGCTTGTGCAGCGAACTAGGTGGCTCGTTCATCGACATCAGGCGTGTATCGATGGCGGCATAGCTGCCGCCGGCATAGCTGGCCATATTGTCGGGCATCCTGGAGAACTTTCCCACCGGTGGCAACGAGGACATCGGCGACGTTTCCGCCGACGACTCCAGCACAGCCTCGTTGACCACCTCCAGACTGTAGTTGGGCGACGACAGTCCACTCTTGCTGCCCTCGTGCTCGTGCTCCTCCTGCACCTGTGCGGGCTTGGAGCCGCCAGCCAGGGAAAGTCTGAACTTTTGGTTGCCGCGCGTGAAACTCTTTCGGTTCGTCGAGTTGTGCTTGAAGTTGGGCAGAGAGTTGGGCGGCTGGTAGAACGGTATCACGCGGTCCAGACTGATGGTGTTGATCGCAACGGTGTCGACCTCATGGCAGCCACAGATCTATAAGGAAAAAAGGCGATGAATTTGATTTAAATACTATTTCATACTATAATCTTTGTTACATTTACTTACCAACTTATTGTTGACCACTTTCATGTCCGCCAACGTGGACCAGGTGCTTTTTATGTGATCTAGCTCACGATCCGGCTCCCAACCAATAACCGAAATGCCCGAAGAACTGCCCACAAAGAGACACTCGCCATTATCACTGAAATATAGTTAATGGAAATGTAAATTAATTAAGGTGTAAGATATTATTAAGATATTATTAAGATAATGCTAAAATATTAATAAGATATTACTGGGAAATTATTAAGATATTATCAAGATATTATCAAGATATTATTAAGATATTATTTAGATATTTACCTGAAGGTTATACACTTAATGGCCTGGCCATAAAAGTGAGTGGTCTGCGAGACGAGCTGCTGGTGCTCCAGATCGTAGATGGAAACGGTGCCATCGATTCGGCCGGCGGCCAGCAGGAACTCGAAGGGATGGAATTGAACGCATGTGATGGCCGTGACCGGCGGATCTGCTATGAATTCCATAATCTGCTTGCTCTTCCGTATATCCCAGATGAGAATGGAGCCCTCCAAGCCAGCGGAGGCGATCCAAAGTCCATCGGGCGAGAATTTCACAGAGTTCACGTGCGACATGTGACCGCGACACACCTTGATGCAGTTGTTCTCGTTCTGCACATCCCAAAGTCTGAAATAAAAAGTAAATAATATAAATAATAATCGTAAGTAATCGTTTTTTTTATTGTTTTTTAGTTGTAACTTGGACAAATCAAGGGTAAACACTAAAAGAGTGACTGTTTTGAGCAGCTAACAACCTAAACTAACGATCCCCATCACTTTTGAGAAAATTAAATTTTTCACCAATTTTCGCTTTTTTGAAAAATTGGAATTTTTATTATAGGTTTTTTGCTCTAACTGGGACAAAAATGGTCCCAAATCAAAAAGGCGCACTGTTTTGAGCAGTTTGCAACCCTATAATTAATATCACTGTACTTTTCGACTGATTTAGGAAATTTAATTTTTGAGCCAATTTTCGCATTTTTGGTCATGATTTTTTGCAAAAAATTTCAAAAATTAAAAATTTCTAGGTTGAAATGCCAATCGATAGGGAATTTAACTACGAGCTCAACGAGGTATGACATTCCATATTTGGACCATTATTTCCATTGTTGTGGCCAAAATACTGTTTTTTTGGGGGTGGAAAATTAGAATCTTGATTTTTTTGAAAAATTGGAATTTTTATTATAGGTTTTTTGCTCTAACTGGGACAAAAATGGTCCCAAATCAAAAAGGCGCACTGTTTTGTGCAGCTTACAACCCTATAATTAATATCAGAGCACTTTCCTACTGATTTGGGAAAGTTAATTTTCGACCCAATTTTCACATTTTTGATAAGGGGTACCATCATCATTTTTTGCGAAAAATGGCTAAAATTAAAAATTTCCAGGTTGAAACGCCAATCGATAGGGAATTTAACTACGAGCTCAACGAGGTATGACATTCCATATTTGGACCATTATTTCCATTGTTGTGGCCAAAATACTGTTATTTTTTGGGGTGGAAAATAGGGACTATAGATTTAAACCGAAATAAGTGTTTTGTATTGGGGTTTTATAGATTGTCTAGTTTGACTTTATGTTAAATACATAAATAGTAATAAAAATAATCCAAGTTTTAGTTTAAATATTTTACAATTTCCACCAAACCGGAATGGGTTTGAGTCCCTGCCAGCCTGTAGCGGAGTTCCGATCCGCGGTTTGTGTCTGCGATGCACATGGTTTTGTGGTATTTTAACGGTACTTAAAGACCTGTTTCGAAACTTATATAGGGAGTATATTTTAGTAAATTTACGCCAAGCAACCTGATTGAACAACGATTGCAAACTTATCTGGCGTATATGGTAATGCACTTTGTACCTGTGATACTCGGTTAATCAGTGCATTCGGGCGAACACCAGCGTTTAATCGTCGAGAATTGTAAGTGGAGCGTGTGTGTAAATGTAAATGCCATATGGGATGTTTGTGTTTTCAGTGCTTGTATACCCGAACTCTGCGAGTATTTTGCCATGTATCTTGTATCTCTGAGTCCGAACCGAACCTCTTTTTTGTTTTTGAACCATGAACCGTTGGACTTGGACCATACATATCACCAGGGGACCGTTCTTCAACCCAAGAACCCAGAGTTCTAGACACATACATATATATATTCCAAGGCGATAGCCGCCTTATCGCTGGTCGCTTAAGATTAAGGCGATTGAAAAGCACTCTTTAATAACCCAGCTAACCCAACGAGCTAACCAGTTATATTCGATTTCATTCGTTTTTTTGCAGCCGACAACGGTGCAGCGGTACCAGATTTCTCCATAACCGATTATAACACCATAACCATGTCCTCATCCGATGGCAAACTTCGCTACGACGGCCGTGTGGCGGTGGTGACGGGAGCTGGCGCCGGTCTGGGCCGCGAGTACGCCCTCCTCTTCGCGGAACGCGGCGCCAAAGTGGTGGTCAACGATCTGGGCGGCACCCATTCCGGCGAGGGAGCCTCTCAGCGGGCCGCCGACATTGTGGTGGAGGAGATCCGCGCGGCTGGCGGCGAAGCGGTGGCCGATTACAATTCGGTGATCGATGGGGCAAAGGTCATCGAGACGGCCGTGAAGGCCTTTGGACGCGTGGACATCCTGGTTAACAACGCTGGCATCCTGCGCGATCGAAGTCTGGTGAAGACCAGCGAACAGGACTGGAATTTGGTCAATGATGTCCATCTGAAAGGCAGCTTCAAGTGCACCCAGGCTGCCTTTCCTTATATGAAGAAACAGAACTATGGTCGCATCATCATGACCTCTTCGAATTCCGGCATCTATGGCAATTTTGGCCAGGCCAATTACTCGGCCGCCAAAATGGGTCTCGTGGGACTGGCCAACACGGTGGCCATCGAGGGGGCGCGCAATAATGTCCTGTGCAACGTGATCGTGCCCACGGCCGCCAGTCGGATGACCGATGGCATCCTGCCCGACTTTCTCTTCAACGAGCTGAAGCCCAAGCTGATTGCCCCCGTGGTGGCCTATCTGTGCCACGAGTCCTGCGAGGATAATGGTGAGTTATCTTGGGTTTTTGTAAGCTCACAAAGAGAGAACGCTATAGTCTGGTTTTTGTCCCGGCTATCTAATACCCGTCACTCGGCTAAAGGGAGTGTGAGGGAGATTTTTTTGATTGCGCATAACTTTTTTATGAATGGTCCGATTTGAAAAATGTCTTCTACATTTTGATAGCTGTCACATACTTTTGCACAAATACAATATACCCTTTTACTCTACGAGTAACGGGTATAAGAAGAATGACTGCGGTCACACGGCTATCTTGTATTGGGCACACGTCTATTCTTCTTTGTGTCGCTGTTTAAGCCAACAAAAATTTCATTGATCTTTTTGTTTCTAACGTTGCTAATCCACATGCAAATTGTTTTCTAATTTTCTTTGTAAATGCACTATCATAAGGCAGTTTTCCACACAAAATTATGCAATCTGCAAGATATAGTAGTTCTGAAGCCTAATCTGCATACATACATATAAGAAAAAACTAGATTAGGTAAACTTTCCAAACCAATAAACGGTTTAAACAGAGAGCTGCTTATCAGGATTGAATTCCCATTTATAGACGATAGATTACCACAAAGAAATCCACAATTAATCGTCTTCTTCTTCTTTGATTTCTTCCAACCACACAGGCAGCTATATCGAGAGCGCCGCCGGCTGGGCCACCAAGGTGCACACTGTTCGCGGCAAGGGTTCGGTGCTGCGACCCTCGCTCGACGATCCCGTGACCGTGGAGTATGTGAGGGATGTGTGGTCCAAGGTGACCGACATGTCGCAGGCCAAGCACTTGAATGCCATCGCCGAGGCCTCTGGCACGCTGCTGGAAGTGCTCGAGAAGCTGAAGGAGGGCGGCGCCGGCGGAGCGGATGTCGTGGAGGACACCTTCGAGTTTAATAGCCGTGAGCTCATCACCTACGCCTTGGGCATTGGGGCATCCGTGAAGAACGACAAGGATATGCGATTCCTGTACGAAAATGATTCCGATTTCTCGCCCATTCCATCGTTCTTCGTTCTGCCCGGCCTCCTGCTGGCCATGTCCACCGACAAGCTGATCAGCAAGGCCCTGCCCAACACGCAGGTCGACTTCTCCAACATTCTGCACGGCGAACAGTATCTGGAGATCGTCGATGAACTGCCCACCAGCGGCACTTTGCTGACCAGCGGTAAGGTCTTCGATGTCATGGACAAGGGCTCCGGTGCCGTGGTTGTGACCAATACCGAATCCTTTGACGAGAGCGGACGTCTGTTGGTGCGCAACCAGAGCAGCACATTTGTCGTTGGCGCCGGCAAATTCGGCGGCAAGAAGGAACCGATTGCCGGCGTTGTGCCGCTGCAGCCGGCGCCCAATCGCCAGCCGGATGCCTCGGTTCAGTATGCCACCAGTGAGGATCAGGCGGCACTTTACCGCCTCTCCGGCGACCGCAATCCCCTGCACATCGATCCCCAGATGGCCCTGCTGGCCGGCTTCAAGCAACCCATCCTCCATGGTCTCTGCACGCTGGGCTACTCGGTGCGCGCTGTGTTGTCGCAGTATGCAGGCAACGATGCGGCTCTCTTCAAGGCCGTTAAGGTGCGCTTCTCGGGACCCGTGATTCCCGGGCAGAGCCTGCGCATCGACATGTGGAAGCAGGGCAGTCGCATCAACTTCCGCACCGTGGTCGTGGAGACCGGCAAGGAGGTCATTTCCGGCGCCTATGTCGACCTCAAGAGCGCTCCAGCCAAGCTGTAGGCTATAAGCTGATCACTCTGACCATGGATCGTATTTGCCCTTAGATATTTACCATGTACATATAACAAATATGCGGATGCATATGCTGTTTAACTGTTTAAAAACGCCCCTGGTGGTAGAAGTATTTTTTTGTAACACTTTTTGATATTCCCAATAAACAAGAAATCAAAATAATGGACTTGAATGTGAATATGAGGTGTTTCTCTGGAGATAAGGAAGCTCTGGCTTGGCATTATTATATTATCATTTCATATTAGCTTTGTCATCCTGACAGCTTCCAAATCTAATTCATTCTTTTGTTTATTTGTAAACATTAAGAGTAAGATGAGTCAGGATAGAAATAATTCTTTATCGCATATTCTGGTTCACAAAAGTTGATATCAGAATCTTTCGTCACTAGTTTTTTGACCTCGTTAAGAGGTGTTTTTAATTGATATAAATATATGATAAGATCTGTAAGCCCCCCAAATGAAGATATTTGTGTAGGTTAGTAAACCCCTTGTAGGATCCCAAAAAAAAAACAAGAACAGCTAAAAGAGGGAGACAGTGATATGAGGCCATCCCTTTTCAATCTACGTAAAGACCAACATTTAAACGCTACTTTTGATAAGCAAACCAGCGATTGCTCTTGACTCACGGGCTGTTCTGATTATACACACTATATATATTATATATCGAGTCTTGGCTCACCTGACGGTCGTATCGTTGCTTCCGGAGACCACATACTCTCCCGAGGGATTAAAGTCCAGAGTGCGAACACTCTTCATGTGGCCATTTAATGTGGAGTAGATTTTCTGCGAGTTCAGATCCCATCTCCGTATTATTCCGATGTCGTCGGCGGAGTAGACAAAGTTATCCTTATACGCAAAGCGGACACAATCGATGGAGCGATTGTGACCAGTTAGAGACTGAAACGGAAAGGGTTATAGTATATTATATTAAAGGATTTGATAAGCTAAACGTACCATAAAACACTCATTCTGACCAATTGCCCAGAGGTTCACATTCCGATCCTCTCCTCCGGTGACCAGCACTCGGCCTGTTTCTCCAAGATCAAGACTAGTAACTCTGCTATCGTGTGCCTTTATATCGTCTGCAAGGGATAACAAGAAAATCAATTAATGTTCAATATATTTTCAAACTTAAATATACATATTAAATGCTTAATTAGGCGTAAAGTGTCCTTTACTTAATGCACTTTTTTCCTAATTACCTAAAAATCTACATATGCTCGTATGCTATTTAGTATATCTTCAGAATCTTAATTTGCATCAACTACTAATTATGTAGAAATTCTTAAGATTACTTTTATAATGTTCAAAAATAAAAAAGAATTTTCAAACATTGTTTCTAATTTTTAATTCCCCGAAAAGGTAATGCTATTAACTTTTAACCTAAGATTATTCACTTTGAAAGCTAATGGTGGTGACTCAACAGAGGTGATTTAAGATTTAGCTTTTATTGGATACAATTTTAAGCATGAAGCTGTAAATATTAAAGAATACTATCGTTTTTGAATTAGTTAGAATCAGTATTCATTAATGATATGGTATGATATGATATGATACTAGAAACTTTTCAGATTGTAAAATGTAGATCCTTAGATTACGTGAAATACAGGTAACCAGAAATCGGTTACAATATGTTTACTGTTGATTTCTGGGTAAGCGGGTGGTAAGGGAGGTACTAGAGAGGCAAAACTAGATATTGTATTACTTTAAAGTTTAAATCTCGCCTGCAGCTGCAAGTGATTACATACATACATATGTACATATGAACATGCTAATGTAAACATTATGTATGTGCACTTTCCTATTGAGCATTGGCCATTGTTTATAAGAACGCGTGGTAATGTTTAAAATGTGCAGAACATTGCATGCAGCATAAAAAACTACTATAGTATGCAAACACACACTAGAAGACACTCTCACGTACGCCGCAGACAACAACAAAGGCGGAGGGGAGGCCCATTGTACGTGCGTGTGTGGGAATATACAACGGTACTTTCGAACATTCGCCTTTACTTACAGATCTTCGATATCAGTTTTCTGGGCAGCGCCATAATCAATCAAATTGCTGTTATATAAATACACTGGCAGCTGCTAAATGGCCCCCGAGTGCCAGGTTTTTAAATAATTATTGTCTTTTTGTAGCAGGTGTGAGCCAAAGTCTGTGATGATCAGCTGTCTGGTGTGTCTTTGGCTTCAGCCACGGGAACGGCAACGAAAACGAACACGAAACGCACTGGAACGCAAGCACATTGGACACAACACCGTTATAAGCCTATAAGCCGATATCACCGCGATCGCATTGTACAGGGGACATAAAGTCTAACTGTAAAATCGGACAATTCGGATGGACAAAAACAAATGCAAAAACTATCGATAGACGTGTGCCGATGCCAGGGCCTCGGCGAGCTGCTTTTTATCGATAGTTGGGCTTAAATAGCTAAAACAAAAGTTAATCGTTATTCAAGTCTATTAAATCTATCTACAAAATAAAAATGATTGTTTTTACGTAAATTAGTTATAAGAACTAAAGAACTCTGCTATTTAATAAAAATGTTCTTACTTATTTTTTATATCAGTAGACTTGCTTATTATTAGCTACTAGAAAAACGACTACGTACATTATTTGATGACTAAGTAAGTACTATAATTTATTAATATGTATTTCGTTTTTTAAAGAATTAATACGATACTTCCCGTGACTTTCCGACGATAGCCGAGTCACGATATCTCGTGACAGCCCGAAGCGGTATTATTTTGGTATTTTTGGACGCACTCGTGCTGCGGTCACACCCGGCATTGCCTCAAAAAAGCATCATCATTGCCTGCGCTGCGAAGACTGAAAGGGAGCCGAAAAGCTAAAGTATTCCGCCAATACCTCTGCTGTTGAACCGAACGCAAAGATGTCCTCGCGCTACGATCGAGCTGTAACCATATTCTCGCCGGACGGCCACCTCCTGCAGGTCGAGTACGCCCAGGAGGCCGTTCGCAAGGGATCCACAGCGGTAAGTACGAGATTTTGCACGCAAACAATCCAATCCCAAACTTGCAACGACTTGTCTAGGTTGGAGTACGCGGCGCCAACTGCGTGGTCCTCGGCGTGGAGAAGAAGTCGGTGGCCAAGCTGCAGGAGGATCGCACGGTGCGCAAGATCTGCATGCTCGACCACCACGTTGTGATGGCCTTTGCCGGCCTCACCGCCGATGCCCGCATCCTCATAAATCGCGCCCAGGTGGAGTGCCAGAGCCATCGCCTGAATGTCGAGGATCCGGTGACCCTCGAGTACATAACCAGGTAAGAATTTGGATTCGAATTCCAGCAGTATCTCTACAACATTCTATATATTGCAGATACATTGCCCAGCTGAAGCAAAAGTACACGCAGAGCAATGGCCGCCGTCCCTTTGGCATTTCCTGCCTGATCGGCGGCTTCGATGCCGATGGCTCTGCCCACCTCTTCCAGACCGAACCGTCCGGCATTTTCTACGAGTACAAGGCCAACGCCACCGGCCGTTCGGCGAAGGTGGTGCGCGAGTTCTTCGAGAAGGCCTACAAGGAGGAGGACGTGGCCACCGAGCGCGGCGCCGTCAAGCTGGCCATTCGCGCCCTCCTGGAGGTCGCCCAGTCCGGTCAGAACAATCTCGAGGTGGCCATCATGGAGAACGGCATGCCGCTGAAGATGCTGGACAGCAAGGTGATTGCCGAGTACGTTAAGATCATCGAGAAGGAGAAGGAGGAGGAGCTCGAGAAGAAGAAACAGAAGAAGTAACATCCAGCGCTTCTTCTGCGGTGGAAGGCCTTCGCTTTGAAATGTTTTCCAAGTCGATCCGGCGACACAATTGTATTTGGGTTGCCCACACATTATGTCTGCTCAGGGCGGCAGATCGAGATCGAGTCTTGGAAAACGCTTCAAATCCCAGCTTCGGTTGCCCGAATGCACTCGCTTTTTTTTAATTACCCCTTTTCTATTCTTCGAAACTTTGTATAACGGTATGAAACTAATTGATTTGTATAAAATACATGCGTCATCATACATTAAACGGAATTTCTGTTGGACCCTTGAACTTTATTCTTGTTAGTAGGGATTTAACTATGATAATTAGAAAGGATCCTGGGTTATGCTCTTCTAGATGGAATTTCTATTGATTTCATGAATTGCAGAAAATTTTAAAGGTTGTTTTAGGTACAATATTTAACAAATGAATGGGTTGAATACATGACTACGCATTTTAGGGACACCCATTGCAGCCCTAAAATAGTAAGGCATATTTAAAACTTACATTTTAAATTAAAGAGACATTTAAAATTGGCGGGCTTTCGTTAATAACTCTAAAATTAAGAAATAACAAAGGTTTATATTCTAATAAAATGGTATTGCATTATTTATATATTTAAGGGTTAAATTAGCCTTGTTAGGTGTTTTCTAATGATTTCTGGTTCTACAAATCAAGCTTTCGCCTAGAATTATTGTAACTACCGAATGTCTGGCAACACTGTCATTGACCGACTTTTCCGTTTACACGATTTTCGGGAATATCACATTATAGGATACTTTTGTGGCAATTAATGTATTATTTAAGGAATCATTTTTTAACAAAGTCGGCAAGCTGAAGAAAGGGTTAAGGAAAAGCATAAATACCGGTCTGACAATCTGGCAGCACTGTTTTGCCGATGTTTTGCCATCTCTAGAAGATCCCACTATGGTTTTATACGATGTTTTCTCTCAGAAATGTGAAGATTTAACGTTTATCCAAGCAAACCACGTTGCATCTTAAAATTTCTGTTAGAAAATTCCTATAAATTAGTGATCCAGAACCGCCGATAGCCCCCACCAAACATCGATAGTTCACAAGCACAATCGATGTTTCCTTCGATGTTCCCGACCACTGCCACTCTCACCTCTGGCTCGTCAGCTATATCCCAAGTCGGAACGAATCGAATCGCTTACATCGCCCGCCGTCGTTCGTCGCCCAGTCAAATTTGTGTGTTGCGCCAATTTCAGCGGGGGCCAAAATCAATAATCTGGTTGTGTGATTTTCGCGGCTTTTTTTTTGTGTTTTCTTTTAAAAAACAATCAATACCCGAAGGTAACGTGTGTAGACAACTAACAATTCATCTCAGTGTGCGTTTGCATTCGTTGACGCTTGACATATTGGTACACATTTTATTATTATTTTACCTTGTTTGTCGTTTTCGAAAAATCAAAATCAAAAAAATTGCATGCGAACACGAATTCTGAATGGAGTTGAATAGGAATCGTAATCGGAATCTCTGAATCAGAACCGCCGAAAACTTTCTCGCACCGGGTTCTCGAAAAAAGGATTGTAGGTAGATTGTGGGTGTTGAGGGGAGGGGTGGGGTCGTGATAAAGGGGGGTTCTTAACCCAGAACGCGCCTAAGGCCTACTTACACGAAAGGAGTTTGGCGATTTTAATAGCCTAAAGGGGTAATCATGAACTAAATTGGGTTAACTATGTTCCGGCCTTATAGCCGATGTGCCAGTTACAAACCTCGAGGGGTTTCGAGCGCCATCTAGGTCCTGCCAAAAACTTAACTCGTGCAAAGGGGCCTTAATATGCACACACATGCAGCTCATCCGCTTGCACGCACATATTGCCCGTGTGTGTGTAAACTTTAAACAGATTTTTGGCCTGGCCAAAGAACACAAAAAATATAACACAAAAGTGCGAAGAGGAAAAGATGTTAATATTTAAAAAACACAACCGAAACGAAACGAAAACGAAGCGAATGTCGCGTGCAAACGACCCGCCCACCTGTCTCTTTACGCCCCGGTTTTTCACCTGAGTTCCGATCGCACACACTTATTTACATACCGCATTATATGTGTGTACATATGTACGTACGTTTGGATTGCTCAACACATGATTTCCGTGGAGTACATGTATTCATACAGTACATATTCACAAGATTAGCATTTAACGCCCTATTTATTTGCGCCAGGGTGTGTGGGTGCATTCCCTTGCTCCAGGAGCGGGTTCCAGGGGGGTGGGTTGATTCAGGGGGTTAAAGTTTCCATATATATAATTATAAATTATAATCAATATACGATAAAAACTCATTTTCATTACCATTTCACTTGAAGAGTTCTGACCCCCTCTAGTGGCGCCCCTGCCCTCAAAGACGTTGGCTTAACACTCGACGATCTTATTGACTAATTTCGACCCCTTTCGCCTTATCCCTCACATATGTACGTATGTCGTCTGTTCACCTCTTTCGTTACCCCTTCCTTACGCACCTTCGTGTACTCGCGGTACACACGTTTACGTGTACTTTTTAAACGCATTTACAGTAGAGGATAGAATTATAGAACTGATAATATTTAATTATCATTAACTATGAAATTAGTCCTTCCATCCCATCTAGTTCCCCCTTCGGGCATTACTTGTTTAAAATTTTTTTATTTTTAATAAAAATAATTAATACAAAAATACTTAATACATTTTTTTGGCAAGGTTTATATAAACCTAATAATAGATGTCCATATATTATTAAATTTGTATTTACAATGCAAAGGGATTCTGAATTGTTTTCATCCAATATAATAAAACGAACTTAATCACCTTATTTCACCAAAAGTGCAGTAAAAGATAATTTCTAAATAAACATTTTCGATATAAGGTCTTCTTTGATATGGTCGAAAGCCAAGACAAGATGATGGATCTAGTCAGTAGATAAAGTCAACGATAAAGTCTAAAAATATGGTAATCAAAAACCGCCCATCACATATACGCACTGCATACATATTCGGAACAATTGCATGCATTTGTAATTTAGCATTTTTTAGTTATTAACTATTATATTTGTTAATGATAAATAAAGAGGGTATACTATTAGCAGTGATAACATGTTTACTATATACCTTTAATTGACATCAAAAACTTCCTATATCAAAAAACAAACCTGTTAGCGAGCGATAGTCAGACATTCAAGGCCCAACATTTATTATATATAGTAAACTTCTATTAACAATTATTTGCTTGCAAAGTGACCGGAAACAAGCAGTTTGTCATATTTTGGAGCTTAGAAATGTGATCGTTGCCTCATTAAGTTTGTACCACCGGTAATTACTATCAAAAAAGTTTTATATTTGAAATAAATATTAAAACCACTACTATTTATTTAACAACTGCATTAAATAGATAGTTTAAATAGATAGTTTATATTAAGAGTTAAGGATAAGTGATGAATGAATGTGACTTAACAAGAAGAGTGCAAGGGTTTTGCTCCTTGTGGGTGGGCCTTTTGGGCTTTGGGTGCATCAGCTCATTCTAGATCTACTGACTGGGTGCGGTCTTCTCCATCTCCACCTCCACCCTAACATCTCCATCCAAAACTCTGGTTTCGGTGCGCATGAGTGAGAGGACATGGGCGTAGTATACTTACTGGATGTGGGTTGGGCTTTCCGATTTCGGTTTTCGGTTGGTTTTGCATTCGAATTAGTTTTAAACGCTACATACTACCTACTACCTACTACTTTCTACCTACTAGCTACTCATTATACTTGCTGTTGTTGTTATTGTCGTTCTATGTGTATGACCCGACCTCTGACACTTTCGTATTTCACATATATAATACAATAGAATGGGCACAGAAACCAAGAGCAACAGTTACACAGGACAGATTTCAACAAGTGGCGGCAACCCCAAAGTGATGAAAGATTCTTTATCCTTAGTTCGTCAGACGGTCAATCAGCAATCGCAATCGAACCAGGTCCAGAACCAATTGAATTCGAATTCAAATTCAAATACAAATATAAATACAAATACCCAAAGCGAGCACGAAAACGAACTGAATACGAGTGATATTCGACAAAAGCAGGAGGATAAATCAAGAAAAGAGGCGATTGTACCCTTTGTCCCCATATTTGTTGAAGAGGCTGACGTGATCCAAGGGGCCAAGGAACTGTTGAAGGTTATTCGACCTACCTGGGACCTCAGCCACGTCGAGTTTAAGGTAAAGTAAAGCTCATCAACAAAAGAAATCACTCCCTCCCCCATACAATATCATTTAAAACAAACTTTTTTTTATTTTTTTGAACAAAAAAAATCCAAACCATCAATGTCATATATTCTCTACTCCATCAGATCAGGGAGATCGTTATCCGGCCCAAAATGATGATGATGACGATGATGTATGTTTCCTTATCATTTATTACGATCACTAACTGGTGTGCGGAACGGGGGATAGTAGTTGCTAACACCGTTTGAACACAGGGTTATTGCACAACCAACCTTCCCATAGTAATTATATAATATATACGCGCCGTGCTGCTGCCTTGATAATTGTAAATAGACTTTGTTATATCAATGGAGAGACCCATGGGATTGTTATTCGAAATTAACATTATTCGCAGTGGTGTGTGGTGTTGGTGTGTTGTTGTTAGGACTGCGAGAGTTTCGAATTCTGAGTGCCGATATTGAGACACTGAGACGCAGTAGAAACCAGTTTGCTAATCTATAGCCCTCGACTCCGGTGGAAATAATTGTTCCCTGGAAAAGGAAGGGGTAATCGAAGGGGTGGAAGGGGCAGAAGTAGAAGAAATAGGCCTTCGTGCCAATTAGTTAGTTAGGAGGTTCTAATGAAATCGCACGACTGTATCGCCAGCAGGTGCATTGACTCGACTGTTTTTTTAGTTTTCAGTTTATAGTTACGGATGATCCAGAAACTGATACCGTACGGCTGGGTTGTTTTTTCCTTTTTAAGGGGCCTGATTTTGTTTGTCCCGATTTGATAATGGAACGCATGTTGAGTTAGTGGAAAATATATAGCCTTAAACAATTTTTTAATCACTTTTTCTCTCGAAATGGGGCGTTCTTGCCTTATCGGAACCCACAACGTACGCCTTGACCCCACTATCTGTAGAGTACTGTATACTTCACTGTATGCCATGACGTCTAATTGGTGTACACAGCTTGTACGTTCGTTACTTATCATTATCATTATCATTATCAGGGTTTAACAGCTCCAGTTGGAATTGTTGAGCGCTGAATCTTGGGCCAAGAAATGTGGTTCATCTTTCAAGCTATTCCAAATGATAATGGAATATGTTATAACACCCTCTTTTTTATAGTGAAAGGATATGCATACTACCAGATTTCTTTTTGGTGCCAGTCAGTCGTTCTCCCTATCATAAAAGCGACAAGGCTGTAGTAAAATTCCCCTACTCTGATAAATACTTGTTGAGGAAAGCGAAAACTGAGTTGATTCATCATGGACCATGACGTCAGTTTTATTAGAATCAGATTTTATTTTCGTAATAACTGCAAGATGTACAAATTTTTCTGTTCTGTTAAATCCATGTGCTCGGCTTTTCTTAGTTAAATATTTCAAGTAGCACCCCTACTACAATCTTAAGTGAATTAAAAAAGTTCGAAAACAGGCAAAGGTTGATAACTCAGAACTACTGATTATGATTTATTACAGTTTCATAAGATATTGCCAATTGTGTGGTTAACTAAACTCAATAGTTTTCTTAGATTAAAGGGATTATAAGTGAATTTATACCTTTGGCCCTGAAGCCACCTTGTTTTTTCTTTTTATTCATACAATGTACGTACTTTGAATATTGTGAATGCTGAATTGTTTAATATTCCATTATCTTATCGGTGTCTGTGTTTTTTATACGTATGTTTCAATACGAAGGGGGTCTTTCGGAGACGCTTAGCACGCAAATAGCTGGTGTCAAAAAGTTTATCACCCATGTGCTTCCATACATTTATATAAAAGTACGAAAACGAGGCATGTGGAGTCGATAAGAAAGGTGCCCCCTAAGCCCCTTACTGTAGCTCTTGAGCCTCGGCTTAATGAATGAATGAATTCTTGAAATAGTTCCATTGAATGCTACTAATAAACCTAGCCACCTTTCTACAGCAATTGGTAATAGGTGATGCAACACAACTTTCACGCACCTAACTAGTAATCATTAGTCCTAACTGAAGCACCTAACCCATCCATAATCCAGAATCCATCATCCATCTATAACCATAACTATAAGTAACACTTCATAACGAGGCTATATCTTTGCTAATTCTAGAGTTTTACCGATGGAATCACAAACAAACTGGTCGGATGTTTCCACAAAGAAATTTCTAAATTGAGAGATGAGAACGGCGGATCGTATCTACCTATCAAGTCCGAGGATCCAGTCATCATCGAGAAGGTCGACGATGAGTTGTTCACAGACCAAAATCAGACGACTGACGACGACGGGGCACTTGTACAGTACTCCGATAACGTAGTGCTGGTGAGGATATATGGCAACAAGACGGACCTACTGATAGATCGCAAGGCGGAGACCCAGAACTTTCTACTATTGCATACGTACGGCCTGGCACCGTCGCTGTATGCGACTTTTAAGAACGGTCTCGTCTACGAATACGTACCTGGAACCACCCTGAATACGGACAGTGTGCTCTGTCCAGAGATTTGGCCCCTGGTGGCCCGTCGCATGGCCGAGATGCATCGCAAGGTGAGGAAGCACGGGGAAAGTTCGGCGACGGTTAAACCAATGCCGATGATTTGGAAGAAGACGCAGAGCTTTCTCGATTTAGTACCTGAACGTTTTAGTGATGCTGAAAAACACAAAAGGTATGCCTTCTCTTTGTTCTGAATATAAAGCAAACGATTTAATCCCCCTGTGCTTATTTTGCAGAGTGAAAGAAACGTTTCTACCTATCGGCCGCCTGCGCGAGGAGTTCAACAAGCTATACGAATACCTTGAGGCTCTGAACAGTCCGATTGTCTTCTCCCACAACGACCTTCTGCTGGGCAATGTCATCTACACGCAGAGCCTGAACACGGTCAACTTCATCGACTACGAGTATGCCGACTACAATTTCCAGGCCTTCGACATTGGCAATCACTTTGCGGAGATGTGCGGCGTGGATGAGGTCGACTATTCGCGCTACCCGAAGCGCGAGTTCCAGCTCCAGTGGCTGAGGGTCTATCTGGAGGAGTACCTGCAGCGCAGCCACATTCAGACGGAGGAGGTCGAGCTGCTGTACGTCCAGGTCAATCAGTTTGCGCTGGCATCGCATATCTTCTGGACGGTGTGGTCCCTGCTGCAAGCCGAGCATTCCACCATCGATTTTGACTACGTTGGGTATGTGCCACTCAAAGGCGGGGGACTAGATGTAAAAGGCCTCTTTGCATATCACTTAGAACCCTATTAATTAAATCTTCATGTGTCTCAGGAATTGGTAGATAGTTTTACTGAACTGAACCTCATCATAGGATATACATATATGTTTAAACAAATGTAAATACATACGTAAGCATCACTATTAGAACTTTGACGTTTATGCGGACAGAAAGATATATGGCTACACTTTTGAGGGTCGAAGATATCATTTGAGGGGTTTGAAAACAATCTCTTTGACCCAGAAAGATATGATATAAAATTCTTGAAAAAAAACGTAAATTCTGAAATAATGTCGATTTGTTTTTTGTTCATATAATATAAATATAATGTTGTTTTCAAGCAGCCGAAGAATGATTTAAATCGACCTTACGATTCCCTTTACCTTATATTCCCAATCCTCCAATATTCATTACCAATAAATACTAATGATTCGTAACTTTCATTCCCTTTCTTCCCATTTAGCTATGCATTTCTTCGTTACAATGAATACTTGGCCCGAAAGGTGGAGTTTTTGTCATTGACTGCAGCAAAGAACAATAAGTGAAGTGATTTCTCACTCCCGGCCGGCCACTCACCGCATTGGGAGTAACTAAATTATGATGTGCCCAGTGATATATGTATAAACTAAGGCTGGAACGGGTGTCAATGTTATACATATGTATATATATAACGTGTGTTCAGAAATCAGAAACAAAACCTAAATTAGTGTCGTGTTCGTGCCAGCCTTAGTGTATGTACAGTGCTCACTCGAGACAGTGGACTATTGAAGAAACCGAAAACCGAGGGTGTGCACTGAATCGAATTTGTTCACTATAACGAATCACAGAAAAAAAAAATAATAAACATATTTTTAAACAACACGTTTTCCAAAAAGAATTCTTCGTTTTTTTTTTTAAATTAAACAATCATTTTTAAAGTTTCCTGAATAAATTGTTCACTCTTACTATAAAAGTTCACATAACCGAGTGTTCACTCTTAAGAGAGGGCACTGTATATATAAAGAATTTGTATATGTTCTTTAATTTGTATAAATTGATATTTTGTAGTCATAAATAAAGCGAAGGTATGTACTTTAAAATATAAACACTATCGATCATTTTAATGGATTACTGATTACTGATAGCGGGAGCTTATCGCAAATAAATGGGGAATATAATATTGAAATGAGAAGTAAGGACTTCCGTTTGCTGGTGAACTGGCCAAGTTATAAAAACAGTGTGCTTTATTTTTTTAATGGCTTTTATTGTAATAAAACTTTAAAACTTGGTCGAAAAGATCAGGAGATATATTTGTAATTTATTAAAAAAGGCTAAAATGGAACCAAACATACATTCCCAAAAATAAAATCAGAATTATTCGGTTTGATAAACTACAAGTATTTTGTTTATGAAGGCAGATTTTTACATGGAGTTTAATGGGTATACAAGAATTTAAATTGATTTTATTTACTTTATACAAAGTCTTTGCACAATTGTGGTAAACTGTACAGATATATTTATACTGTAGTTCGGTTGCCGTCTCCTCCGAGTCTTTGAACAATCTAAGGGCAGACAAAGGGGTTAAATGTTAGAAAATAGATTTAATTTTAAATTTAAAAATTATGGCAAATGAGATGGCGCAGTGTTGTAGTGCGATATATCGATAGACGAATCGAAACACAGCCGTGTGTGAATGGGAATCGATAGGGAAGTGCGATACGTTCGAGGTCCATCTCTAGCAATATAACCATACCTAAAATAAAAAGCGGAGGAATTCTCTTTCCTTTCCCGACTTCTAATTTTACGTAAACCATGTCGAACTATATTGCCAGGAAGGGACCCGCCGTTCTCTGTGAGTATTTCATGCGAAAGGCGAGCTGGCAGAGACTGAATAAGCCAAAAACCTTAGTATCTACTCCCCGGGGACTGTGATTACGTAAATATGATATGATGCGAATTGAACTATTTTTCCTCCACCACAGCTAATCTGGGCAGATGGGCCTACAACCTCTCCGGATTCAACCAATACGGTAGGACAAATAGATAGGACAAGTGATTTCTAGACGCTCATTAATTGGATTCATTTCAGGATTGCATCGGGATGACTGTCTGTACGAGAACGAGGACGTTAAGGAGGCCGTCCGCCGATTGCCAAGGAAGCTCTACGACGAGCGCAACTACCGCATCATGAGGGCCCTCCACCTGTCCATGACCAAGACGATCCTGCCCAAGGAGCAGTGGACCAAGTACGAGGAGGACGTCAAGTATCTGGAGCCCTATCTCAAGGAGGTCACCAAGGAGCGCGAGGAGCGTGAGGACTGGGAGAAGATCCACTAAACACGCTACATACGCCACTAAATCCGACTTCTTCTGGACTTGTAAATGTTGAAATACATAGCTTAGATAAACACCAAAATTGGCTATGAAATCTCGAGTCTCTGCATGGTCGTTTGGGAATGTTTATTCAGAGGGCTTTTCGCTCGATGAATATGATGAGTATTTTTGAATGAGTGAGACGATGGGCTACTTATGCACGTACTTCTAATGAGAGGTTCCATGCTACCTTACCTTTTGCATAAATGGTAAATTTAACAGCGATCCCAGGACTGGCACTCGTCCCAGGAAATTAATGGCCACGGGGAAGAAGCCGCTGCAAAGATACAAAATAAATACATAAGTTAAATTCAAGTTTAAATATAAACTTAAATATTATCATAGGGGGGAAACCTTCCAATTAGGTGAACAAACTTGGCTTAAGCAAGCGAATCTTTTGATTGGCTCTTACTCATAAAAAAGAGGTGCATATTAGAACATATTATCTTCAAAGTATGTAATTTCTTTAGTTTGATATTCATTTAATACTGAGCATAATGGCACAGTTTATTATAAATAATTATTAGCCAAAAATATCGAAATTAACAGCGATATAATGTAGATTATACTTTATAGGGTGGAAAACGAGTTAGGGGTTTTATTAGTTTAAAGCCAAAGCAGCTTAAGCTCTTCTAATTCATGTAGCTGGGCAATATGCAGAAGCCTAAGGACCATTTTCTCATAGTTAGATTTAAATTAGGCTTCAAGCACTGAATTCTCATAGAATTTCAAGGTTTACATTTACCATGTGCTCGAGAAAACGAGCCTAGGATTATCAAATAAAGATTCTATGGACAGGATTGACTTGAAGACTATGCCAAGACCATTACAAAGATTTATAAAGTCTAAATATGATACATATAGGTTACAGTAGTGGATTAGAATGAGACCTTCAGATCCACGACTGCGGAAGTGTGGACTGTGACCGGTTAGTCCGGGTTCCGCCCCAAACTTGGCCAATTTAAGATATGCGCTCACCTGAACAGTGCGAAGAATCCATAGGATTCAATAATCATGCCAATGATGGGGAATCCCAGCAGGACGATGACAATGCCCCCGAAAAAGGCGGTGGTGCCTTTGACTTTGTGCCGCTGGAAGAAGAAGCGCAGGGTGCGCTCCACGCCGATCACACAGCCGAGGCCCGATATGAATAGAATCTGCAAGGGAGGCGGTGTGGCTATAATTACAATGAGCTAGCGGATGCAATCTGGTCTAACGTACGTTGCCGATGGCGAGCAGGCCTTTGTCGAACAGCAGCAGCATGCCGAGAAACAGAAACGAGATGCCAAAGCCAGCCAAGCCGATGCCAATTTCTGCGGGAAGATTGCGGATTAGCCAGGTGCCTTTCCAATCGCCCACAGCCTTGTACTCACTCTGCAGATCTGTTATCTCAATCATTTTGGATGCGCTGCCGCTTTAAATTGATGTTGAATCGAATAAAAAAAATCCACGTAAACAGCAATTCAATTTCAAAGCACAAAACAGCTGATTTCCACTTTCATTCAAAGTTTTAGTGCTAGCGAATGTAAACAATGTGCGCAGGGTTGCACGCCGTTCAGTGTTGTAAAGCGGGTGGTGTAATAATAAAATGGTAAAAACAATTAGTTAATAACAATTGAATAGAGAGGGAGTGGTTGTAGTAAAAATAATAACAAATGAAATGGCAAAATGCTGTTTCATTTCCACCCGTTCCGCTCTCCGCTCCATGTACAACACTGCTATCGATAACAACTATCGACTCCATCAACTCTGCGATACACACACACTACCCAGTCGACGCACATCCCTAATTTATTTTCACACGCCATTTTACAATAAAATTTGTAACGATCTGACGCTATCCTACTTTCATTCGGGACATTTTGTGCGCAGCGAGTAATTGAAACTCCTGCAATTCCATCGATCGAAAAGAGAGACTGTTCGCAGCAGCGTTTATTTGTCATGGAGCGTAAGTAGAGGCCACAGATGCCGAATATCTCGTGCAAAACACTGAAACACCGAAAATATGTGCACTCTAGGTGGCGGTTATGGTGGTGGTGCCGGACAGCAGGGATATAATAATTTCGCTGTCCCCCCACCAAACTACCAACAAATGCCAAATAAAACGGGTAACTACAACGAGCCACCTCCGAACTACGGCAAACAAGGCGGCGGTGGTAAGGCGTGCAACTAACTATCGAGATTCGAACGCTTCTCCAATAATCGGACGCATTTATGTTTAAGGTTATGATTCCGGTCATCGTGGTTCTGGTGGCAGCGGCGGCGGCGGTGGAGGTGGCGGCGGCGGAGGCTCTTGGAACGACCGAGGAGGCAATTCCTACGGGTATGTCTATGTTATTCACATTTAGCCACATTTATCTCGGTACAGATATCAGATCAGATGTAAAGATATAACGAGGGATACAGATACAAATCACGGGTGTAGCGTTCCACGGATGGGAGTGTTAAGAGTTACGAGAAGTGTGTACGAATCTGAATTTATAATTTATAAATCCATTCAGCAATAATCGACGGAAAACCGAGCGAATTTCTCAAAGCATAAAGATAAAACAAAGGAAATGCAATCGGTGCACTACACCGCATCAAAGTGTGAATTTGCCAAATGCGAAATGCTTCGTTCCGACTGGTGAAAAACTCATAAGATATAACTTAACATTCTGATCTTCAGCTGTTAAAAAAAAATGAAAAGAGGTCCTTAATTTGGTCGTTTATTATTTACACGGCATGACTGTATATTTCATGTATGTATGTTTTTTTTCCTTGAAAATTCCGACTTAAAAACACTTGAAACTGGTATAATAAAATGGTTTTTGACGAGGCTACAAGGAGGCCTTTGGGTATTCAAATATTCTGCAACGAGAAACATTAAACGAATGGTTAGACAACCATGCAAATCGGAGTATAACGGTATTATAATGGTCGCCTAATGATAAATATGATGAATTCCCCGATTCTTGCATAGAGAATCGCGCACATTTTATTATTACAATTTCTCTTATACCATTTTATCACCCCATCAACATAAAAATAAATTGTTCAAAATGTGTGGGCCAAGAAATGAAGAAAATAATAACAAGAACAAGCATAACACAGAGTGTATCCAATGAAATAACGATATTATTATCATAAAACGGTCTTGCAAGTCAAGAAATCAAAAAGTATCTTAAAAGAGTAATTGGTCATACTAGCGCTCGAGTGAAAACAATAAATAACATCAGTATAAAGAAAATATAAAATACACGTTTTGGAGGGATTGGTATGGTTCTGATTCGTTATAATCAAATTCAAGGTATTTACGTATACTCGTATAATTATATTTAAATGTTAAGATATTATAAAATAATAGAAGGTAGACATTTTGAGTATAATATAGAGCTGTATCTCTAACGAATTTAACACTAAGCTAAGTTTTTTTTTAATATTCCCCTTTAGAAATAATTTTTTGTCAACACAAGTAATTATTAACCCAATGATAAAATGATATAGTTATTTTTTGAACCCTTATTTTACAGTACATATATTATATTATTAAAGGGGTTGTTGAATAACGATAGTAGATGGCTATAATTTTTGAATTTTTCAAAAGGATCATCCATCTTCCGTCCCTTTCATTTCGGCGCATCTGGGAAAAGCCGACTTAACAATAGCAAACTACAAAGCTACAAAGGTTTAGAGTAGATGTTTAAGAGCAAATAGATGTATACATTAATTACGGTGTCCTCCCTGGCAGTTTGATCAGTGATTGCCGCACTCGATTCGGGATATTAAGATGGAAAATAACAATGGATATCCGCTGGTTTTTACTGGTTTTACTGTCGTCACTGACCGAACTGTGCCGGGTGCTCTCTATAGGGTCGAGAACAAGCAATATGTATTAAAGGGACCAGGGATCCTAGGCGTATTCCTCACCATACTGCATTAAAACCAAAATCAAAGCATTAAATAAGTTATTCAATATCCTCTTTTAGAAATGGAGGCGCCAGCAAGGACAGCTACAACAAAGGTAAAAATAATGCAAATAATTGCAATCATATCGAGTAATGTATACCAATATTTTTCTACATATTGAATTTGAACCTAAAAACAAAATGAAAAAAAAAAAGAACAAAATGCAACCCAAACGATCAGAAGAACCTGAAACAAAATCTAATTCTAACACACCACAGAGAGGAGAGATTGAAAAATCGTAGTGAAAGGCGGCATTTTCTTTGTGGTATGAGTTCCCATTCAGTACACCCATTATAATTCCGTCGTAAAAGTGTATCTAGTGTACTTCAAACTATGGTTAACGACCGATTACTTGGTCTGCTAGGGGTTATCTAATATCTAATTAATCTGTGAAATGTTGAGTGTACGTTGAGTCAAAGTCAAAGCGTTATTACGAACTACTAGGGGTTCTTATATATATGGTGCATCCTGCAATTCGCTGTCACCTGTTTGTGTTCGAAACCGAAACCACCCATTCAAAGTGTCCACCCCCTCAAAAGGTTTTCGAAAACATCTCGAAATTCTGGTTTCTGTATATCGTGGTTAAAATATCACGGAACACAGCCAAGGTTTAGGATTCGATATATTATAATGTATAATAACATTGTATGTGGGCGTGTGCTTCGGCCTTCTTCACCTTCGTTGCGTTTTTGGTGCTTGAAATGGGAGGAGAAATTCTTGAAAAAAAAACGAGAAAAGAAAGAAAAAATGAAAAAAATAAAAAGAAAATAAAAAATAAAGAGCAGTTCCATTCTAAGCTATTCCATATTCCATGCCCTGTATCAGCTCGATCTAATGTCCCATTCACCTTTTGTAGGACCCGGCGGCTACTCGGGCGGCGGTGGAGGAGGCGGCGGCGGCGGTTCCAGTGGCGGCGACATGATCACCCAGGAGGACACAATTTTTGTCTCCGGCATGGATCCATCCACCACCGAGCAGGATATTGAGACTCACTTCGGAGCTATTGGCATCATTAAGGTAAGTTATTTAGGCTATCGAAATGTCGATATTTATTAAATATCAATATTTATCGGAAACATGGTTGCTTTAAAATTATCGATGTGATATATATCGAGAATATCGATATTTTTCAAGGGCTATTTCCTTGGGCACGTTTTAACCCTTGCTTTGGCTTTCCCCAATGTTTCGTTTAACAGAAGGACAAGCGTACGATGAAGCCCAAGATTTGGCTGTACAAGAACAAGGAAACGGGCGCCTCGAAGGGCGAGGCCACAGTCACCTACGACGACACCAATGCGGCCCAGTCGGCCATCGAATGGTTCGACGGGCGGGACTTCAACGGGAATGCGATCAAGGTGTCGCTGGCCCAGCGCCAGAATAACTGGAACAAGGGCGGCGGCGGCGGTGGTCGCGGCGGATTCGGGGGTCGACGAGGTGGTGGAGGTGGCGGCGGAGGTGGAGGCGGCGGCGGCGGTGGACGCTTCGATCGAGGAGGAGGCGGCAACGGAGGAGGCGGCGGCGGCGGACGCTTCGATCGCGGCGGTGGAGGCGGCGGAGGAGCCGGCGGCGGCGGTGGCAATGTGCAGCCACGCGATGGCGACTGGAAGTGCAATAGCTGCAACAACACCAACTTTGCCTGGCGCAATGAGTGCAATCGGTAGGTGGAATTTAAAGGGATTTCTTTTCACTAAAATTGTACATAATTAGACATCGTATTTTAGGTGAAATTGATTTTTTTAAATACGTTTTAAAGCCACATTTGATTGGTTACAAATAATATTTATTAAGTTATAATTAGATTTAGTCAAAACTCAATTGAGGTTTTTGTAAAAAAAATTTTAACCAATCAAATGTGGCTTTAAATTATATTTAAAAAAAATGACTTCTCCTAAAATCAGATGTCTATACATAATACATGGGGTTTTTCCATGTTTGAGACCCACGGGACTTGTATAAATTCCTTGGAAATAATGTTTTTTGATAAGTAAATTTTAATCTAAAATTTTTTAACCAGCTGCAAGACGCCCAAAGGCGACGATGAAGGCTCCAGCGGTGGCGGCGGTGGAGGCGGTGGCTACGGAGGCGGCGGCGGAGGCGGCTACGACCGTGGCGATCGCGGATCCGGCGGTGGTGGCTATCAGAACCGTGATCGCGGTGGCAACTCGCAAGGAGGCGGCGGCGGTGGCGGCTACTCGAGATTTAATGACAACGGCGGAGGCGGCGGCGGCGGAGGACGTGGTGGTGGCCGCGGAGGCGGCGGTGGCAACCGTCGCGATGGCGGCGGACCCATGAGGAACGACGGAGGCATGCGCTCCAGACCATACTAGGCGCATAGGCGGCGGTGGCACCTATTTTTTCACATTTACGTATTAATTGTAGCGAGTACTCTTTTAAATGTACTTTTAAATTTACCAGTCAGAGCTAATTATAAATACCAGCAGCAAAAAGCACACACATCTTCATTTTAACCGACTTCACGGACACGGTTACCGCTCGTTTTGACTGACTTATATTATATTATGTAATCTAATTTAACAATTGTAATTGTAACATGGTACATACGAATAAAATATATATATATATATAGCTCATATATATATATGTATATAAATTAAATCTGAAGAGAATGGACTTGTTATTATGACTAAAATATTACCAGGATAGGATCCCGCTTTTCTTGTAAAACATACAGATGCGGAAGTCACAAGTTTGAATCCCAAATGATTCATCAACTGTTTTTGCAATAACAAAGGTGGAAAAAATCCAGACCTTTTATTTTTAGGTTTCACCTGCTTTACAGGCATTGTTTTAAATGAAAAGCCCTTTGTTACATTTTTTATATTCTTTTCTTTTATTTTTTTTAGTATACATAATTATATTACAGTTCATCTTTTTCTAGCAAGGTGTAGCGATGCTTGGAGGGGCCAAGTTCCTTGAATTTTGACTCTGGCGGCGAAGTGCCCTTGCCGGTGTGTGGATCGGGCTCTATATCATTTGTGGGATCCGGCCCGTAATGAAACTCCCTGGGAGAAGGCACAAACCGTTTAGCTTTCTTAACTAATCAGAATTATAGTTCTAAGCTCACCTGTGCAGCTTGCCGCTGTAGAGATCCTGCAGGAACTGCTTGAGCTTGCCCGGTGCGTACATGTCGCTGAAGTGGGGGAACAGATACATGTGCTTGAACGAGTCGATGGCAATCAGGGGCAGGTCATCCTCGGATTTGCCCAGATGGTGCAGAGGATGCGCAAATCGCTTGCCATCGGCGGTCAAAAAGTTGACGTTCTCTGTAAGGGGTTTTTATGTTATATGTTTGGTTTAGAAACTCCCGTCCCGCCTTACGTTTCTCGTCCAGCAACTGACGCTCAATGATCGACTTGTAGTCCTTGATGGAGTTGTGATCGTCTGGGCGATGGAAGAGTATGAGGAATGGCAGACCCTCCTCCGTGAGCTCCTCGGCATTCTCAAAGGTAATTTCCCTGACCAGTGGCACACACTTTTCCTGCACCCAAATCTTGAGTTCATCGAAATTTTGCAGAGTTCCCGTGTAGGTCTCATCGTTTTCATGGGACAAAGCGACATCGGGTCTAAATACTATAATGGGTGTGCCTGAAAGGTAACGTAAAAAGGTAATAATACCAGAAGGAAGCAGATTTCAGCTAGATTTTACCCGGAGGATGCATGGCCTGAGCGGCATCGCCGAAGCCCACGTGGAACTGGCAGTCCTCCTTCAGATTGGTGGCCACCTTGCGGAACACATCGTACTCGGGCTGATCCCGGCGATCGAAGTAGCCCAGGATGAGGCGCTTCTTCGAGTCCAGGTTCTCCAGATCCTTCAGCGACTTGAACTCCTGTATGGGGTCCTCCAGCTGCTTCTTGACGAACTCGAGGAAGGCTTCGGCCGAGCGCTGTCCTCGGTACTCGCGCTTGCTGAGCTGCCCATTGCGCACGATCTTCAAGGTCGGATACTTGTTGATGTGGAACCGGGACGCAATGGCCGTCTCCTTGTCGCAATCCACCTTTCCTAGCACCACCTTCCCGGCCTCGGGGAACTCTTCCTTAATCTGCAAACACACAAGAGACAGTAATTTCATTATCTCCAAGTTATTCCAATCCACGATCCACTCACCTTATCTGCAGCCTCAGCGAATATAGGTGCTAAAATATTACTAAACCGACACCACTCCGCATAAAAATTAAGGAAAACCAATTCATTAGACGCTGGAAGAAGAAACAAGGCGTGTTTAATGTTATCAGCACCAAGTTGTGTATCAAATTGTATGTGTATTTTTGAAAGTGTGGCAAACTAAAAGCAATAAATATAATGTGATTCACTGTAATTTTCCAGAATAAAATATTACTTATTAAAATTATTCGAGATAGAAAATAATTTTTTGATTTAAAAATTACTGGGAAATAATTTATTACAGGGGTATCATTTAAGAACTTTTATACATTTTTTTAAAAATAATTTTGCAAAAATAAAAAATTTGTAGGCCCGTTTTATTGTAATTTCGAAGTTCTTAATTGAAAATGTAACATGTGGAAAGTTTTGAGGGGTAGGTAATTAAAGCGTAGTGCTACCGTGAAATCTAGTATCTAGAAAAGCGTAACAAGAACGCCAATTGAACTTGAGCCAAACGAAAGATAATAATATCGTGTTGCGATTGACTACCGGGGTTCCACAGAAATCGCCTGGCGCTTACTGTTAATGCTAAGGGTTTTTGTGACAACCCCAAATAAGTCATAAAATAAGATTAAATTAAAAAAATTAAATATATATGGGATCATGAATACCCTTTATAGGGCTTCACCAAAAATAAAAGGAATATACTACCTAATGGCCAAACTTTGGGTCTAAGGCGAACCAATGTTATATGGGTAGGCCCATGTTATGGAAAATAACCCGCTATAGACTATATTAACTTTATTTAGACCGTTTTAAACGTTTAAAACGCCATTTACCACGTTGGCAGTGACGAATTGGACGAGCCACTGATTTTGCTTAGTGACACGTCAATGGGGTAAGTCGCTTAATTGATTTGGGATGTGGAATGGTATCGGATTGGTCTCTCACCTAGGGTCATATCGATGTTATCACTGGTCATGGGCACCGCTCCGGCGGCTTCCGCGGGCTGTGTCAGCTGGAGTAGCTGCAGAATCTGGAATTTCGATAAGGACACCACAATTCTAGTTAGTTCATGGCGGCGGAATGTGTGGAATGTCCGAAAAGCCGGGCTGTATGTGACATGTGAACTAAATTCCCGAAAAACGGGAAATCAGCGGGAAATGGTAGATGTCCTCCGAGGAAACATGACCAGACAGAACAGAACACGTCGACTCACCGCAACTAGGGCCGCGCAGGGCCCAAGCTTTCCGATTCCGATTCTCGCTCCAGTCATCCTCATTCCGATCCGTATTTGAGTGGGGTGGAGTGTGGTGTGTGGACGGGCTGAGTGGAGTGGGTGTGGATTTGCGTGCACCGGCGGAAAGTCCAAGCGATCGGCTGCGAATTCAGTTACACATCAGCTGGAATGGAATGCAAACGTACGCACAATAAAAAAGTTTTAACAATTTGGTTGATTTTATCGTCGAGGCTGACGAACATCGATGAAAACATCGATGCATCGATGTTTCACATTTTTGTGCGACAGTGTTATCGATAGTGGCTGCGGTCACATCACATGACCGACCCCCCATCGCTAGCGATATCGAAACGATAGCGATAGCCATTCCAATGGAAATGAAACAAAAAGTGTCTAAATGAATACATATGCACACATATGTATGTGCAACAACATTTGCAAATCTTTGTTTATAATAGCTGACGCTTATGGATTTTATGGTGGTAAATAGAGCGAGAAAAGCTAGAAGCCAAGCGCGTTTTCAATTCGGCAATTCGTTTTTGAGCTAAATACCCGCGAGAAGCTGCTGCCCGAACGTTTTGTGGACCTCAAAACCGAAAAGCCCCCAATGTGTGTGCATACATATGTAACGATTGTAATGTGTTATTGTTGCTCCTCGGAATATCGGAATATATACATATAAGTTTATGCAAACATACACATGCGTAAATGTTTAATTACTTTGTTTATGACAACATGCACGGCCATACAGCCATTAGAATCGGAATCTGTTGAGTTTGAGTACGACGATAATGGGCCATTTTTCGCTTATTGGTTATGGAATTGTGATAATCTAGTCTAGTGCTATATAGTATATACAAATATATGTATGTCGTGCAGCGTACATACTATGTATTGCGCACCTTGTGGAACTGCAACTGTGGCTGTGTGCAGCTCTCACATAAACACATACATAGTGATTATATGCACTGCATTATCTATATTGCCACCACGACACTCAAGTATTAACTTCGATTTGTTCTAAAAGTGTTTATATTGTGTGCTGGAATCGGAATTATCATTATCATGGCTGCGATATTTATTTGGCTTTGTTTGTTTTGTGCACCTAATGCTCAATAATGCACATGTTTATTTATTTATGGGAGCCACTATACTATATATGTATCGAAATCGAATCGAACCAATGACGTCCATATAATATAGACCAGTACCAATACATGCATAATTACGTATTCGGATATGGATATACGATATATCCAGCTATAGGCGATAACCGGATTTCCAATGACACCCAAATATATAATAAATACATATATATACGTAAGCCAATAAGTAATTTCGAAAACCTTACATGCCAAGTATTCTTTTAGCCGATTCACACAATGTCCGATGGATCACCGCCTCCATCGATCTGCTTTATCCGCGCCGCCGAATCGTATCCAAAATCACAAATGGAGAAGGAAGACTCTCAGCTGTTTGTGCCCTTCCAAGAGTGTAGGTGTAATCATCATATCATATCGTATCAGTAATCCAGAATAAGTCCCATTTTAACCCTCATATCATATCATGTCATTTCACATATCATATTGATCTTATGGTATTCCATTATAAATCCCATTTTTACCATCCTATCATATCATATCACTTCACATATCATATATATCTTCTAGTAATCCTTAAAATATCCCATTCTAATATCATAGTAATCCATAATATATCCCATTTTCAGTGGCCGGCGAATCGATCAAGTACCTGGGCCGCACCGACGACGGCGTCCTCGCCCTGTCGAACTACCGGATATTTCTCTCCAAGAAGTCAACCGCCTACGAGACCTACGTGCCGCTGGGCCTAATCGAGTCCGTGCAGGTGCGCGATCTGTTCCAGCTGATCGTTAACTGCAAGGACGCCAGCACGGTGCGGTGCTCGTTTCAGTCGGCGGAACAGTGTGCCGACTGGCAGCGCCGGATCCACCTGCTCATCGGGGTTCCCGAGGCGCTGGAGACACTCTTTGCCTTTCCCTTCTATTCCTGGACCTGCGATGTGATTGGGACCGGAAACGGAAGCGCCCAGGCCAACGGCAACGGGCTGGTGGCCAAGGATCGCTCCCTAACGCTACAAAATGGCTCGGCGAAGCCTACAGTGGCCAATCCCCTGGCCCCTGTTGATCCTGCCAGCGATTCGAACCGCCTGCAGCGATCCGTTCGCTATGAGAGCGACTTCAAGAGCGAGGTGGCCCGCCTCGGGTTCGATCTGAAGGGCTCGTGGCGCATCTCCACGGCCAATGCAGACTTCAAGCTCTGCCCCTCGTATCCACCCAAATTGCTGGTGCCCTGCTGCATCACCGACGAGATGCTCCACAACGTGGCCAACTTCCGGGGATCGCGAAGGCTGCCAGCGGTCGTCTGGCGGCATCAGAAGTCGGGTGCCATTCTGGCTCGCTGCAGCCAGCCGGAGGTCGGTTGGCTCGGCTGGCGGAACACAAGGGACGAGCAGCTGCTGAAGGCACTGGCCGATGCCTGTGCCTTCGACAGGGGAGAGCATGCCAGGCATTCCACCATTGCCGCTGAGACAAAGGCGACGCAACCAACAAAGGGATCCTCTTCCAAGGAGACCAACGGCCAGGCGGCAGGCTTGTCCGGCAAGAGTTCACCGTCTCTGGACGATTCCTCGCACGAGGAACTTACGCTCGATGAAATAAAGGTAAGTTTATGGTGTAATTAAGCCTTTGTTGAGGGAATATTTATGATCTGCGGATCAGATAGGCCACCAAACTTGTTTTTTATATGTATACAGGACTTACTACAGTTCAGTAATGAAGCTAATTCAATGGAGATCTTTAATATACTATTTAATTTCAGAAAATTCTCATTGTGGACGCTCGTAGCTATACATCCGCCGTTACAAATCGCGCCAGAGGTGGCGGCTGTGAGTGCATCGAGTACTATCCTTGTGCGGAAATTGAGTTTATGAACCTGGGCAATATCCACGCCATCCGAAAGAGTTTCCACGCCGTCCGGCAGCTGTGCGCCTCATCGCCCGACGATCCAAAGTGAGTTTACCCATATAGAAACGAGGTATTTAATAATTCATGTATTTAAAAACCCACAGTTGGTTCGGACAACTGGAGAAGACGATGTGGATGCAGCATCTTTCGGGTCTGCTGGGTGCCACCATGACCGTTGTGCACACTATCGAGAAGAATGGACGGCCCGTACTAGTGCACTGCTCAGATGGCTGGGATCGCACTCCCCAGATCGTGGCTACGGCGCAGCTCTGCTTGGATCCGTACTACAGGACTGTGGAGGTAAGTTGATATTATCTTCACCCAAACTTTAAGCATCGTTATTCATTGACTGATTTTATTTCAGGGCTTTCGCGTGCTTGTGGAGCGCGAATGGCTGAACTTCGGCCACAAATTCGCCGATCGCAGCGGCAATGGTCCCAACTCCGACGAGGTCAACGAGCGATGCCCGGTTTTCCTGCAGTGGCTCGATCTGGTGCATCAAATACACAGACAGTATCCATGCAGTTTTGAGTTCAGCATAAGCTATTTGGTATGGAGTACCCACCGCATCTTCCTTGTGTTTTTATATATTATATATTTTGTATTGTCTGTATTGTAGATCAAACTGGCGCAACATTCGCTGTCCTGTCTATTCGGCACGTTCCTATGTAACTCGCTCAGAGAACGCATCGAGAATTCAGTTTTCGACCGAACGTTTTCGGTGTGGCCATTTTTAGCGGAAACTATGTATAGAAATCCTCTCTATAAGCATGAGACTGAAAAGGTGAATTGAAATCTACTATCTATTGGAATTATAAATTATAAAGCTAATTATATCAATGTTTCTTAGGTTCTTTGGCCGGCGCACAGTGTGCGGTTTTTATACTTTTGGTCGGACGTTTACCTTGGTAGTTTAGGCAACAAAAACGGCACTGATCTGCCATTACTGAGTAATGAACGACAGACTGGACACAATAATGGTGAATATATGATCTTAAATATTATTTTCCATTCTATAAACATTATTATCCCATAGGCCTAATGGCGAAGACAAGATCTTCGGAAGACTTAACAACGAACGAGTTGGGACAGAGCACCATTTCGAGGAGATCGAGTGATCCGAACCTTACAGTTGAATCCATGTAGGTTCCCAGCTTCAATTACTTAACCTGTCAGCCATTAATTTCCTTTTCCTGCCTGCAGTGTTACAGATTGCTTCAATGCGAACAGCAACTCCATGTTCGACATACGAACCGAGAGCGAAAATGTCCAGGAAAGCGCGAAAGACCCCAAAGAATTTGAGCTGGACGTGACGGATGCAACTGAAGTGGTTCTGGGTCCCAGTAGCCGTTCAAATAATCCCATTCCCGAGTTCCATGGCGACCAAAGTACAGCAGCTGCTAACCGTGATATATTGCAAGTGGAATCACAATCGCAAAGGCCAAGTTCCTTGGTCTCCTCAACCGGGCGAGCTGTTTTGGCTCACTCTGAAAACGGTAAGGGGTTCTAGAGTCTAGATTTGAGATGGGAAGCAACTCAACTATCACTACTTTTCAGATCAAAATCCAGTTCCTTTAAAATCTGAAGACACAAGTGATATTTGTCGCACTCTGTGGGGGAATGGCGCCATCGAAACCAGCACTGATACCCTGATTCCTGCGGAGCCCGTACAAAAGACGAACAGCAGCGACAAGACCGACAGCAGCAGCAGCAGTAGAGATCGAGATCGAGTTCGAGATCGAACGCCGCCGATCGAACTGGCGATTGGTGATAAAACTGCTCCCGCTGCTCCCCAAAGCAATAAAATCAGTCATAGCTACAATAATTTGCCCAAGGTTCACATGAAACCGAATGCCGTGATATGCCCGCAGCGAGGGGACGCCTTTCCGCATCACCTGGACCTACAAGTGCCAAGGGAGAGTGCGGCAAACGCAACGAGCTGCAAGCTGGAGAAGTTGTCGAATGCGAATGCGAATGCCAATGGATCCGAATGTTACCACCACCATGCTGATGAAGGTCTATTTATATCTCCCGATCTCCAGCGATTCGTGGGTCAGTCGCCATTCGATGCGCCCGCGGCGCAGGGCGGTCGAATACGCCGAAATACCTTTGGCTCCAGCTACAGTCGCGACTTGAAGTTTACAACAGAGAACGGCAGGTGAGTTGTAATGTTAATAATATTATTTAACCGATAAATAACACCTTTACCTTGCAGCGCACACCAATTTCCTTCGTCGGGGATCATTTCGCTGCCACCCACACCGTTTCAGGAGAGGGCGCAGTTCACTATATCCTGCCCCGATGGCCTGGCTCACGGACTCAGCGAACAAAACATAAGACTCCACCAGATCGTACAAGAACACAAGGTGAGAGCAGTTCCCCCCGTAAAGCTATAAAGACTATATCTGAAATATTTTTAGCTACGAGAGGAAATGCTTCTGCGGGAAATTCACGGCATGCGATTGGCACTGTTGGAAAAGGGCTGCCCCAGCTGCAATAGCATCGTTTCGACAAATATGGAACATGTAAATAATGCCTTTAGTATTCGTTGTTCGCCCGTCATATATTCTTGAGAAGCGTGGTTAGTGTGTTAGATATAGAACAAAGAGGATAAGCAGTACGAGGGCATTTCGGATCTGCTATTTAAACGACTTTCGAGCATGATAGTGTCAAATGTTTTGATGGCAAAACGTGTAATTTAATCATAAGTTAAATACTGTGCCGTAAACTGCAGCCGTCTCTAATTATTTACACTCTTCTTTAGGAAAATGGATCGGATATCGTTGAAAATGCTTCAACATGTTCCTGGGAAGCCGTCGAAGAGCGTAGCGGTCCCCCATCGTTTGCCCACCCTTCCTCGATCCAAGAGAAAAAAGCCTCCAGTGTCCTCTGGGTACCAGATCATGCCGTTTCGCGTTGCTCTAGTTGTCAAACTGAGTTCTGGCTGGGACGAAGAAAACATCATTGTCGGTGCGCATCCATTTCCAACACTTGAAACCTTACTCTGTTTAAAGATATATTCAATATTCGTTTGATTTTAAGCTTGAGTTGACTATTAACACCTTATCTATCTATCTATCGAACCGTGCCCGTGTAGCCAGTAAATTAGTAAACTTTACTTTGCAATTCTATTCTGTTTTCCACGCTTAATATTCAACTTTAGTTGAAATCGTATTTCTGTTTATTTTAATGAAATAACCGGGCGTTCATTTACCGGGTTAAATGACTATACTAACAGTGTGTACTATGCTAATCAAGAATATATATAAAAACAAATAACAATTATTTTCGATTATATTTCAATTAAATCAACTGATTTTATTTTTAAGTTAGATGGTTCTCAGTGAGGTTTATAGTCTTATTATGAAATTAAACTACACATATATATATTTATAATTAATAAAGCTTTACAATGTACTCGTTATACTTGCAGATCATGTGGAGAAATTTTTTGTGCTGACTGCTCGGAATTTTGGGCGCCTTTGCCAAACGAAAAGCTTTTTAATCCAGTTAGGCTATGTGGATCTTGCTACACGACCGTCACAACAAATGTCCAAGAGTACGCTGCCGTACCTCCAGAATCCCAATCCCAGGTGAAGGACGAAGAGACGTCGTCTTCTGCAAATTCCTAAGAGCTTTTCCCCAATTATTTTAAGACTCCTCTGTTGTATCAATATGTACATATTATTACTCAAAATATTTATTGCATATGTGTTAGCACCATAATAGCGAAAAATTCATCTGTGCGTTTATATAGAACACGAAATTATACAATTTTGTTAGAAATATATATGTGGATATATGGAAACAATTGTAAATTCAAATACAATCTTTAAACGAAACGTTTTAGTTTTGGTAGTTAAATTAAAAGAAGGAGATCGATGGTGACAAAAAGTTTTCAGTGGAGAAAAACACAATGATGTAAGCAGTGTAAAAAGAATATAAACATATGGATGTGACAATTTTTATTGTTGTTTGCTTTTGCAATATGAAAATATTATTTTTATTTGAATATGTATTTCGAAACATTATTATGACCATTAAGATTACTTTAATTAGCTATTGTTTTTCTTTATTCCATTATTTGCGCAAGACAGCTGTTCGTTTTGGGTCAGTGTGAACACTCAATTCGGTCTGCAGCGTTTTTAACTGCGTCCTCGGTGTGAAAGCCCTACAAGGCGCCGACAGGTGAAAACATCGATAGCACTCATCGATATGTTTCCACCTTTAGTAGCGCCAAAGTCGGCGTTGTTTCGAAGTTTTTTTTTTGTTATTTCATTTCCATTTGCAAATTATTAAGAATTGTGTGTTGATGTGAAGATGTGTGAGGAAGTGCGCAACCTGATTGACCTGACCGAGTGGGATGAGCCGAACAAGGAGACGCTGTTCGAGGAGCCGGAGGACATGGTCGCGGCGGGGAACTTCGAGGGACCCTACGATCCCTTCGATGCGATGGAGAAGGAGGTTTGCCTGAAGGTAAGGTTATGTAGGATATACGTATATAAATATATAACCAGGATCGATCCGGGACAACCACTGACTTACCACCTTTTCCAGGGCATGACCTTAAAGACACAGATCAAGGAGAAGGTCTGCGGGGCCGAGCGACAATATCCGGATCTCGAGAGCGAAAGTCCGCCGGTTTGCATGCAGCAGGGCCAGGATGCGGCCGCCTCCTCCTGCTCCTCCTCCGGCGAGGCCACACATAAGCGTCGCTTGAGCAGCTCGTTCCAGAAGCAGCTGCTCAAGCTGAATGCCTCGCGATCCGTGGCCAACACACCGCCGCCGCCCCAGAATCGCTCCAAATCGGAGTTCGAGAAGACGATACTCGGTGAAAACCTACAGATGCTGGCGGCCGAATCGCCGCTGAAGCTCATCGAGGACGACGACGTCATGTCCTCCAGTATTAATTTCGAGGAGGATCTCCGCATGCTACGCATACCCATTCTGGACGCCCTAAATCAAAAGGCAAAGGATCGGGATGAGGAGGAGCCAGAATCCAACCAGGATGTGGGCCAACTGCTGCAGCAGCTGAGGCTGCTGGTCCACGAGCATGTGGAGCGGACCAAGTGGCATCTGTTTGACAAGGCAATCGCAGCCATTGCGGCAGCCACAGACCAAAAAGCCAGCCATTTACCCGTACCCCCCTCGTCCTACTCCCTCAACCGCCAGGGCACCTTTGATCTCGAACTTCAGGTAATTATCCTTCAGAATCCCCTTGACATAGTCTAAACAATATTGCCTTTTTGCAGGGCACAAGGACAAAGCGTTCTTTCGACGCTTCCCAAGTACAAGAGGAGGAGGAGGAGACGGCGGCGGAGGAGGAGATCCTAATTCCCGGCAGCAAGGCTCAAAACTTTCCCGATGCCATGGTCTGCTCCTCGGCCACCTACGATGGCGAATCCCGCGCGGATCCCTTTGAAAAGGACCTGCCCATCATTTCCATGCCAGCGGAGCCGCGAAAGGAGCCCTACATGACGCAGCTGGTGGACGAAACACTCGCTCTGCAGATCAACGAGCTGCTGGAGCGGCACAAGCCGGGACAGGGACAGGTTGATCCCAGGACAGTCATTCTGTTGGTCAATCCCAGCCAGCTCTCCAGCTATCCTGCGTTGCCCCAGGCGACTCCAATGCCCCTGGGCGATGCCAACGCAGCAGCGGCGGGCAGCGCAATGCGTCGCCGATCGTCGTCGCTGTCCATTCAGGACAAGTCCAAGCTGCCGGGCGAGGTGCTGAAGTCCAATCGCCAGGTGGAGAACCTGCCGCCGCCTAGGGAGGCCAAAAGCACGGCCACTGTGGGTCCAATGACCGCAGGAGGAGGCGGAGGAGCAGGAGCATCCTCCTTTCGCCAGCGAAGCAACTCCTTTTCCAGCCAACCGACCACAAAGACCTACGAAAGCAGGCGCACCCTGATGAGCAGTCGCCTGAGGACGCCGTCGATAAACGAATCGGTGGCCGTGGCACAGAAATCCAATGGCAATGTAAAGGCCATGAAGCCCATTAAGCCCGTGGTGCCGATGATGAAAGTCACAACGAATAACGAGTCTTCCACCTACCTGAATCCCGTCCATCCGCGTGTCCCGGACACGCCCATTTCCTCGAGGACCCGGACGGCCGGCCAGAAGATATCCTGCACGAGCACACCGCTGCCGCAGATGCGCACGCAGCAGCGCAGATCGCTGAAGCCGATGGGCGGCATGCCGGGATCCGTGGCCAATGCCTCCTACTCGACGCCCTCCTTCCGGGGACCGAGTTTCGCCAAGAAGACCGGTTCCGGCTAGGAAGCACTAGCTTGTCCCGTGGCGCAATGTCGCCTGAAAGTGAATTTCCATTCGAATGTGATGTCCGAGGTCAAGTCTTTAACCTTGGCTATCTTATCTCCCTATATATATATATATGTTTTTGTTCCTTATTCTTCTTTTCGCCCGACGTCACAAGATAAAGCGAACTGATATGCGCAGCCTGAACCTAATTTTAAACTTTAGACAAATAGTACAACTTTATATTTGAAGAATCAAGTCAAACTAAGCACAAGTTACATTCACAAAGCGATCTTTGTATTTAAAATCGTAATAATGCATTTTCCTAACTATGTTTATGTCGTAAATGTTGCGAAATCTCATAAGTTAATCACAAGAAATCGAGAATAACTAAATCTCTTGGCCAAGATCCTTCAATTACGAAGAAACAAGGCGTTATTCTCTGTTAAATCTGTTTAATTATCCATAACTTTTATGTTTAATGTTTTAACATCCCATAAATTTATCTAGTTTGAAGGAACAAAGCATATCCTCTGTTAAATCTGTTTAGTTAACCATAACTTAAACTTTAAAATCGGATTAAGGCTCTTTCCAATTAATGATTTACGTTTTATCTGTTTTAAAATCCCACAAGTTTATCTATTTTGAAGGAACAAAACATATCCTCTGTTAAATCTGTTTAATTACCCATAAACTCGACAAAAATAGATGATAGATTTAAACAATTTAACCGATTTATGTTTTTAAAAAAGCATTAATTAATTTTCCCAATTATGTTTAATGTATAAAATCTCCTAAGTTTATCACAAATCTCATTAATTAATTTTCCCAATTATTATGTATAAAATCTCATAAGTTTATCACAAATCTCTTGGCTAAGATCGAGGAATTCGCCCTGAAACGCATACAGTGAGCCATCCTGAACGAAACATGGAGCCTCGTGGAGGCGGGCCCTTAACTCCAAGGACATCGACAGAAGTAGATGATCTTTTAAACAATTTCCGTATATTTAACGTACACATGTGGCGCTTAGCATATCACAAACAAAAAAAAATGGATAAAACAGAAGGAAGTGAGCTGCTCTACTTGTTGAGCTTGCTCTTGAGAATGCTCAACTGGGTGAGGCAGTTGTCGCGGTAATTGCGGCGTGCGGCCAGCTGATCCAGCGGCACCATCTCGCCCAGCTGCTTGGCCACCTCGACGGCGACGGGACCCTCCATCTTCGGTGTCGGTCCCATGGTCTCGCTCACCGCGTAGATGGTCTTCGAGTAGCGCTCAAAGTAGTTGGCCATGCCCTCGGCATTCAGATGGGCGGTCTCCAGGGGACCCAAGAAGGCGTAGCGCGGTCCGAGGCCATTGCTCATCACGCTGTCGATGTCCTTCACATTCAGGATGCCCGCCTCCACGAGGCGCCATGTTTCGTTCAGAATGGCATACTGGATGCGGTTCAGGGCGAAGCCCTCGATCTCCCGCGACAGCGTAACCGGTTTTTGGCCAATCTCCTCCATGATGGCACGGGTCTTCGTCACCCATTCCGGTTTTGTCCACGGCGCCGGAACGATCTCGACCAGCGGCACGTAGTACGGCGGGTTGACGGGATGCGAGACCAAAACCTGTTCACGAAATAAAGCGAAGTGTTGGCCTCAGTTCTCGGTACTCACAAATCGGTTCTCATCACAAAAAAATCTCAAGAAAACAATTAAATTGGGAACGAGGACGGCTGATTGAAAATTTAAGCAGTTGAGTAGCATTGAATGTAAGGTATTTCTAAAATAACTATTAACTTTATACACAGAAAAAAAATTGTAATGGTCAATTTGATATTTTTTAAAGATCAAATTATGCATATCATTTTGATATGAATAAAGATTATGGTAATCTTTTTTTACATTATTTCCTCAAAAAATACTACATTTGGTATTTTTTGATATGATAGAATATCATGTTGATATGTTTGAATCTTTAATTTGATATGAAATAAGGTAGAAATAACCCTATTTCATATCGGTTTTTTTTCTGTGCATTATTACGATAGATACAACTAGCTTGTAAGTTCTTTGGCTAATTAAAAAAGAACAATGGTAATGCTATCTGTAAAATCCATCTATCTATCCCTAGAAATCTACTCACATTGGCCTTGTTTTTCAGATCCGCGCTGAAGAGCGAGGGCAGAAAGGTGCTGGTCGAGCTGGAGAGGATGGTGTTGGGTCCGACGACGGCGTCCAGCTGCTTGTAGAGGGCTTTCTTCAGATCCAGACGCTCGGGGATGCACTCCTGCACGAAGATGGCGCCCTTGACCAGCTCCTTGATGTCGTTGGTGCCCGAGATGCAGGAGAACTGCTGGGCGGCGGTCAGCTTGCCACGCAGCAGACCCTTGGCCTCCAGATCGAGCAGCTCCTTCTGGGTGGCCGTCAGAGCGGTGGACACCTGCTCGGGCAGGATGTCGTACAGCACCACCTGGTAGCCCACCGAGGCGAAGAGCATGGACCAGGAGCGACCAATGAGACCGCTGTAATGGAACTCATTTGTATCTGCGATATCCTGCGGAATCGATTTTCCTGTGGAGTTTCTCTCACCTGCCCACAATGCCCACTTTCTCGTTCTTCAACTGCGACATCTCTGTTTATTTACTCAAGGAGTTACCGTTTGAAGTTTTAGAGTTATAGAGGAGCTGTCGACCGCCACTTGGCACAGCGTACATGCGTTTGAGCAATTAGACGGCAGCGCAACCGGTTTAATATTGGGCGATAACAGCGAACAGCGAACGGACGGACGGCAGAGGTGAACCCAAAAACGAGACCGAGAACCGAGAAGTGCTTGTGGGGTGTTGGGACTGTTGATACTGTTGATGGGTGTTGGTGGTGGAGATTTCCGAGGAGATAGTGGGCCTGCACACACGGCCAAGCGATAATAATGCCACCCCGTTAGGCAATTGGACGATGCTGCCACGCCCACAATAATATACAATGCAAGTGCATACAACTAATGCATAAAGAATACCAAAAATAACCATAGAATGGGTTTACTGTTACAGAAAGATCCGTATTAAAATATTCAAATTATGTTTATTAAGCTACAAAACAAGGAAAATTACATAAAGATTTAATATATGATTTAATGATATTAATTTTCAATATAAAAGTATCAAAATAATTTTTAGACAGCTTAAAAACAACAAAAGAAATTCTTGCTGTGGGATTTGAACCCCGGACCTATTTATGCTATGTAATATAAATTAAAATTTTTTTTTAATTCACAATGTAATATTATTTTTACCTTATATTGTATATCTTAAGCGACTACCTTTTCCAACTGGTCTGTTTACCCATTTGACGAGATAATCCATCGCGGAAAGTTCTTGACAAGCAACCGTTTTAATTTTCTACTGGGCGACACCCGACGAAACTGTGCCAAGATGCCCTTAATTTGACTTTTATTAATAATGCCATTCTAAAATGTTAGCTACTATACGAGTATCTTTGTGATTGTCGTGCACTTATGTACTGGCACAGAAATAACCCCGTGAATTGTTTACTAAGCTTTTTATGAGCTCTCGTAGTATTTTGTATATGCAATTAAATAATATAAGAGAATCAGTACATTAAATACAACTAGCATATAAATTGAACTCTTTAAACGAAAAAAATCTGAAAACTAAATAAATACTCTTACAAACATTTTTATTTAAAAAAATGTTTAAAAATAAGTATATGACAATGTAGTTAAATCAAAAGCTTACTTTAAATCTCTGATAATTTATTTTGGGTTAGTGGATCCAGGCATTATCTCTGCAAACATGTTTATCATTTTGTTTATCATATTTTCAATAACCTCTAAAAAGAATGGTAAAATTTAACTTTCAGTTTCTTCATATCTTTTGTGTTTTTCCATAATAAATTTAACACGTGGTCAGAAGATAAAGCCAGAAAAAGCATCTGCATTAAGAAAACAATCTTGGTTTTACCGCTATCATTCGGTTTCTTCATGTTTTTCTGACTAGCAAGAGTATACAAATTTAGTTTTATAGCACAAATGGGGATTCTATAATGTATAAAAAGTGAAAACTGTTTTTCTGATGTTCATTTTCTGTAATAAAAGTAAAAAAAAATTGTTTTTCCTATTGGCCTTTTTTGCAAAAATAATTTAAAATCGCCCAAAAGTATGCTACATTTATTGGCATGAAATCGAGAAATTTGACCCAAACTCAGCTTATCAGATCCACATTTACCGTAATCTTCAACTTGTGCGTTTCAAGACAAATTTTCTGATTTTTAGACCAGGCGAACAGAATCAGCCGAAAAGTAGTAGGTCGCTGCTGACTTTTGTGTTTTTGCTCACATAACGGTTCTTTTTTCAAGATGGCGACCTGGAAGCCAGCTTTTGACCAATAGGAGCATACTTCTATGGTGACGTCACAGGAACTCTATTGCCTGCAGCGACCTACTATTAATTCTGTTTGCCTGGTACTTCGAAACTAGAAATTCGAGAGAATTGGCCGATCTGGCGGACCAAATTGGCCACAACTCGTCCCCAAATTTACCGTAATCCTCCACTTATGCGTTTCAAGACCAATTTCCTGATTTCTGATACCAGGCACACAGAAATAATAGGAGGTCGCTGCTAATTTTTGTGACTTCTCTCACATAACGGTTCTTTTTTCAAGATGGCGGCTGGAAGCCAGCTATTGACCAATAGGAGCGAAGCTTACTAGAAGACAACCGTTAGTTTAAAGGAAAGCTTAAATTAGGGATGAGCAACCACGCTGTTCTTGTGTTCGTGCTACGAACTGGGCACGATAGTCACGAGTTTGTATGGAGCGTGCCGCAGAAAGGCCATCCCTAAGTGGGAGTGGAATAAACTGATCAGCTGATCGTTGGACACCTGCTATTCGCTTCTGTTCGCCTGGTATCTGAAATCCAGGAGTCCAACCATTTCACCGAGAAAAATCTTGCCGAATGCTTCAGTATTTTGGCCATAAAAACGGGAATAATGATCCAAATATGGAGTGTCGTACCTCGTTGAACTCGTAATTAAATCCCTAATCGATTGGCATTCAAATCTGGGCATTTTAATTTTTGTCAATTTTTTGGAAAAAATCATGATTAAATCATCATTAAAAATGTGAAAATTGATCAAAAAATAAATTTTCCAAAAAGTGATGGGAATCGTTAGTTTAGATTGTTAGCTGTTCAAAACAGTCGGTCATTTAAGTGTAGGTCTTTTTTTACCCAAATTACGATATTAAAACTGAAAAAAAGACAAAATTCGAATCCATATTTTTTTAACCCTTCAATATCAGTATGCTGGCCGTAATTAAAGTGTTTATTTGTATCTAATCCGAATTGCAATTTTAACCTGCATATCCAAATATTTACACAGATTTTGTTGCCTCTTGATAAGATTGCAATTTTGTAATGTAAATTCAGCTTTCCCATCTCTTTCTGTTTCGATTTAGGAACCAATCTCATACTTCTCGTTTCGGCGTAATTCAAAAGTCAGCCTTTTTTAAGTGTAATTATATTCAAAAATATATTTTTAAATTTTGTTCTATGATTTGGATTTTATTTTATTTAAAGTTAGCTAGAAGAATGCTGCTTACAGTGCCATCTTGCGACCCTCTATAGATATCTCGACTGCCCGGCGGCTCTCCTTCAGTCGCTTCGAGTCCAGGAAACGTTTCATATGCTTTTCGTAGCGGTTTGGCTTGCGCTTTGTTGACTGCGAGTTGAAAACCGAAATGATTTAATAACTAATTACATAGAAGGTGAGTTCAGAGATCGCTCTTACCGTGGAGATTTCGCCCTCAACGGTCGATTTGGGGCGGATGACGTAGTCCTTGTTGGAGGGCATGGGCACACGGGCGCGGGCCACCCAGCCGGGATCTCCGGGACGCAGCAGCTTGTCCTCGTTGGAGAAGGTCTGATTCAGCGAATGGCCCTTGCTGCTGGAGGCCGGCTCGGGGTCGGGACTCTTGTGGCGATGGCGCGACATCTGCGCCAAGTCGCGCTCCTGCCGCTCCTCCTTGCTCATCGCCGAGAAGTTGCAGCTGAGGTTGAATATCGGTCGGGCCCACTCGGAAATCAGACGACCGGCTCGATCGCGATTCGTCTTGGTCTCCTGCGGATGTTTGTACAAGTACATCACAGCCTTGCCGATGCCCGACTGCTTCAGCAGACCCTTTTCAATGGTGGGAAACTAAGAAAAAGGGGAGTAATTAGTATTATTGAACAGTACAGCTTAAACTCTCAACTCACATCTGACAAAAGCTTGAGAATACTCTCGCGTATCTGCAGGCAGGGCAGACTTTTGTTTGGCAGCGGCGCCAGCCAATCTGTAAGTACATTGAGTATGTTGTGCTCCAAGAAGGCCAGCTGCAAGTGCTTCTTGATCAGCTGCGACATCACTTGCTTCAGCATCGATATCTTCTTCGTGGCCGGCTGGCCCATCATGTTCAGCTGCCGGTCGTCGTCGGAGGCGTTCTTCATGCTGATGATTAGCTGATCGATCAGATCGTCGTTGTCGTTGATCAGGTCGATATCTCGCTTGCGACGTCGCACTCGCTTCTCCTCCTTCTTTCTCAACAGCATGGCATCAAAGTCCGAAATAAAGTTGCTGTTTCTGCAATATACTTTCAATGTTAATTCAATTTATAACGAATTAACGAGTGATCTTACTCTGCTTCATTTGAAATTGGCGTGTTCTCATCGTCGGAACTCTCTGTGATTTTCTCTTGTGACTTTTCCTTGGCCAGGCCATTGTTATCCTGGTCTTCCTCCTCCTCGTTGTCCGTGTCTGTGATTTTTGCTCGCTTTTTCGTCACCTTTGGCGCCTCATCTGAATGGATAGGAATAGTTTTAGGAGGTTTTTAGGGGCTTTTAGGTATTGCTTACCTTCGGAATCACTGATGGCCAATCTTTTGCGCCTGGCGCCGTTCTGGGATGTGGCACTTCCAGACCGAGATCGAGATCGGGAACCCTTGCGAGAGCCACCAGCGCTATTGGAGCGACTGCGTGAGCGGGATCCACTCCTGGAGCGTCGCGATCCACTCCTGGAGCGCCTGGAACCGCTTCTAGAGCGTCGCGATCCACTCCTAGAGCGTCGGGATCCGCTTCTAGAGCGTCTAGATCCGCTCCTCGATCGCTTGGATCCACTTCTAGAGCGTCGGGATCCACTCCTCGATCTAGAGCGCCTGGAGCCGCTTCTCGAGCGCCTAGATCCACTCCTCGAGCGTCTAGATCCACTTCTAGAGCGCCTAGATCCACTCCTAGAGCGTCTGGAGCCGCTGCGGGATCGTCTTGATCCACTTCTCGATCGCCTGGAGCCGGAACCACTGCGCGAGCGCCTTGATCCACTTCTGGAGCGCCTGGAGCCACTCCTGGATCGTCTAGAGCCACTCCTGGAGCGTCGAGAGCCACTCCTGGATCGTCTAGAGCCACTCCTGGACCGTCTAGAGCCGCTGCGAGAACGCCTCGATCCGGCGGATCCACTGCGCGAGCGTCTAGAACCCGAGCCACTGCGCGAGCGTCGGGAGCCGCTCCTGGATCGGCTCGAGCGCCTGGAGCCGGATCTGCTGCGGGATCCACTGCGGGATCGTTTGGAGCCACTGCGGGAGCGCCGGGAGCCACTCCTGGAGCGTCTAGAGCCGCTGCGCGAGCGCCTAGAGCCTGCTGGCGAGCCTGGAGCTGCGCCCGAGTGATGGGAGCCACTTCTGGAGCGTCTGGAGCCACTGCGCGAGCGCCGGGAGCCACTTGGCGACTGCTTGGAGTGCCGGGATCCACTGGCTGCCGAGTGGGCAGATCCGCTGCGCGAGCGGGAGGCACTCTTCCTGGAGCCGCTGCGACTGCGACTACGCGAACGGTCGGCGGCCACGGGGGCCTCCTCCTCGTCGCCACCACCATTCTCCTTGGGTGCCGCTGGTGAGGCGGCGGGAGAGGGGCCCTTTTCCTCCTCCTCCTTTTCCGGCAATACTGAATCCAAAGTGGCCGCCGCGTCAGGCTGCGAATCTTGGCTCTCCTTCAGCGCCGCCTCGGCCTCCTGGACAACCGGATCCTCGCCGGGTGTCTTCTCGGGGGCCTCCAACGGGCTCTCGGCTTCGTCGCCGGCGGTTTTGTCTGCAAATCGAATGGATATATTGCGACGTTTTTCCGAGAATCAAAATTGTAACAACCAACCTTTTTCTGAAGTCTCCATGCCGAGCGACTTATTGTGATCACGAAACGGGGGCAAACACGCCGAAACACAACTTAGTTTGTCAGATCAGTTGTGCAAGTGACTTGGGGATTCAGAGGAAGTACATCACATTAGCACTAGCTAAAAAATAATTCCTGCAATGACTTATAAAATACGACGCGATTCGATTCCTCGGCATTTGTCAGGGCCGACGGAACGAACGGAATGGAAGTGGAACGGGAACAGCGACGTTTGTGTGTGTACACATACACACACTTGCCCGCACGCTGTTGGGGCCGTTACATACCTCCGGCCGCATCAGTAATCGATTAATGCGCAACACGCAACAGCTACTTAATGAACTGCATTTGATAAATAGTTGCATAAGAGAAATAATAGAAAAGATTTAGGGCCGTTTCCTTGTCCGCATGTTAAGCTTAAAGTAAGCTTTAAACGTTAAAAAGGTATGGGAATTCAGAGATTATATCGTACTTTAGTTTTAGTTTTTCAAATTATTAGTCCTTATTCTTATTAGTCCTATTCAAATGCAGATTTTTTTTTTACAGTATAATTCTTTTGTCTGTTATAAACTATTAAAATATAATAGTTTTTAAATAAACAAAGAGACATAGTCAAATAATCGATAGGCATATGTTGCGTCCGATAAATTTACATTCATTAATTAATAGTATAAACGCGGTATTTACCGGTTACACTTATCGTAAAAGTTATCGGAAACATATCGTCGAATCCACCCACTTGAAATGTCCCATCTCTGAATTAGTAATAAACAATAACAAAGGCAAAGCAATTAAAATGAAGGAAGAGCAAAGCTCTATGTGTACGTATGGATATTTGGATGACAACTATTTAGTCAGACTATTACCGGGCATCTCTCCCCCTACCAGCCATTTTTGCCGAGGATATTCTGAGGGAATACGGTGCCTTTATATCGGAACATGATGGGAAACTGAAGATCCTGCGGGACAAAGTCCCGAATTCGGATGACTTGGAGCCCACAACTTGTATTTATATGTCGCCTGTGATAGAGGTTAACTTCGTGGGCAGCGAAAGGATCGGGCTGCCGGAAAGGAACTTTGAGGAATCCGAGCTGGTGGCCAATAAACCCCTGACCACTTTCGCCAATCTGTGCAATCAGTGCCGGAATTTGTCTCGCAAAGCGAAACGCTTTCAACTGGCCTTTCTATTCAGCGATTTTCGTTTGGAGAACGAGAACTCCAGCGCCGAGGAATCCCTGGTCCGCATGAGCAGCTCCATGGACTTCTTTTGTCAGGTTTACTTTTTGCTCAAACGCATGATTGTGATACTCCAGAACCTGTGGCGACAATTGGGCGCTTCCGTCTGCCTCCCCGTCGATATCCACGAAGTCCATGTATTCGTATGTAGCATAGCTGACTATAAAGTAAACTAGACAGTGAAATAACCCATCCGTTTTAGGCTGTATTTGATGCCATGACTGAGATTCTGGAGCATGTAGTGGTCTTCAACGAACTGGCGAACCAATCGAAGATCTCCACCATGTGGGCGCTCTACAAGAAGTGGCTAATCAACCTGTCCAATCAGGAGCAATCCACGAACTTGGAGCTCCGCGGCCTCAGTACATCGCTGCTTGACATTGAAAGTCTGATTACAAACGACTTTTTTCGGGTATGCCAAAATGGGGGAGAACTAGAGCTTAAAACTATCGAATCCATTTTTTCCACCCTAAATTATCAGTTTTTTGTACGTAAATATGGAATGCCATACCTCGTTGAACTCGTAATTTAATTCCCAATCGATTAACATTCAAACCTGGAAACTTTAATTTTTGTCAATTTTTCGCAAAAAATCATGATGGTACCCCTTATCAAAAATGTGAAAATTGGGTCGAAAATAAATTTTCCCAAATCAGTAGGAAAGTGCTCTGATATTAATTATAGGGTTGTAAGCTGCACAAAACAGTGCGCCTTTTTGATTTGGGACCATTTTTGTCCAAGTTAGAGCAAAAAGACCAATTTAAAAAAATCGAATTTTTACCAAAAATCATGATCCTGATTTTTCGCCCCAAAAAATAACAGTATTTTGGCCATAACAATGGGAATACTGATCCAAATATGGAATGTCGTACCTCGTTGAACTCGTAATTAAATCCCTAATCAATTGGCATTCAAATCTGGACATTTTAATTTTTGTCAATTTTTCCCAAAAAATCATCATTAAAAAATGCAAAAATTGATAAAAAATTTAATTTTCCAAAAAGTGATGAGGATCGTTAGTTTAGGTTGTAAGCTGTTCAAAACAGTCGTTCTTTTAGCTGTGGGCCTTGATTTCTTCAAATTACGACCGAAAAACCAAAAAAAAAGGGTATTTTCAGCAAAAAACTATCTAATATAAAATTCTTACCTACTCTCCAAACAGATTCTGCTCGATAACCTGATGGAACTGAAGAGGGAATTCAGTCTGAACGCTGTGAACCACCTCACCCAGCATTCCAATGCCTACATACGCAAACTGCTGCTCGATATCGATGCGAATGCGGGCAACGAGTACCGGAACTACGAGGAACCCCAGCACATCATTCGTCTAACTGCCTTCGCGGCGGTTGTCCATGAGTTTGGCATCCAGATGGAGGGAAAGCTGGTCAAGAGCCTCGTGGACTCGTTAACCAGGCACAAACAGGTGCCCCTGAACCGCAGTGTCTTCTGGTCGCCAGCTGCCTTTCTCTCGCAACATGCAAAGACCCTGATGAAGCCGCCGCCAAGCAACAAATCCCAAGATCCCGGATCCCAGGGCCTAAAGGTGCATAGCTCAGTGCTGGAGAAGCTGCGGCTCGGCGATCAGAGGAGCTGCCGCCAGTTGGGCAGCCAGATATCGCTGTGGTCCATCCGCATGCAGCGGGTCTTCGATGTCGGCGTCTTTGGGCATCTCAAGACCTTCTCGCAGCTCATCCTCAGTGGCCATTCGTTGGCCGACCAGGCTACCCAACTGGCCGGATCGCTGATCAATCGCCATGCGGCTCTGATGACGCCGCTGACTAAGACAGACTGGTTTGTGGTCGCCCGATTGCTACAGTACCTGAATGTTCTGCAGAAGACCTTCGAGTCGCAGCAAATCAGCTTCGTGCGCTTCATCAGCTCACTGTTGCAGTGGCAGAAGCAAAAGGTCCTACACCTGCTGCACACCACAAAGAAGCGGATCGTCGACCTGAAGTTGCTGCAGCGCAAGATGAACTTCTTGTCCACAATGAAGCTGGCCGAGAAATCGATTGTGGGCTTTCCGAGCCAGCAACGGCTGACTTTTATGAATCTGTCGCTTGGCGAGTTTCTGGACAATCGTTTGCTGCCCGCCGACAATCAGAAGCTGATCCGATCGATTCTGGTGCGAGCCAATAACATTAGCCACTTTATGCGCGACATCAGGGGGCAGGAGTCGTCTGGTCTGGTCTACAATCACTGGTTCCTCAGCACGGCGGTGCTGAAGGAATACACCGAGCTGCAGCGCAATCCGTACGCCCTTCAGGTGGGTTTTCACCCTACATTTGTCCTTACTTAAGCTTTCTTCCTTTATGTGCAGAATATTGTGTCGGCTAGCCATCATCTGGACAAGATAGTGGCCTTATTTAGGGACTCTAGTTCGAGGTGTCCCAAGCAATCGGCCAATGACCTGATTATCGAGTTCTTGAGCAACCACTTGGAGTTCTTCCTGCGGGTCGAGGCCCTGTCGCATTTGTTTCAGGACCAGGACCAACCATTCCAGCAAAGTGCCTTAGACTATCGCCTCTGCATCAACGCAGTGTCTGCTGAAAGCGGCGGAGATTATAGTATTATAAGAGGTAAGGAAGTGAAGGTTATTGTTTAAAGCAGGGGTGCATGAAATTGCCTTATGACAGTGCATTTACAAAAACAATTAAAACAATTTTTATTTGAATAAGCGATACATAGAAGAATCGTCATGTGCCCAATGCAAAATAAGCGTGTGACCGCTCCCCTGGTTTAATGAATAGTAACTACAGTTTTGAGAGCTCTTCAATTTCAATTGACTACTATAAATAATGATTCTTTTTAGATAACTTGGAGAACTATTTCACTGCAACGTTCTACAATTTAACGACAATCGCCCCGCACGACTGGAAGTCGTACGAAAAGATGCGTCATCTGGCCAACAAGGTCTTGCAGCTGCGGCCCATCGATGATCACCTGCCCAACCAGATTATTGACCAGGTAATCTAAATAGCTACTTTCCCTGATCTTCCAACTGAACTGTTTAAAACTCTAATTTCCAGGGCATCGACGTGCTGCAGATCATGCGCAACATCCACACGTTCGCCTCCTCGTATGCCTACAATATGAACCTGCAGCTGTTCGTGGAGACGCACAGCAGGGGCAAGCACCTGGACATCATCGGCACCCGGCACGTGGCCAATTCGGTGCAGACGCACGGCACGGGGATTATCAACACCACCGTCAACTTTATCTACCAGTTTCTGCGCCAGAAGTTCTACACCTTCTCCACCTTCCTGCACGACGAGCAGATCAAGTCGCGTCTGCTGAAGGAGCTGCGTTTCCACTCGGAGCACAGGCACAGCAAGCCCTACCAATCGTATCCCTACGAGCGTGCCGACAGCTTTCTCAAGAAGATCCGAAAGCTGGGCTGTTCGGGCAATGGCGAGACCTACATGGATCTATTCAGGAAGGTTATCACTCAAGTGGGTGGGTAAAATTCTCTAAATCCAGCTAAAACTCCCGTATTTATACTAGAGCCCTGCGTGAATCATTCAATTTTTATTTTATCATAGTATGCCCTGAAAATTCTGATTTTTCTAATTCATTTCGAATTGAATGAATAAATGAATAATTTTTATGAATTTGCCAGATTTTTTTGTGCTTTTAAGAACAAAAAGCAGACAATTTTTAACAAGTCAATGTTAACTGCTTAGAAAATAAAATTCATTCAGATTTAATCACAAAATGATGACCCTTTCTTCTTTAAAAGAAATTGTCGTTTGAATTATTTCGGAATTCATGCCATTCATTCATTCCATTCTATTAAATTCAAAATTCAAATTTATTCAATTCTATTAAACTCAAAATTCTAATTAATTCATTCATATAAAACAAAAAATTCAAAATAGTTGAATGAATCCATTCATGCATGGCTCTAATTTATACCATATTTTCTAAACAACATTTGTACCCTTAATTTTAGGCAACGCTGTGGGCTATGTGCGCCTTCTGCAGGCGGGAAGCAAGAATGCGAACTTCAGGAGTCGTTCGTACAAGACCAGATTCGACAGCAACTTCAGTGCCGCAGGTTCAAAGGTGCACGCGGAAACGGAGGGCTCCATCAGGGAGTACGAAAAGAGCCTGGGTCACATGAAGGAATGCTACTCGGACAGCACAAATTACTTTAAGGTAAAGATCCCTACTACAAGATGTTTTCTAACTATAATAACAAACTAACTATATATTTTTTGTAGCTCCTGCTGCAGGGCTTTCAGCCCTTCCTGTGCAACCCGAATAACCAGCACTTGAGAACCTTCTACCTCATCACACCGGCGCTCATAATGAACTACATTGACCACCGGGTCAAGCAGAAGCTGAAGATCCACAAGAAGGACCAAACGAGGATCTCGCTGTTCGAGGATGGCTTCGCCATTGGACTCGTCTACATCCTGAACATGCTGAACCAACAGGCCGAGTTCCACGAGCTGGGCTGGAGCCAAACGACCGCGCGGCATCTGCAGGAGGAGCGCTCCAAGGTGCGCGACATCCTGGCTGGACAGCAGCAGTCCCAGCTGGACGAGAAGCTCCGCCAGACGGTGGCGATAACCGAACGACATGTGAACGCCTACGAACATGAATACAATCTGCTTTATGCCACTCTAAGTAGCTCCGAAATATTCTTCTTCCAATAAAACCAAGAAATAATCAGTTGTTGGTTGTCGTTTATTTTTACTTTTATTAAGACGAAAATACAATTCCGATTTCGGAAAACATCGCTGAACGTTGGAATATATATTGTGGATAATTAGCTTTAGAGTTTTGGGCCAATTTCTGTAACATCTAACATTTTGCTAATCCCCGATTATAATGCTCAATGTTTGTGGGTGTCGTCTCGTTTCTTTTTCTTTATCTTTCTATGGAAATGCGAAAGGCTACATGTTTGAATCGTTTAAACACTGTCACTGGAGGCTCGTTAATTTGATATATTGAATTTTGGCCCCCATATACAATTTATTGGCCAAAAGACAACAACCCAATGGGAATATATTTAAACATGTCTATTGAAAATATTGTTGTATTGTATTTTTGTTTTTCGTAATATTACAGTAATTGGTAGAAAAAAAAATGTTTTTGGAGAAAATGCAAATGGTTTTTCCGTCTTAACAGATTTTTCTTCATGTAATCTTGTTGCTTTTGCCTCTATAACGCATTCTTATAGAGAACCAGAGTTGGCAACCATGATCTTCTTGGAGGTCTTGCCGGACTGCGAGCCATAGGACTCGATCTTCTTCACCACATCGAGACCCTCGACCACCTCGCCGAAGACGACGTGCTTGTTGTCCAACCAGGCGGTCTTCACGGTGCAAATGAAGAACTGGGAGCCGTTCGTGTTGGCGCCAGCGTTGGCCATCGACAGGATGCCGGTGCCGGTGTGCTTCAGCTGGAAGTTCTCGTCGGGGAACTTGTTGCCGTAGATCGACTTGCCGCCAGTGCCGTTGTGGTTGGTGAAGTCGCCGCCCTGGCACATGAAGTTGGGGATGACGCGGTGGAAAATGGAGCCCTTGTAGCCGAATCCCTTCTCGCCGGTGCACAAGGCGCGGAAGTTCTCGGCGGTCTTGGGCACAACGTCGGAGCGCAGCTGAAAAAAAGGAATCGAAATATAAGTAAGTAAATATATAGGGAATGTATATATTTTTTATGATATAAATATAGTTAGTACTCTTTATCGCTTTATTGCGGCAAACAAACTATAATAATAGTTCTCAAAACATGGTAATTGAATTAACCGTGCTGTTTTGGGATATAAATACACAAAACTTAAGAATTCGCGATTTTATTCGTTTTTAATACAAAATACAAAAAGTTTTGTAAAAATTTGACTACTTATTACAACTTCTTATTCAAGTTGTAGAGAATTTTTCAATTTAAAGCAAGAAATCTTCTTTAGCCGGCTGTGCAAACAATAGGAACTTGCAAATCTCAATAGGACAGGTTTTAGAAATGAACTCCGCTGGACTTACCTTATAAATCTATTTGAAATTTAGTTTTCTTGAAAAAATGTACGTTTTACAACTCACACACTACCACTAAACTAGAATTTTACCGTTTAAATATCATGCTTAAAAACTCTGTAAAACGAAAAAGTTGTTTGGCCCCATAGTGCGCCTATAAAGTAGCACAGTTTTGATAAACAGTACAGGGAAAATGAAAAATAATACCCCTATGGTTGCGATATTTTCAAGGTTAAAGCAATAAGGCTCAAATAAATGATAACAAAATATTTGTAAACATTTTCTACCACTGTATATTTATACAATATGTGTAGGTAAACACATTTCCAGTACTTTCTGTAGGGCAGATAAACAATTTAGCTGAGTTTCGCATTCTTTTTTTCTGTCGGAAATTGCAGACATTGTGCCCACTGTACGTTTGTATGGATGTATATATGTATATCCTATTGAGAAAATCCTAGACATGTGGGTTTGGCTTACTATTCGGGCAATGACTTTGCCCGGTCACTAAAAATACAGCTGGATGCAGTAGCATCTTATTTTTTGTTTTAAGAATCAAATGGAAATTACATCATCAACTCAATTAATAGTGAGTTCATTTTTGCAAACGGGTTTACACCCGAATATCTCTGTGTGTACACTGTACATATGTATGTCTGTACATACGCGAGTGACCGCTTGGAGGTTATGTTCCTGTTGTATTGATCTGCGTGTGTGTATGGGTATGGGGCTACGCGAACACCAGCAGCGGAATAATTTATATATACCGCGCACCCATATACACACATATAGACTTATAAATACCGGTAAAAATTGCACACCATTCCCGCAAAAGTTTGCCGACACGTCAATTAAATTAAGGAAAATTCCGTTCCATAAAGATAATGCCTGCCCCCCGGGGGGTTAGAGTGGCTGGAATTCCGTGATATACAGATAATTATAGAGATTTTCCCTCTAAACGCTTGTTCTTCGAGCCAATTAGAATTTGTAAATTTGCAGGGAATGCACTGTCATGCAATTACTCAGAGACATGAGTGGGCAAATGTGGAAAATAATTGTGAGCTAAGGGGCCACTAAATAGATATTTTTTATGTACTTTTCTAAAAAAAAAAAAAAAACTTGCGGCAAATACATGGGCATTTCCAGGCTTCTTAAAAATCACGTGTTCCTGGCGGCTATCCTTACTTTAAGCACAAATAATCTCAGAAAAAAAAAGAAAATTTAAAACTTCTCAAACTCACCTCCATCGTTATCCTACCGAGGGGCTCGCCATCGGCGGTCATGTCGAAAAACACCCTGGGCAAAGTACTCATCTTCGACGCTTTCGAATATTCGCGAACAACCTGGATTCCAAACTGCAACTGACTATTCGCACTGCACGCTGCCGAAGCTAGGGTTGTAGATTTCTTGGTTAAAATGGCGGCCTCCGCAATGTGGAATGCCGACTTGTACCGAAACTGCCGAACCAGAGTTGCACCGAAAGAGACCATCGTGTATGTGTGACGAGTGGGATTGGATGTCGAAATATATCAAAATGTCAGAATATCGATATTTTTGCGAAAAAATAAATATTTGTATCGTGATATTTTGAATACTTATCAGTTACACAAGATTGTATTTCGTGCCACTTAGCAATTGTCAGCTCGCAAATGTTTCCATAGAGGGCGCCCGTTTCCCTAAACCAGTTTCCCCCTTCCGCCAATTTGGCGCTCCTAAATGTTAGATTTCATGGTTTTCCAACAGCAATGTTAAGATACAACGTTTTCTTACATTGGCAGAGCAGAGGCGCAACAGTTCTGCCAATGTAAGAAAACGTTGTATCTTAACATTTCTGTTAAATTGAGAGCGGCAGCAGTGTGACCCTTGGTCAGAACCTTGGAACGTGGAACTGAAACGATAGAATTCAAAAATAAACTGCATCCTTAAAACAAATACATTTTAATTGCTGCGTTATAGATTTCTTAGTTAAAATGGAGGACTGCAATGTGAAATGCCGACTTGCACCGAAAGAGACCATCGTGTATGTATGACAGGCGACCGCATGTACGATACTACGATACACGATGTCTGCGCCTCGTTCCGTTCCGCCCGTTCCGCTGTTACATCACTTTAGGGCACCTACGCACGCACTTTTTCGTACCGATAAAAATACTTCAAAAATCACTGTTGATCCGAATTTATGATCAATAAAATAATGCGTCTGATTTTGTTGATAAAAACAATCGGAAGTTAACAAGCCCCATGCTTTCTTCTTAAAAAAAGGAATTAGAAAAATCCCGTGATCACAATATCGGGATCACTTTTAATGGCATATATATTATAGTTTTGCAGTAGAGCAGCATAAATTTAATAAAACGGATCTTGATGTTTTTAAAGTTCTTGATCAGATTTATATTATGTTTATACAATCAAGTTTTTTACCGGTTCTAAAATATCGATAGTTTCGCGGGTCGCAACATCTGTTGTTCTATTTCAAAATTGGTACTCACCAAATTTAAATTTTAGAATTTGTACTTTAACAAAAACCAATAATAAAATTACAATACAACTTTTTTAAAATGCAATATAAAAGTAGTAAGTGTTATACCAGTTTTAAATCGCGGTACTGCCAACCTGATCCAAAATTTGTAGAAATTTAATTATTTAAGGTTTTTATTGATATGATTTCCCGCGCAATTTAAAAACTATGTATAGTCGGAGATTTCTTACTTCGTCTGCTTATAAGAGATTTATCTTTATACCTTCTAAAGAATGTTGATAAAGCACTTCCCACCCCCTTAATCCCAGAGTTTCCATTAATATTATCAAATAAATTTAATTTCAAATTTATCACTTTATTTTTACAATAATGATACGTATATTCATTTACAAAACATTTTCATTCATTTTTCATATACATAGAATATAGTGTATTTCTTTCCCGAACCCGAACCCGTACCCTATCCACTATAAAATAGTGAGATTACCATTTAGCTGCCCTCAGTGAAATACAATTGTTACAAACTTATTTCGAATCAGAATAGTTGCCCTTAAGGGAATTGAATTAAATCGAGTTATAGCATTTTGGGATGAACGCATGACATAGTAGTTAATTACATATTGAAAGCAAACAAAGAATCATACATATTCGTACTTTAGCATGCGCAAACCCGAAAGCGTTGTTGAACTGTGGACACCTGTTCCACGGTTCCACAGATACATTATTAGCGTTAAAGCGAAGGCGAAAGCTAAAAACAGTGATTATCGTGCATTAAAGCAAAAAAAAAAACGCATTTCGATTCATCTTAGAACTAGGGAGCTCTTTGAAAGCACAATCGTACGATAAGCAAACAAAAAGCGAGATAAGGCAAAACGCTATTGGTCATTTGGGGGAATCCCCTGCTAGCTGCAGCGGCGGCTGCGGCGGCGACCAGTGGGGATTTCTGATTGTCCCGGCACAATGTTTGGTTTCTGATAAAGTTAAACATCGACTCGACGAGATTCGCTGGCGTTATGTCCGAGCACTGTTCCAATTTGCTGACCACGCAGGCCTGAAGGTTCAGCATCTCATCGCACTGCTTCTGGCCGACGGTTAGCTTGGGTATCGTCTTGATGCGATTGTCCTGCAGATCCTGCAGGTTGAGATACTCCGAGAAGGTGTTGTTCACACACTGCTGGATGTTGTCCTTCTGCGATTCGATGCACTCGGGCCCCTTTTCGGCGATAAAGAGGGCTATCTGATCGCCGTCCTTGTGGCAGACGAAATTCAAGAGGCTCTGGATGATCTGCTTGATCACATCCTGGCCGTCGCGCTCCTCCTGGACCAAACAGGGCAGCAGCTGGGCCGTGAAGACATCGACGCACTGCACCGCCATCGATCGTCGGCTGCAGTACTTGTTGAAGACCACATCCAGTTCGCCCTTGGGACTGGCCTCCTGGATCTCCGCCTGCATGGCCGTATAGTTCACCAGCCCATTGAGGCAGTCGGTGAGGACCATAAAGCCCGATTCGATCTCAGCGTACGCCGCACCACCCGCCTCCTCGCCGGCCACCTCGACGCATTTGTTGCGAAACAGCTCCTTGGCGTCGTTTATGCTAAAGTTCGACTTGGTTATTTGCTCGGGCAGCTGCGTCTGTATCTGATCCAGGTCCAGTTGGGCCCCAGTGTCCTGTACAACTAGTATAACCATCCATAGTACACCGATTGCCAGGGGCTGGCTCAAAAAGGTCCTTCCCATTTCAAGTTATTTTCGATTTTTCCCCTCCTCTTTTGTTCTCCTCAGCGAGTATTTCGGTTTGCACTAGAACTGGAACGCTTTGTCTCCTTCAACTTTGCATTTTTCCTTCGGCAATCGGGCTTACGGAATTTACTTCGAAGCTTTAAGCAATTGGAAAAATTAATTTAATTAGGAAATTGGCATTCACCCGTCGGCTAGAGATGGTAATCGGTGACAGCATCGATGCACGGCTGCCTATCAGGCGACTATCGATTGGTGGCTCAAGCTATCCGATTGTCCACCACTAATTTTGGAGACCCACTAAATTCTAAATTATTTAAATTTAATTTAGTAGAATTGATCGTAAAAAGCAACTTTCCGGGCGTCGTCAGCTACCGAAATATGCGGATTATGATGTGTGCAATATCATAGTGCGGAGAAAGCGAATGTCACGATGGAGTCAGACGAAAGAACGCAGGTGGACGCCCTGATGGAACCGATCTCAAGATTGAGTATGCTGCTCACTGGGTTCTCGATTTTCTGGCGGTTCGTTTCCATTTTCATCAACTGGGGCCTGGCCTACGAGTATTGGATGGAGGAATCCTACGGCTACTGTGCCTGGACGATCGGCTCGATCGTGCTGCCCATGACGGTCACATCGGTTATCTATATACACACGTAAGAAAACAGAGGTTCTCCAACCAACAGCCGCTAAAATGAGGTTTATTGTTCAATTTCAGTCTAAAAGCCGGCCATTCGGGGGAGAAACGCATCCTGGAAAGGGGATTATACTCAAATGTGGTGATCTCGTACCTCTTTCGCGATGCCTACTCTCTTAATTATGCACTGAAATATACGGAGGCGAAAAGGCGGGATGATCAGCAGGAGGAGATCAGGTGAGTTGTGGATCTCGTCGGCCTTTACATTCCAAAAACAGCCAGTGATTTTCCATTTGTAGTGTTGGAATTTTCATATGATTTTAATTTAATGGTTTCTTAACTCTATATATTTTTCAGATATTATCAAAAGCTTATGACGGAAGAGTGCAATGTCAGCTTTGTCCGCCTTTTCGATTCGTTCTTGGAATCCGCACCGCAGAAAATATTACAGCTCGTCATAGTACTGCGATCGATCAAGGACTTTACATGTAAATTCAGTTTAAAATTATTTCCGAATTATAGAGTAGTATTTATATTTAAATATCCTCCAAAGTAAAGTTATTATAATATTAAATTTATATAGAGCTTAACTTGCAAGTTGATTAATTATTTTAGTTTATTTACCTAAGCTTTACATATCCGGAGATAGTAAAATTCAGTACATGCAAATCTAATTAATTATTGAATTATTTTTTCAGACTATCGCCTGATCGCCTTCGTCGTCTACTTTGGGAACATAGCGTGGTGCATCCAGGCGTACAATCACTCCAATCGCCTGGTGCAGTTGGACAAACATGATATTGCGGCCAAGGGACGATTTCTGCAATTTCTCTTCCTCCTCTGTCTCACTGGTTAGTGTTTAGTATTAGTATTTATAAGTAGTTTTTGCTTTGTTTTTTAAATATTATTTTGTAGTTTCTCGAACGCTTTGCATCGCGTATGTGGCCAGTCTCTTTCCCATCGAAACACTGATTATTTGTGCTGCGCACGCTTGCTTTTGCGGCACCATTGTATTTTTCGTGGACTCCCCAATGATCGCCGAATCCCGCTTTATGAACTACCTGTACTGCCTTTGCTTTGGCGTAGTCTACCTTTTTATTTTTACGCCCGTTAAGGATGCACCGACCAAGTATAAATACGCCTCATACCTTACATTCTGCCTGCTGCAAAACACATTTGCCTGTGCTTTGTTCATTCCCCTGTATCTCTCCATTGCCATTATTGCCTTGTATATAGTCGGCATCGTGCTGATCGTATTCTATTACACTTACTGCCATCCCAATACCATAAGAACTTATTTTTAATGTAGCATTACTTTGTAGAATAAACCTTTTTTCTGCCCATATTCTCATATTATATTTTTTAAAAAATATACAATCATATATTCGATTTTACTGACTTTTATATACCTACATATAATATCATATTATGATTCGATTTGCTTTCCTTGGCTTTTCCTATCGATATTTTAACCATCGATATACTATTTAAATAGTAAGCTTTTAACTATTTGTAGTTAGTTAGTATTATAGTTTATTTCTAGGTACCAGTTGAACAAATAAAAAACATAAATTTATATTCCTAATTTTCGTTTAAAAATATGTTGATATAAATTATTCTTAATTGCAAGTTAAATATATTTTATATTTATCCTAACTCTCATGTTTATTACTTTCAATGCATTTAAATCAAAATCAAAATTAATTATTATAAATAATTTAGGCATAGGCTAGGCACTGAATCTAATTGCGCATGCGCAACGATCGTAAATGGTCAAGTATCTGGAACCAGTTGGAATCGGAATCGTGATCGGTCTCTGAGCCATGGAATTTCGTATCGTTTCGGGCCCAATTAAAACGGTTCCCGAACCGAACCGGTTCGGACTCTCAGCTAGACTTGGCCCAGCTAGTTGGCATTGTATATTTTTCATGCAGCTCGTTAACTTTCACTTCGGTTACAAGGGGCGGAGACCAAGGCAAAGGCAAAGGCAAATCGCAATAGGATCGAGAAAACAATTAAGGATCGAAATTCAAAATCGGGAGTGATGTGAATGCGATATACTGGCCAAGATAATGGCATCCAAATACGAGCGCATATTGAGCGATTGCAGGGCGAAGAACGTGCTGTGGGAAGACCCCGATTTCCCCGCGGTTCAGTCGTCCGTCTTCTATTACCAAACGCCCCCCTTCACCTTCCAATGGAAACGTATAGTGGATCTGGCCATGGATAATGGATCTGGCTCAGGATCGGGATCTGGATCAGTACCGGTGTTCCTCAATGAGACGGCCGAATTCGACGTGGTTCCTGGCAAAATGGGCGATCGCTGGCTGGTCTCCTGCCTGGGGCTGCTCAGTTCTTTGAGGAATCTCTTCTACCGGGTGGTGCCCGCCGATCAGACCTTAACCAATGCCCACGGCGTCTTTCGCTTCCGCTTGTGGTGGTGCGGCGAATGGGTGGAGGTCCTCGTCGACGATCGACTGCCCACCATCAACGGTCGTCTGGCCTTCATGCAGCCGCAGGCATCGAATTGCTTCTGGGCCGCCCTGCTGGAGAAGGCCATTGCCAAGCTGCACGGCTCCTACGAGGCGCTCAAGTATGGAACGCGATCGGATGGACTGACGGATCTCCTGGGCGGCGTTGTCCGGCAAATGCCCATCCTGGCGGACAACATACGGCCGCAGACGCTCAAGGAGCTGCTGACCACCACCTGCATTGTCACCTGTCTGGCCGACAAGGGCGCCACCGTGGCCAAGAAGAACCTGGCCGAGCGAATGCCCAACGGGATATTGGTGAACGTTAACTACAGGTAACTATGGGTTCTTATCTTTAGTGTCTCATAGATCACTTTCAAACAAATTCCCATCAAAGATATGTTTTTATGTGATATTAATATATAATACACCTGATTCCTTTTAATTTTCATAAATGGTAGCCCCTATATCATGTTTTCATATATTATATCTTGAGTTTCTCATGATACCGAACAAATTCCCATCAAAAGCTATGTTTTTATGTGATATTTATACATAGTACACCTGATTCCTTTTCAATTTTATAAATTTTAACCCCCATATCATATTTTATATATATTATATCTTGAGTTTCTCATACTTTCAAACAAATTCCCCTCAAAGCTATACTTTTTATGTGATATCTATACATAATATACCTGATTCCTTTACATTTTTATAATTTGTAGCCCCTATATCATGTTAATATTTTCAAAAAAAGAATTCCAAATTATTATTATGTCATATTAAAACTGAAATAATTGCAGACTCTCCAGCCTGGACAAGGTGAAGACCCTGATGGGGGACTCGGTGCAGCTGGTGTGCCTGAAGGACACGTTCTCGAGCAGGCCGTTTGGCGAGAAGACGCACTTCCTCGGCGACTGGTCGCCATCGTCGAAGACGTGGGAGCGCGTTTCGCAGGTGGAGCGGGCGCGTCTCATCCGCCAGCTGGGTCCCGGCGAGTTCTGGTTGTCTTTCTGCGATTTCGTCGAGATCTTCACCACCATGGAGGTGGTGTACCTGGACACGGAGACCTCCCAGGACGAGGAGATGCTCAAGAGTCGGCCGCTGCATTGGAAAATGAAGATGCATCAGGGTCAATGGAAGCGAGGCGTCACCGCCGGTGGTTGTCGCAATCACGAGTCCTTTCACATCAATCCCCAGCTGCTGATTGCGGTGCAGGATCAACAGGATCTGGTGGTGGCGCTCAATCAGCACACGGCCGTCGAACCGAAGGTCATTGGGTTCACCATGTACAACTGGGATGGCGACTACTTGCTCAGCGAGTGCCTGCAGAAGGACTTCTTCAAGAATCACGTCAGCTTCCTCAATTCGGACTATGGCAATACGCGGCACGTCAGCTATCATACGCACTTGGAGGCGGGCCATTATGTGCTCATTCCGACCACCTATGAACCGGCGGAGGAGGCCCATTTCACGGTTCGCATCCTGGGCACTGGATCGTTTCGTCTCTCCTGTTTGGAAACGCAGACCATGATCCTCCTCGATCCATTTCCGGCGCTCAAGAGCTCGGAAAGCGATCGATGCTCGGGTGTAGGTGCTCCAGGTGCTTCAGCTGGCCAAAAGGTGAAGAGCGTGTGCCAGTACGAGCCCGTCTACATGCAGCTGGCCGATGAGAACAAAACGATCAACTGCTTCGAGCTGCACGAACTGCTGGAGGCCTGCCTGCCCAACGATTATATCAAGGGATGCGCCAATATCGACATCTGCCGCCAGGTTATCGCCTTGCAGGACAGGAGCGGAAGTGGGAGGATTACCTTTCAGCAGTTCAAGACCTTTATGGTGAATTTGAAGTCCTGGCAGGGCGTCTTTAAGATGTACACCAAGGAGAAGGCAGGCATTTTGCGGGCCGAACGACTGCGAGATGCCCTGTGCGACATTGGCTTTCAGCTGAGCACCGACATCATGAACTGCCTGATCCAGCGATATATCCGCAAGGATGGCACCTTGCGACTGAGCGACTTTGTGTCCGCCGTCATCCACCTGACCACTGCCTTCAATCAGTTCCACCTGAAGAACTACAGCCAGGTGAACGTCATCGAGGTCCATCTGCACGACTGGATAAAAAGCATCCTGAGCTGCTGAATGAATTTCTGTCTTTTTTTTTCGAGAAATCTTAAGATTCTATTTGTTTAACATAAGGATAAGGATGCGACGGAGCCAGTTTCGCTTGATTACTATCTTTAATCTATAACTATGTTTTTTTGTAACCCATAAACTTAAGATTTCGTTACGAAGATTCTTAATTCTAAACTCTTGGCTTTAACCCAATTCATGTTCGTTTTCTCGACCATTTGTTCAATTTAATTTAATTTTAATTTAACTTGCGAACGAGAAGACGGCCTTTAATAAGTTGTAAACTCCCTAAAACAGCTAAAAGGGAAACCCCTACACTCATAGAAATTTGTTTCTAAAATTTAGAAATCTCGCCTTTTAATTTGTTTTAAGAAATTTAGCCTTTAAATCTAGAAGTTTTCTATACTTAAAGGCAATTTTATTAAAAAGAAGAACAAATTTTTTCCATTTCCAAAGGCGAGCTTTCTAAATTTTAGAAATACATTTTTATGAGTGTATAAAACTAAAAACAAATCATATTCTATGTATCTATCCCCGATTTGGCCAGAATTGAGCGAAATCGGTAATGCGGTTGCAGGATTATTGTATGTATATGTACTACTGAGAATTTTATTTATTGTTCTTAACGCTACTATATTAAACGAGCGCTGAAGGCGAGACGTGTTCAGAGTATTTTCAAAATCTACGCATGTTTATTCACTCCTTATCGACGACACCAAGGTAGTTCTATATGCAGATACAATAGTTGGCCTTTCCGATCGGCGATCAGCGATTAGTTCGATTATCTGACGTATAGTTAGGGTATTTTTTATATATTTATAAAAGAAGTGTAGGTGTGTGTGTACAAGCAATTGATAGCGACGCGAGTATTAAGTGTGTGCATTATATAGTACACTAGCGGATATAATCCATAGTAGGCTTAAAAAGTAATTGCATGTGCGCGTGGGTCTCTATAGTAAAATTGGTAACGATTCCAGCTGCAGTTGAAAGTGTACGATCCTGAAACTACATAACTCTGGGCTCTTAAAATCCGATCTAGTTCGAGAAAATCGTAATTGTATCGCAACATATTCCTTAACTGCTCTTGTGATCCTCGAAAACAACAACCCACACTTGTGCATCATCATCACCTCTTAAAATAGTCTAAAATATCAGCGTGTAATCATCACTACGATCTGCAGTTTCCGGATCTCCGCTCAATCCGATCTCCAATTCAAAATTTACATTTACATGGATGTTCCATTTTGGGAGGAGGAGGCATCGCTGATGCGACGGGAGAGCGTCGTCTTGCGGCTGATGGACTTGGAGTTGCCGATCTGATTGCCATTGTAGTTCGATGAGCTCGATCCGCCACTGGTCGGGGTGTCGTTCGAGGAGGAGTCCATGGCCCGCAGCGCAGACCGTTTCAAGGAGCCGGTCACCTCATGTGGCTCCTGGTAGCCCGAGTCCATATCATCGTGGTATGAGTCCATCAACGGCGTGGGATCCTCGTAGTCGTAGTCAACGAAGCCATTGTTGTCAAAGGACTGAAAGAAGGTAAGAATTAAAGATTATATTTTTGGCAAATATATTTTATAAATCCGTTTTTATATAGCCCCACGTTGGGCGCCAAATGTATTATTATATACTTATGTTATAATACTCTGTAAACCATCTATGGAATCAGTCGTATAAATATTTAAAACATTACAAAACATTCACTGTTTTACGTTAAACAAAGTGATTTTTGATCTTGACAATAATTAAAGATCTAAAAATTATTGGGAATATAAATAGCATTTTGATGTATAAGGTTTTAATTTTGATATTTTTGTAAAATCAAATATTGTGTTATGAAAAATATCATCGTATCGCATCCATGTTCTGTATAGTTCTTTATAATACATATATCTTGAACTAAGTAACTCTCTTTCTTCTCTTTTCTTTCTTGTAGATCTATAGATCTATGTAGATCCCATACCTTGACAAATGACTGCGAGTGCTTCTCGTAGCCGCGGAACACTTGGCTGTGCGACTTTCCGCGGTAGTCGACCGACTCGTAGTGCCCGTCCTGGGAGTTCTCGATGATGAAGTGCCGGGTGCCGTGGGGCGTTAGGGTGGCCCACAGGAGACGGCTGTCGTTGACCAGCTGGCTTTGGAGCAAATCCCGGCTGTTGGCCGTGGCGCAGGGATATAGAATTCCGCCGGATGTGAAGGCATTCGACTTGGTGGCCTCGCCCAAAGCATTGATGGCCGTCTGCTTGATATTGGCGTCGTGATACGAGAAGAAGGAGCTGCTAAAGAAGATACAGGAGTGCCTTGATAAGAGATGAACCAGGAATCAAGAAATGATTATAACTTACTCTCTACATCTGATCACAATGAGGGCCAGGAAGCAGCCAAACACAAAGATCCCGATGCAGGACGAGACGAATAGCCAGACATTCTCCAGGCTCTTCGAATCGCTCCTCACCAGCTCCATCAGCGCATTGTTGCCGCTCTCGTTGTGCTGCATCCCATGGCCACACATGAAGGCGGCGAAGCACGGCTGCGTCTCATTGCTGGGCACCAGGATGTCGACCGTCGCCGGCTTGGAGATCAGGAAGGACGGCAGCGGGGGCGGCGGCATCGAGAGGATAAAGTCCGGCGGAGGACCGGCCAACTGGTCACAGCTGCCCACACAGTTTCCCAATAGTACGTTCATGATGAAGCTGAAACATGGGAACATGGGGCAGTCATATACCCACTCTATAGCTCGGCATACTCATGTGTATCTGTGTTGTGTTTAGGATTCATAACACTGTTTTGGGGGTTGGTATTCTACTACTACTACTTTTACTACTACTAACTACGAGTCCACTAGGGGCACTTAAGAAATAACTTATTTTATTGTTATATTTTTATTATAGCCCATTTGAGCTATTACTAATTCTAAAAATATCTCATATTTCACAGCTCCTAGCTTTGCCCTGCTCAAAGCAAACAGAAAATTCCAATGCATCCCGAGGTAAATGGGTATTACGGGTTTTATTACCCATATAAGGATTTTATTAAGGCGAAACACTTTTAAAACCTTTCAGCCCAGTTAACAGGTAATTATGTATAGAATTAATTAATATTAAAAAACAGTTTCGAACCTTTTAACACAATGCCCTGACTTGTGTCAAGGAAATCCCAGTCAGAACTGAGTGGTAGTAACTATCACAAATACATGGCTCTCCTCTCCATCCGAAATGCGCGCGCATCTCCCCCAAAAATGGGTAGAATCAGTTACTTTAGCAATACCTTTAAGTCGGTAGCCAGTTACCCCCGTGCCTTGGGACACACCCAGGTATGCTCATGCATAGGTATATGTTTTCAAAACATTCCATATCTATTATTTTATTTATACAAATCAACGTAATAACATTGAAAGGATTTCTAATCCTTTTCGCTTGAGCTTAAGAAAAAAGTTCCTCTTCAATAAATATAAGATGTTTTTGTTAAATTTGTATAAATAATAAAGCTATCGATATGTTTCCAATTAAGTCTACCTTTTTCGAAAAGGACATTTTCAAATATTAGAGCTTTTCAGGGCTTCTTTTTAGGTTTGGATCTTGGATACCTTGGTAAAGCGTTGTTATTTTTAAAACCTTTATTATAGTATTTCAAATGTTTATTTATAAATGTCAGCGCCTTCTTGCTTTTTATGAGAATCGCAAAAATTACGATCCATCTCCTTTTTTGTATAAGGTTGTATCACAGTTTAAACTATCACATTAAAGTAGCCCCTTAAAAATAAGAACTTAAATCGCCCTCATATCGTATCAAAAAATCGAAACATTACAAAGATTTGGAGGTACATATTTTTTAGTTACTTTCTATATAAAAGAAAACATATATATTTAACATTTATAGCCGTAGGTGGTAGCTTTTGTAACAACGTGCTAAAAAAAAAAACAAAACCGAATTCAAAATTCAGCCTATATATTTATGATCACATAGTTATTTTTTATCAGTGTAAGTCATGACGACGCCGGCAACCAGGGCCAAAACGGTGAATCCCTGAGCGGCGATTCGAGTGCGCATCATCAGCTGGGACATCTTGCGATTGCCAGTGCGAAAGTTGTATAATCCGGCTGTGAGTGCCGCTGTGGTGGCCAAACATCCTGGATGCAAAAAGGCAATTAATCAGTTATAGCGCAAACCATAATGTTTTGTTTACATAACCCAACCAAACCGCCTAATTGAGCGGCAAACGGAAAGACTCACCCAGCGGAACCAGCGGATTCTCCTTTATCTTGCGCTGCAGCTTCTCCTTCGTCGTCTCCACCTCGGCCACGGGTCCCAGGTCCTGGCGCAGTTGGATCCAGTCCAGTTCCTCCTCCGGCAGCGCCACCTGAATTTTGTTCGACATTTCGCTGATATTCCAAGTAAATATTGGCAAAACAGTAGCGCAAACTACAAACAAGTCGAATTCTATTATTGAATTAGAGATGGACCCCGTGACACAAGCGGAAATGCGTGCGTTCACACTGCGCAGCCGATAGTTCTAGGTAAATAGTTGGAAAACACTAAAGTCGAGTAAATATTTAAGATTTATCATTTATTTACAGATTATTATTATTTTTAAATATTGCACCCCATTTAAAAAAATATGCCTATATAAATTATAAATATGAATCGCTGTCCCAGTGTAAACGGAGCATTTCATGGATTCTATTTTTTTAACTAGTGAAAATGTAGAGAATGTTTAAGTTTTGTTTTTATTTATTGTATTTTTAATTAACTAACCAATAAGTCTTTGAACAATTATGATAGTAAAATACAATAAAATATTGAGACAAAAATATAATGTTCTTAAAAAGGCCTGTCAATTATTATTTCATTTTTAATTTTAAAAATTATCACTGCAAATTGGAAACAGAACCCGAAACACGCATAGTTTTTTTTAAGCGAATAAAAAAATGTATAAAACTTAATACATATTTACAAAAAATCATTATTATGCTTAAAACCAAATAAAATCCCCAAACAGTTAATGAGTAGCTTAAAAAAAACAAATTTTTTTAGTGACCGATATAATTGATAAATTTGTTTTTTGGGTTTTTGTGACCTCACTAACACGCTCACACACACACACGGCATGGCTGCATTTTTTTCAACATGCCTCTCTTTCTCGAAACGGGAGAGAAGAAGAGAGAGAAAGGTACAGTCAGACGGGAATATAAAATGAAAATGTGTATGTAGCGGGTCGCTGCGATGTGTATGTGCCGTGTGCTTGCGTTCTATACGTATATGCCTGGTTATGTATCGATGTGTTTGCATTGATGCATATCGTTTTTGTAGAATTCGAATGTACATACGCATAGGCATCCGTACATACTGATGAATGTGGCATGTTGTTATAAATATAATATCTTTAAAATACATTTCTCTTTCGGCAGTAGTTGAAAACGATTTGCGTGTACGCCGTACGTACATATGTACATATGCATACATACCATTTTGTATTTTTCCCACACTCCACCTCCATAGTTTGTCCGTATGTACGGGGCAGAGCGCACAGCGTTTATGTACATACTCGCGTTCGTATGTACATATGCACGAAAGTAACAAGCCAAAAATTTTTATAAGGCCTTTTCCCTCCACCACGTGTATGTACATATGTATGTACCGTATGTATCAACACAAACGGCGCTCTCTCGCTCTCCCCTACGCTCTCGCCCCACTCACACACCCTCAGACGGCTCTCACCGTTGCGCACACAGTTCAACGCATACACATTTGTTCGCTCGTTTAGATTTGGAAGCACAGTAAGCAGAGACGGCAATTCAATTCATTTCATTCGTTGTTGGTACTCTCTGTGTGTGTTTTCAATAAAGCGAGCGGCGCGCGAACGGGCCATATATTCTGTATTCTGTTCTGTATTTTCCGCATCGCATTCGCATTGATACGACACCGTACTGTGTGCTGTTGTGTATAGTGTATGTACCACACCAACAAAACACAGGCGATACGACACGATACAAAGCGTATGCAGCGCTGTTTGTTTATTTTTTACAAGTTAAAACAAACGACAAAACAAATCAGCCAAGCCGCCCGCGTTTCGCGCTGCAAATAATAATAGAAAAAACAAGCGAAAAACAAAAACGTGTGCATTGTGAATTTGAAATTTTCGAATTTTGAGTTTCGAATTTTTGGCTTGTATCGTCGTACACCACCGTACATACATACATACATTTTCGTATTCGTGTGCAATAATCAATACAATACAACGTACAACAAACTGCGTAGAACAGTATTAAAAAAAAAGAAACGGAAAAAAGACAAAACTGGCTCAAGACTTGCGTTCGTGTGCGTTTTACATACACATACAACATAGATTTCTGTGCAAGAAGAAAGAAAGTTACTAATTTGTGGACTAAAAGTGAAGGAAATAGACCAGAGGACTAACTATAAAGCCAATCCACACTGAAAACAATCGGACTCGATCCGATACCGCACAGTTATGGAACACTTTCATCAAATACAGGTAAGCTTGTGTGCAGGTATACGGCGTTTTATTTAAAACGGACACATGTATCACACAAACACACGCATATACAGTCACATAGCCGCGTTTGTGTATGGGTTGCCGCGTTTTGCGTTTAACTAAATCATTTTCCCGCCAAACGAATAAATATAGTTAATAAAATTTAAACATGTTTTGGCACCTGATTTGGTTCCCTTTTTTTTGTTACTTACATACATATGTATGTAAATGTCGGTGCATGATGTACGCTTGTAACACTGCGTCTCGCTTTTGTTTTTAATTAATTAGTAACCAAGTGTGTGAGTAAATGCAATAGGAGCACGCCTATGTACATACGTATGTATGTGCAAGTATGCATACAAACAAAAAACGACGCCGTACAATCAAAATTGTATTTTGCGTGCGCATCCAAGTCCGCCATTTTTCTTATTAGTTTGTACAAGTATACAAATGTATATTTATACCGTTTATAAGAATTGTAAGTGCGCTTCTGTGTGTAAATGTTGTTACATTTATCTGTTTTTCATTTTTAAATATGTATGTATGTGGATCTGTAAGTCTGTATGTATGCTGCCAAACGTTGCCGTAATGCGATGTACGCACGTTTGTTTGTATATATGCAAAAAGTGTATACTACATACATATCTATGTGAAAACCTGAATATGAAGCCCAAAATCACAGCTTGCGTAATCCGAAATTGGCTATATTTTTCCCCCATGTGTGCATAAATCCATATAAATACGTATGTATGTATGTATGTATGTAATATGTATGGGCAAATACTTGGCCAAGCAAATAGTCATGTATGTATTTATTTTTACTTACATTTACATATGCATGTACTATTTTAGCCAGGAATATTATTTAAATTTGGCAAGAAAAACGGCTATTTTCGGCTTAAAAACTATGTGCGCTGTATATTCAGGGTTCATTCATGACGCCCTGGTTTTGCACTTTAGGCCCTGGCATTGGAATCGGAATCAAAGCGAAGAGATAATCCGATCCGATTCGCAAAAAAGGGAACCGGTTCCGATTCCGATTCCGCTTCCTCTTCCCCACAAATACAATGTAGTTCCATTGCACACTTTTTCATGCCCGATTCATGTAAAAGCTTTTTCTTTTATCGCCCGGCGTCAAACAGCTGGTGCGATACTTAATTGTAATTTGTAAACAAATCGAGTAACAAAAATGATAACAAGAGGCCCCCTGCAATGGGAAAATAGTACTTCATTTACTTGTATCTTTAATCTTTTATTGAATAGACATTCCAAAAATTTGCAGTATTTTTTGTAGATGTATAATGATTATCATCTATCTACATGTTTACTTACATGAAAAATTTAAAAGGATAACGCCCTCATCCAAACTAAACTTGAAAATGGGCTATAAACTATGGAAAATACTATATTTTGTTAATTTTAAAGTCAATCTTTAGTTGGGTTTATCTATTTTTAAGAATGGATGTTTGTAGGTCTTCAAAAAAAGGTCCTGTTTTTTTTTTCGGGTTCCCATTGGTAAACAGTCAGTTTTACACATCTGTCAATCGATTTAAATCACTCCCTGGCACTTGATCATCCAGACACAACCATCAATGCTCACTAATTGCTAATCTTAAGGACCCATCTAGTGGTTAGTGCGATGCCAGATTCGAAAAAAAACCGACTGGCATCGCACTAATTGTGCACTAATAATTAAACACCATCAACCAACCAACTATTGATCAGCAAACAATTCAACACTATCAGCAGCAACTGGCTGCTCAGCAACAACAACAAGTACAACAGCAACAGTTGCAACAACACCAGGTGCAGGTCGTGCAGCAGAATCAGCAGCAGGCGCATCAGAATAGCTCCAATACGACAGCCGGCGTGGGCACCCAACAGCTGTTCACATACAAAATGGCCAGCAGTTTTCCGAATCCGGCCACAACGATGGCCCAAGTGGTGGCCACATCGAATGCCGCCGGCACCACGGGCTATGACTATCGCCTAAATATGGCACAAGCGGCCGCAGCAGCAGCCGTTCCAGGGTCCCAATGGTGGTACTCGGCCGCCAATCAGGGCCAGGTCGATGCCAATACAGCGGCGCAACTGCAGCACCAGCAGCAGCAACAGCAGCAGCAGCAGCAACAGCAGCAGCAACAGCACCAGCAGCAACAACAGATGCAACAGCAGCAACAGCAACAGAATGTCATCAATTCGGCAGCGGTAAGTTGGAAAATCTGACATTCTATTAAGTTTTTCTTAACCCCAACTTAACCTTAAAGTAACCTAAACTTAACCCCAAGTTGAAAAGTAACCCAGATCGTACAATCTGTCATTGCTTTACGTTTTTATTAACCCCAACTTAACCCCAATTTAACCCTGAAGTAACCTAAACTTAACCCTAATCTTTAATCCACAGAGCCCAATGATCAGAGGTGGCAAGGCCGATGCCAAGCCCAGAGGCCGAATGACCGCCTACGCATACTTTGTACAAACTTGCAGAGAGGAGCACAAAAAGAAGCATCCCGATGAGACGGTGATATTCGCCGAGTTCTCACGAAAGTGTGCCGAGAGGTGGAAGGTGGGTTTATTAACTTTTTAAAAGTTAAAGTTCTGTAGTTGATAATATTGCCAATCCCCAGACAATGGTCGACAAGGAGAAGAAGCGTTTCCACGAAATGGCCGAGAAGGACAAGCAGCGATACGAGGCGGAAATGCAGAACTATGTGCCGCCCAAGGGAGCGGTTGTGGGACGCGGCAAGAAGAGGAAACAAATCAAGGATCCCAATGCTCCAAAACGTTCATTGTGAGTTCGTAGCAAAATCAATTACAAATTACAAACGACTGCCAGAGATGGCCAGATAATGGATTGCAATAATAAACTGTATCTCCTTTTACTTTATTTGTTCCTCAAATAGGTCTGCGTTCTTCTGGTTCTGCAATGACGAAAGAAATAAGGTGAAGGCACTCAATCCCGAGTTCGGAGTGGGCGACATTGCCAAGGAGCTGGGACGAAAGTGGTCGGATGTGGATCCCGAGGTCAAGCAGAAGTACGAGTCGATGGCAGAACGGGACAAGGCTCGATATGAACGCGTAGGTTTCGGTTTTGGATGAGAAATTATCGGATATGGATATGTGAAACAGGGGTGCTTTACAAAGAAGAATCGGCGTGTGCCCAATGAAAGAGCACCCCTGATATAAACATATACCATTCACACTAGACACACACATTTTACCATTTACCAAACCATTTACAGGAGATGACCGAGTACAAGACGAGCGGGAAAATAGCCATGTCCGCACCGTCGATGCAGGCGTCGATGCAGGCGCAGGCACAGAAAGCCGCGTTACTTGCCGCCGCTGCCCAGCAGCAGCAACACCAGCTGGAAGAGCAGCACGACGACGACGACGGCGATGGAGATGATGACGAGAACCAATAGGTTTAGCAGTAAATACTCTTCACTATTTATACACACGCGGTCGTTGTCACGAGCGAAGGAGCGAAGGAGAAATGAACATGATAACGTTGGTCGATCTATTATCAGGTTGGCGCCAATGTGTGTTGAATATATATTTATATATATAAGGGTGTTTTCTTTTTAGAGGTTCCGTTTTCCGCTAGCGCTAAAACTATCACAATTTGTTCAGTAGTTCATCTGGCAATGCTGTATAATCAATTATAAAATATACCAATTATAAATTTTTTTTCAAAAGCAGTCGTGTGAATCTCGAATGGACTTTATTAAACTTACTCCCATTAAAAAAACAAAGAACGGTGTTAGTGCCTCTTTCAAAATGATTTTTCAACCAGCCAAAAGTCCAGCCAAAAATCCAACTGGCACAGAAATCTCTTGAACTTTCAAAGTAGGTTTTCAAATAAAAACATTGTTCCTAGTGTATTTCGAAAAAACAACACGAAATCTCAAGAGATTCTGTGAAATTTGTGGATTTCTCTTAGGCAAGGGCAAAATCTCTACAGATTTCTGTGATTGAAAAACCAAAGCAAAGCACAAATTGTTTTTTTTTTACCTTTCTTAATTGTGAAAATTTTCGATGGTTAGCGGGTAATGGAACCTCTAAAATACACCTATTATATATATGTAAATGCATATATATAAATAATATATAATTTTTTTTTTTTTAACATAAGTAATCAAATTTCCATGAATTATGAAGATAAATCACAAAGAAACCTTTTATAAGTTCTATGTTAAGATGAATACGATTAAGTATGGTTAGATTAAAAGTGACACTCATCTGTCTGCAAACCTTATTTGTGCGCTTCAGTGCTAAGTTTCTCTTCTCCTAAAGTAATAAGAAGAATTATTTTATAAATTGAAGATAAAGAGAAAGAAGAAATTCATCATTATGTCATTCGTTCGTTCTCAGCAACTATGAAGAAGGTTACCACTACATTTATAAATATTGGTACATATTTCCCATTTATTAAAGTTAGATTCACCATAATGAAACTACAATTAATGCGTTCGAGTTTATGTATGTCCCCCAGCAAGCGAAAAGAAAGCGAAACAAACTCAATCAAACGTGATAATGTGAAATACTTAACTCAGTGGCGGGTGATATCTCGATCTATGTTTATTTTTTGACTCTCTAAAACACAAATATTTAAAAACATTTTTAAAAAATTCATTTCATATTTGAATTACTTCATTTACCAGTTCAGTTTGCGATTCTTGAATTTAGAGATCCTCGGAGAGATTTTTGGGTTTGTGTTCATTTGTAAATATATACATCAACTATAATATAGCCACCATCAAGAGATTTGGAAACTAGATCTTAGGTTGTTCAACGTTTTGAGAAGGGAGAAAGGAGGGGAAAGGAAAAACGATATCGGACATTGCAACAATTGTTGACTTGGCCATGTACATACTATTTGAAGTATTATTTAGATGAGACTACGTAGAAATTAACGAGAATCGAGAGCAAATAAAAAATACAAGCCTAATATCTAATATTCTAATATAGAGTATAGAGCGTAGATTTCAGCGGGACTGCAAAGTAATGTAAAAATTGCGTAGTAAGTTTGAAGGGCGAAGTGGAAACTAGTTTTTACACGTCGGTCTTGAGAACCAAACCAAACCCCAATGTTCCAGGCACACAGAAGAAGTGTTTATGCAGATATAAAGGGAGACGTTCCTCCGGCTCTTGTTTTATATTGTATTATTATCAATTGTCAATCGGTTGGATGGATGTTTCTCTTTATATCGCATGTATAAGCTAAGTAGTGGTTAGATATTATAACGTGATAAGAGAGGAGCTGAAACTATGTCTAAGGACGCTGTACCCCTAACTTCGCTCTCCCCACGTTATGAGTGCGCGACGATATGTATATGTATCTGTATATCTATATCTATTTTTTTAGCATCATTTTTGATAGAGAATAACTCGCCACCGAGATTATATTCATTAAAGTGTTTAGGTTAAACCTTTAAATCCTAATTTTCCAATCGCCACACATAATAAATTACTATGAAAATTCCAGTTCCCCTGTGCGCTTTGTTATAAGAACTAAACTAAAACTAAACTATTATAAAATAAACTTTTAGAAATGAGATTCTTTTTTTTACCATGGAATGGAATGATGTGATGTGTGTGTTCTTCAAATCCATTTGTCTTTTCTATTATAATTTGAATGATTAATGGCTCTTGGTACATACATATTAGATGACAAACTTTTATGTTACAAATAATAAAAATCCCTATAAACAGCTTTAGCTTTTATATATTTGATTTCGATAGACACAACACGCTCGGTGGGTTTCTAAACCTAAAATGTGTGAAATACTTTAGCAATACTATGGTAGCCACTAAGAATTCGTTTTTTTTCCTAAGAACTTACCGAAATACTGTAAAAATAGTTTGAAATAAATTAATTTAGCTAGATGTACGCTTGTAAAGGCAAATCAGAGAAACATTTCTTATGAGTTGTTGCGTGCCAAAGGGGTTTTGAGGGGAGTAATTACAAAGTATTTCAAAAGTTAGATGTTAGGACCTTTTGTTTAAATCGGAATAGCGGTTATTCAGAATGCTTTTTTTTTATTCAGGCTAGGTAGAGCCTAGCATTTGCGTCCAGTTTAAATATGGGGCCTAATCCTTAAATAACCATAGAAAAGAGCGTTAACCGCCTATTTGCCTCTCGCTCTCGCTCGACATAAAACGGCGAGCTAACCACGGGAGAGAGCGAGAGGCAAATAGGCGGCTAGCCATCGAAGTAAATAAATAAAGAAAAAATAAGTACAAATACGAGCTAAGACTTTAACTTTTGATTACAATTATTATTATTAACAAGCGAAAAACTAAAGACTTATTATTTGAGACATGTTAATTTGTAAAGGAATGCTTTCAATTTTCACATCTAAAGAATATCCGTAATATCGCCATTTTGTATGGGTAGTATCGTTATAGTATGGTCCCCCTGAAAATATCGATGGCGTTACTATCGATGTATTCACACCTCTAGAATAGTCACGGCCGTTAGGTATGACCGTATACTAATAAATACCAAAAACACAACATAATTGGAATGGTATTTTTTTAACTCGTTTTAATACATGTATTTAAATAAATAATAAATAAGTCTATACCAGGTGGAAAACTAATACATTAATAATAAATTGCAAGGTTCGAAATATGATTATATCGCAAATCTTTACGCTTGAGCCATATCAAACGAAGGAATTAAGAAAGTTTTCGATGTCGGAAATGTCTCCTTCACTGCCTTGCCAACTTTTGACTGAAGTTATAATATTCTCTGCAAAACCCTCTATAAAACTAATATTTCACATAAAGGAAACTTTAATCTTCTTCCTTTTATTTGAATTTAATTTAATTTATTTTACTCTTCAAAATATACCAAAAAGAATACAAAATACTGAAAACGGTCACCCTGATCTCGATAACGCCTTTGACATTTGACACTAAAAAATACCAGGACAGGATACAGAGAGGCGCCAAAAACGAAAAGCCGCAAAGCAAAAGCGTAAAAAATTAAAACAAGTGAAAAAGTGTTAAATCTGGATATCTGGCGGTGAGTAACGATTAAATAATATAGTATAGTATGCAAATCAAGTGCGGCACTCGGTTAGTAAGCAACAAAACTTGATTGATTACCAGTTAGTCATGAACGCTATTAATTTTCGGAAGACGCTTTGCCTATTGCTGTCTCGCTCTGGCAAGATGGCGTACATTCTTCATTCATCACTAAGTTAACTGGTATTTGTAATTGAAATTGTAATCTCTTGTCCTCGGGAGCCCCTAAAATAGCCAAAACAACCAAATATTAAGATTTATATATGTACATATGCGCATATGTATAACGAGTTCCCTAACCTCCGCATTTAGTTTTCCAGGATTCCATTGAGCTTCTTTATGTGACAAGTGTATTTCGTGCAGACATATACATATGTATATACATATATATATGTATGTATGTAACCCAAGTGCTCAATGAAATGCGTATTAAATTAGGTTACAAAACACAACTGAACATTCATACATACATGAATATAAAACCGTTATAACCGCTTTATTTAAAATAGAGATTGTTATTCTAACTACCTAAGATTTTAAAATATGATAATATATGTAAGTAAGTTTTCAAAATACTCATAAGATTATTACGTTTTTGTACTTAGAAAATTGTATATAGTATATACATATCTGTGTAATCTCAGAAACAAAATTTGATATTATATGATCATCGTATCATTTCATTATTAGATAATGTAAAAATTATATTTATAATTAGGACTAGATTTACTGACCTGGTACAGTGGCTCGCAGCTTATTTCGTGCAGAGCTTAAATAAAACTTATAAGTCGTATTACTCATAAAGTAAAATAGATATTAAATAAATTTCTTTGCAGCTTTATTCAGTGTTATACTAATTTAAATTAAACCATTTTATTATTTTTTTTATTCTGTTAGGTAATACTTAAATCGAACAAATTTCAATAAAAGTAGCTTTTTACAAGTCGCAGCTTATTTCGTGCACGCAACAAAATCCTTAAAATATATGTTAAAACTTTTATGAAAAATGTTGTGGGGCTTTTGTTATGTTTGGTAATATCTTCAAAACATATTATCACCAGAAAAAGCGAATATCTTTGGATAATTTAGTATATTACGTAATTAACGTGCTTAAAATTGTATTTTATTGAAAAAAAATCCTTGAAAATAAAATAAGAATCAGGTTATTCTTGACAGTCAACAATTTTATTCTTTAATTAAAATTATATAATAGGGAAACTAAATTTATCACGAAAGATGCATTTTTGATATCCCAGGAATGCAAAAACCGAATATTTACTGTGGTTCGGTGCCCTGGTAAAACTTAAAACTAATTTTTTGGCCTAGTTTTATAAATTTTTTGATAATTTTTTTTATTTAATGTGGAAGATAAATGTTTAAATCATTCATTATTAAAGGAAAAAAAATTCTTCCACCCTCAGTAACCTCAGAACATGCCCAACCTATATCAGTGCTGACACTTTGCTTAGCCTTAGTTTTTAGGTGGGTGTGGTAAGAATCAGAACTCCGTTGAAAGCACATAAAATGCGTTTAATAGTAACTATAATTAGTCAGTAAGCACTCTAATAAATAAAAAAAATGATTCCAAATGAAAATGGGACGAATGACGTGCTATAAAGCCTATTTAAATATGCTTAGATTGTTCTTAAATGTGATAAGTAGCATATTTCAACTTGATTGGTCAATAAGTGTAAGATCTCGCTTTAGGACGCGAATGGTTTCCACATAACATTGTTAGCCCATTCTTTTCTGATCAAGACTAGCTAATTTTGGATACCGTATATGTAAATTTTTTTAACTTTTTGGATAATTTTCTTCGGCTCTACTTTCCTTAGAGTTATAAAGAATGCATTTTGGGACCATTCACACCACTCAATTTACTCATATGAAGCTTTGGACTACATATTTTGAAAATCTAAGTCGTAAATCAACAGATTCTGTGATTTGTTAAATAATTTAACAAGTTTTTTTGATGTTTTGGCCATTAAATTTTCAAAAGTTGAGTAATTTTTTAAATTTCTTTATAACTTTTTTTTTAACTGTATTTAAATCCTTCGAAAGTTTAAAATACTTTATTTATAATGTTCAAAACAATGTAGAAGTAGAAAAACCTTCTAAAAATAAACAACTTACGAATAAAACGAACATAAAGTTGTTGCACGAAATAAGCTGCAGCATCAAAAAAGTCGATATTTTCAGTTTATGCTTAATTTTAAATGTTCTTTTAAAAAATTGTTAAGCGTAGATTACGATATAATATCTTAAAATTCTACCAAATAAGACTGCGTTTATAGTTTGTTGATACCTTTAATAGTTTATCGGATAGACAACTTTTAAATTAAAATATGTCTCTGCACGAAATAAGCTGCGAGCCACTGTACATATTTTAAAAATGTTCGGAAAAATATTAATATCAATTTGATAATATAATATCATATGTCCTAGTCCCGTCTAAACCGAATTTTTTTTCTTATTTCGAGAATTATTTTGTGCTTGAACGAAAATATTTTTAAATACTTAAAGCCCAGGAATTCTTTGTATGTAGTTTCAGTTCAGAAAGGTTTTCCCAAAAGCCAGTGGCTCGTTTTCAAGCGATTTCAACATAGATCTTATTATCTGATAGTGCCACGCCCCATTCTCTTTCACCAATCTCAACGGAAAATGAACTATTCCTGACCTTCTGGGCCGCTGAGTCACGAGAATTTTCTATGCGAGTGGGAAACCTTGGCAGACAGCGGGTCTCGGCCATCGTAGTTTCGGGGAGTGGTCGACATAGAAATCGGTAATAGGTAATCGCGAGCCCCGAAGACATATCCCATTTGTCACAATCGCACTTGTGCTTTTGCTTTTGCTTGGTGGCATAATTTTTCACTTAACGCACGTCTATAAATACCCAATGCTGCAACACATGTAAGACTATCTTAATTAAAATACAAATACTTATACACCTGTGTGCGCCGCCACTGCGATTGCTAATAGTTACCTCAGTAATAATAATGCGTTCTCTGGTTATTTATGGCCGATATTTTATGCGATTAAATGCCATAATTTATCAAAGCTCTGCGCCCGGTGCTTGCTTTCATATACCATGATATGATATGATATTCAAAGTCTATGGGATCTGATCTGGACACCTAAATGTTGTCTACTCCAAGCCGAGTGACATTTGCCACGATCACGGATTTCTTAAATGCCAAGCTAAGAGGTAGAAAAAAGGATCGTTGGATGGTGGATGGGCTACATATCATACCAAAAACCTATGATATGTGTCAAATAGTTTTGCAGATTTTTGATTACAAACCATCATTATTTGCATCAAAATATTTGTATTTAATTTATGTTCCCAATGGTGACCCAAAACTGCACTACCTCTGAAATTTCTTTCTCTATTAATCCGTGTTTTAAACTTTATTGTAAGAAAAAGGCCTGAAAGATTTGTTAATGTTTTTTCTATGGACGAGTCTTAAAATGTACTATTTACTACTACTATTTAGTATGGTTTGGTGACCCCGATAGACTGGAGTTTTTGCGAGAGGTGACTTAATTAAGCTAGTTTTTTTTCTTAAATCGATTATTATTACAACCTACCAACTTGACATCTCAGAAGAGGGCTTGTCTGGGTAGAAATCATCCCACATCCCACATATCGTGTGTCCAGTGCATGTGACTCCCGTGGAGGCGGTGACCCAATCTATGACACACGCTCCGGCGAGAAGGATTTTGTGCGCTGTTTTTCGTTCTTTTATTACTGTTATGACATTCAATAAGCAATTAGGCATTAATCACTGCCGGGGGCAGCATTAATCACCGGAGCGCGGTTCAAACACACAGCTCGGAGCTCCGAAAGCGAGCCTTCAACTTATGCATATTAGCGGAGCGCCAGAGAACTTGGGAGAACTGGAGAACCGGTGGCTACGAGAGAGGAGGGGCTGGGTTCTATCCACGAATAGTTGGCGACATAGCAAGTCGCACTCGCTGAGACGCCAATCCGCCGATCGACAGAGACAGAATTAGAATCCCGCTTGCAAGACATGATGTCACCGTCTGTTTATAACTTGTGCCCGTCAGCGATGCAGATCGGATCTAAGATCGGTGGGGTGCTGCTGATCGAGGGAGGTGCGGATCGGATCGGGCAGAACGGATTGTCCCACGCCCACGCGGAACACGCGCCAAGAATGAACTTGATTGAATGAACAATCGGGAAAATCAGACGTTTGGGATACCCTGATATCTTTCAAATAAAATGGATCGAAATTATATCAAAAATAGTCTTACTCCTTTGGACTATAGGAACTAGTGAAAGAACTAAGAAGGTCCTGCACCTGAAGGTCCGTTTTTTCATCTTTCTGTTAAATTTAAAGAAGGGTTTAGACCTTGATATCGTATGGAAAAAGAGAGTTCAAAACTTCCTTTAAATTTAACAGGCAGGCGAAAAAAACAGTCCTAAAAACATTATTTAGGTTCCAATAAGTTTACAGATGAGTTTTTTTTCTCGTCTCCCTGTTAAATTTAAAGTATCAAGGTTTAACCTTGATATCGTATGGAAAAAAGAGAGTTCAAAACTTCCTTTCAATTTAACAGGCAGACGAGAAAACGGTCCCAATAATATTGTTTAGGTTCCACTGAGATCACAGATAAGTGGTACAACTTTACAACGGCAGGTCAGGTTGATTCAGATATTGCCCCGGGCGGCTTGACGTCGGGTGCTTTCAAGATCGATGAGAGCGATCGCTAATTGAGGGGCAGATAAACACATAGATCGAAAGGCAAAACTTAGATGATTTGATATTAAACTTGAATTTTATTGTAGTTCTTTTAGAGTGTGATCGGTTGTGTTTCGGATCGGAGATGGTTTACAGAGACAGTTAGAGATATACAGATATAGATGCGGATACAGCGAGCGTTTAGAGATACAGAATGACATTAAAACACTGGATAAGGATGGGGATATGGATGACTTGAGGGGATGAGAGTTAACATAATCATCGACTTTATCAATTATCATTCAGTTAGACATTTATTTGATTGGGCTTGTTGGTTGCTGTTGTTCTTATGTTCCTCTTGCTTGGCTTTTTCACATTAGTCACATTAGTCGGCTAGATCTATTTATCGTATATTTTTGCTCTGGTCAAAATTACACAAATAACATCTGGACTCTCTCGACACTTTTCTTTTTTTTTGTTTCAGTTTTTTCTATTATTTCTTACGTTTGCTTTAGCACAGTTTGTGGGAGTTTTCTTTGTTTGTTGGTTGCTTGCTTGCTCTTGCGGTTTACACATATAAATTGATGTAACTTTATCAATATCATTAGCAATATACATGGATATATAGATCATATATATATAGGGTCTAGGGCTATACAATTGAACGGATTTCTTTGAAGGGGGCTTTCAGCTCCGTTTCTGCCTGCAGCTGAGTTCGGTTTGCGATTTTTAAGACAATAACCAAGATTGATCTATTGTTATTGTTGATCGTTAATCGTTACATTTGTCCAGGTACTTTCGTAGCGCATGTTGTGTGTTTAAGTTAATTGCTTTTTGTTAAACAAACGTTGTTGTGTAGCCTAAAATTAAAAACTAAAGATGAGGGGTCGGTGTTTAGGTCAAGGTCAAAGGTCAGAGGTCAAAGTTCGAAAATGCTGATGCGCCACTTAAGATTGGATTGAATCCTGCGTGGATGAGAGAGCGATGGATGGCTTTCCGATGATGTTGATCTAATTCTACAATGCTCTATTAATAAGATATTTTTCGGCCTTTTTCAGCTGCTGGCAGAAGCGAAGCCCACAAACCCCAAACTTAAACTCAATTGCGACTCTTTAAGGTCGTATTTATGTAGATACACATATATATTAGAGAATATATTAATCGAAAAACAAACAAACATATCAAGAAATAATACAAAAATAAACGAAATTTACAAGCGGAAACTTTGCTTTCATGGACTTGATTGCATTTTGCCATTTACAATTACGGTTTACAGTTAGCATTTACAGTTACGAATTACATTTAACATCGAATGTGGTGACAGCCCTGGCAGCTCCTCCACTCGCTTGACCTGAGTTGTTTATTTTAAATTAAATTATTTTTTTGTTATTTTTTTTTTTAATTTTTTTGTTTTTCTCTTTTTTGTTTGGAAGCTGAACGTCGTAATATCAATTGTCGGCGAGTGAAGTCCCTAACCTTACATTTTCTAGGGTTGCCTCTTTGTGTGTCTGTATTTTGTGTGCGAGTGTTTTGTGTGAGTGTGTGAGGTAAACTTTGCTTAAGGTAAGGCTCAATTCAATTTTTTTTCAATTTTAAAGCTCCATTCCGAGAGGATTGGCTTTAGCTTTGTTGGTTAAATGCTTAACAATCATATTTTGGGGCAAATAGGCACGCATTTTCGTGGGGGTTATTTTGGATATATTTTGGATTTTGGGGGGATTTTTTTGGGTGACATAACATTATGGTAGACTTGGTACAACTAGCGAAAAAGGCGGTGCTCAAGAGGCTTGAAGAGCTCGGGTTCGTTAAAATATTATAAATAGTTCTTTTGCATATTTTACATAGATATAATTTGTTGATTATCTCGATTATCGATTAACTCGATTACGATTACGAAACAATTTCAAAGCACTTGTTGTGAGGGGAATTATTTTTGTTTTTTAGGCCACTTTTTGGTGTTCACAGCTGTTCATACACACACTTTTGTATATATATAACTGTTATATCTGTATATAATTATGTATATATATATTTATTTATATATAAATGAACTCGGCTTCAACTCGTTGATCAAGCAATAGACACACAAATATATAAGATTTACTTTGTTTTAGTACACGTTTGTTTGTATAAATATTCTTGGACTTCCGTTTTTTATGTATATAGTATAAATTACAAAAGTGTTGTTGTTCTTGTTAAACTGTAATAAGGCGCAAGTTGAAAGGAGTTGCAAAGTTTCAATTTTAGCAGCACTTTAAGGTCTTCGATTCCACCAATTCATACATCAAACATATGTACATTTGTCTCTACATTTATCTCTCTTGTTTTTTTATATATATATAATATTTAAATATTTTTTGTTCTTGTATATGTAGATTAGTTTTGCAAAAGATTTAACAAAGTGTAGATTAGCAATTTAGTTTTAGTTGTCAATTAAAAGATCTTTTTTTTGTCGTTTTAATTTTTGATTAAGGCAACAGCAGCTTACACAATTGTTTGCTCATCGTTTAAACATAGCTTACAAAGTATGGACACAAAAAAAAAACAAAAATTCATACATGTATTTTGTTTATATATACGGTATATATATATAGGTTTTATCACTGACTAAATCTAGTTTTTAGAAAAAAAATATCAAACGTCATATCGCATGGGCTTCCTAATTCTGCATCGAATTCTCAATTTGATTTCCCCTCCTTGCTAATCTCTCTCGATTGTTGTTTACACATATACATATATAAGCATAGTTAATATAATTTTTAAGGCTTCGTTGGGAGGAAAGAGAAAACAAAAACAAAAACAAATAGAAAAAGAATCGAACAAATTAAAATTAATAATTACTGATGCGGATGTGACTGCTAGCAGTTGATCACTGCTCATCTTCTTCTCTCGACTTGGTTATGTCGCAGGCGCAGGCTTGCAAATGGAATGTTATCGATATACCGAGTTATCGTATCAAAAATTGGGTTATGTACAGTTGTGCAAGTGCTTCTTCGTTTGAGTTTGTGTGCTCTCATCTCATCTCCTCTTCTCGATTCTTCTTCTGCTTCTGCTCTTTTGTCGTCCATCGTCCTACGTTCTTTACACCTTACTCTCCTTACAGCTCTTTAATGATAGTTACTTGTTAATTGTTTCTGCTTCTTTCTTCATGAGGTAGTTAAGCCACAGGCTGGATGCCGGCTCCAGGCGGACTTGGGATCAAAGGTTCTGGGGGTACATATATGTAAATCTGGGGCTTGGGGATTATATTCGAGTGGTCCATGATTGAATTGCGGGATGGGGGCCTATTGGAAGAACTTGGATTGCTGGGTTACCAAAAAAAAAAAAAAAATAAAGAGGTGACTTGAAAAATGTTGAGTGCAAATAAATATCAGAAAAAGTTAGAATTTTTGGGTAAATTATTTGGGAAATAATAGGGCCGGATTGTTATGGGTTATGGGTTGTCTTAGGGGGACTGACTGCGGCTTCTGTTTCTTTATCTTTGTCTGTACTCCTACTCCTGCTTTTGCTTAGTCAATGAGTGGCGATTAGGATTAACATTATTAGTTTATATAGGGTTTACGATGATGGCCTAGCACCAGTAGTCTACGTGGGCCCAGGCCGGCGGATCTTGCTCCTCTCCCAATTGCAGCTCCATTTCGAGTTCGAGTTCCACCTGCCGATCAAGTTGTGCTGGTGGCTCCTCCTTCTCTGCAGTAGGTTGCTCCCGCTGTTGCTGTTGCTGCGGCTGATCGAAGGCTAGGAGCAGCAGGTCGCGGTCCCTTTCTCGATCCCGCTCCCTGTCCGGCGCCCTTCCTCACGCCAGGCAACTGCCGTTGTTCATAAAGGCGGTGGCCGTGTCCAAATCCACATACTCGCCGCAATCCTCCACCAGTTGGGACATCAAATCGCTGGCATAGCAGCCGTTCTTCATCAGCAGCAACTGCTCATCGTCGTAGGGCGTCATCACACCCACACCTACACCTACTCCAACGCCCACGCCAATGTTGTGGTTACCATGCTGCAGGCCACCATGGTGGAAGTCCATCAGGTGATTGTTGTTATTATTGTTATTGTTATTATTATTATTATTCTGATTAACATTATTGTTTATATTTCCGTTAGCACTGGCGCCTTGATTCGTGTGAACCATGCTGAGGCTATTGATACCGCAGGGCGAGGGCAGAACACAGGCATGCTTGATGTCCGGAAAACCATCGCTGGGCTCAAAAAGGAACCTCTCGGCACTCAAGGCGGTGGTGTAGGGACTCTGCGAGTCCACCAGTTCGTTCTTGACAAACTCAATGGCGCTACTGCTGCTGGTGGTGCTGGCTATTGCGGTGGGCGTTGTTGCACTGGTGTTGTTGCTAGTGGCATTGCTGATGTTGTTGTTGCTGGTACTGATATTGCTGCTGCTGCTGCTGGCGTTGCTGCTGTTTGGATTGCTGCTGCTGCTGGTGGTGGTCAGGCCTTCGCAGTTGGGCACATAGTCGGAAATCAGACTGGGACTGGGAATGGGAATGGGATTCCCCTGCTGCTGCTGCTGATCGGCGGTATTCAACGATTGCTGGTAGCCGGCATGCTCAAACTCCTGGGCGCTCGGCGAGGGCTTGCAATAGCCATTGGGCAGTTGCTGAGCCATCGCTGCCGCCGTTTTGGAACCGTACTTAAACGTGGCTATCGAGGGTATGCTCTGTAGCCGCTGGTTGTTGCTGCTGCAGCCGGAATTTGCCACCTCGTTCGCCGTTTCTAGCTCCAATTCACTTAGATATTTCTGGGCCGGCGATTGAAGCAGCTGATTGGGCAATTGACAGCCTCCGGCGCGTTGGCAACCATGCGATTGCAGCATGTCCATCAGCTTCCGGCGCTCCGTTTCCAGCAGACGCACCTGGCTCTTCAGCTCCACATTCTGGGTGTCCAACACCTCCGATTCCTTGATCAGATTCTGGGTGCGTTCGCGCTTCTTCATCCGGCACTTGGTGGCCGCAATCTTGTTGCGCTCGCGACGCCGCCGCCTGCGGTCCTCGTCCTCCGGCGTCAGTCCCTTGGGCTGCGACGACTTCGTTTCGCTATCCTCGTCACTGGACTCCTCCTCCAGGCCGCAGTCATCGTCCAGATCGTTGGCGTTGCTCAGGCTGCCGCTGTAGTTGTTGTTGCTGCTGCTGCCGCTGTGTCCGCCGCCGCCGCCGTTGTGGTTGCTGCGCCGCGAGTACTTGGAGTGCGGCTGCTCCGAACCGGAGCTGGAGTCGCAGGTGGAGAGCTTGCGCTTGCTCTGGATGGACAGCTTGAGGCCCTCCTTGATTAAACGCGAGCAGGTCTGCAAAGGCAAAAGAAGTAAGGGGAAAGGTTAGAGGGGTTGGAGGAGATTTATGTATACATATCTATACCATTTACTTAAATTATTATTGCTCTTAAAGACAACTGTTTTAGATGATTATTGGGAACTGTTACTCCTTTATCTACACATTTTTACATTTATTTATTTTATTTACATTTATTTTTTCTTTTCTTTTTTTCTATCAAAAAAATATAGCTACCTCCTGTACTGATCACTGATCCTTCACCTTCACCAACTGGCTGACTTCCCCTTGAAAAGGTGGAAGTTGCAAAGTGAGAGCGTGGCACAGTTTTTGAGAGGCAGGCAGATATACATATAAATATGACGAATCGCGGCCCGATTTCTCGGGAGGAGATTATCTCCATCGGCATTTTCAGCTTTGTTTGTTTCTTTATTTGTTTTATTTGCCCGGTGATTTACTCCAGCGACCTTTTTTTAACGCTTTGGCTTAGGGCTTGGCACCTGGATTTGGGGACACTCGAGTTGTGTGCCTGAATTATAAATATTAAAGATAGAAATCTGCGACAATCACCACGCCCAAAAAGAGTGTTGTTCGCTGCCCTCTTTCTCACTGAACTGACAAGTGCATTCGGCACTCGATGAAGTGGGTGAACCCAAAACGGAAAATCGAAAACCAAAGCAACCTTGGATAGCAGCCAGCCTGCACTGGGTCAGTTCCATTTATGGAGAAGCTTAAGACCTGAGTGCGAAGCCAGGAACATATGGTCACAGCATTCGGAAGCGCCTGCTCTTCAAGGACTTGTTAATACATAGTGGTATGTATATAAAAATCCATAACTAAAATATATTAGAACTTTAAAGAAAATCCAATGAAACTTCTTCATATCTCATATATTATCTCTCATATCTCAGTAAAATCAAGTATCCCGCAATATGGCATCATTCAAAGGGGGCTGGGATGTCAAAATCTGGGCCCCTTCAATCTGCAGCAGCTCATTGAATTGTCGACCAGACTACCGACGCCACTTTTATCTTTATACCCTTTTGCAGAGGGTGTAAAAACTATAGCTTTGTTGTTTTTGATTTAGACTATATCTTACAATTGGATATAGAATATATTTTAAATATTTCGAAATTACCAATTAAAGTTTATAAATATTAGAAAACTTCCTTTGAATTAAGGTCAAAATGATACGAAAATCTCCATTATTTCAACTTTAATTTCAATGAACTGCAAAAGGGTATAAAAAACTTCGACTTTCCGCAAATATTTTCTTTCTTATTTTTTTCTTCTTCTCTTTTATTTTTTTTTTCGAGGTTTTTCCTTTTTTTTTGCGGATGATTTGTTTGTTGTCTGGTCGAGAAATTGTTCGGATGCCACTGATTACTGATTGAACGCGCCCTTCTTTTTTCAATGTTGCTTTGCGCTTCTGTTAATTTTTTCGGCACCGGGTCGTCGTCGTCGGGGGTTCCATTTGAATTTTAGGCACGCTGTGCTATATTTATTGACCCAGAAATCAGATAAATAAATTTCTGTGTGAGGAAAAGCGAGCGACAAGTAAAGAATGCCGAAATCGGACTCGAATTCGGAATCCAAAACAAAATCATAATAATCGCATGCGCCGGGGTCCCAAAACAAAACAAAAACAAAGCAAAAACAACCAAAAATCGAAGTTGCTGGCAAATTGGAGCCAATGCATGCATATATGACCATATGGTCAGCGTCGAATCGAAAAAAGTTGGACAAAGTCGGCTGGAAAATTGTGCAATTGCGTCGGGGGAAATGGTGCTGTGGATGTAAATGGATGAAATGGATGCGAATCGGGAATGGGGATGGTCGGCACAGGTTGCGGCTTCAGTCATCTTTGTATCTGTATCTCTCAATCAGTATCTTTGTATCTCGTTTTGTTTCTGTATCTGTTTTTGTATCTGTACAGACACAGACTGTGCGGAAAAGCCGAGCCTTTCTTTGCACTTCGCATCGCTGCAACTTTAGTCGCAAAAATTCACCCGAAAATAAATAAAAAATCGCAAATTTTCGGCCTCGCAAATTTGCATTTTGTTTGGCTTGTTTGCACTTTTGCACACATTTCTCACTCGTTTTGTTTGCCCTCCTTATAATTTCTCCCCATTTTGCATTTCGCCGTTCTTTTTCGGCAACATTTGTGCAAATATTTGGCGTGCAAAGGAAAAAAACATAAAAAAGGAAGGAAACCTTTGTTTAACCGATTAAATCGAGGTTCAACTAGGGGTCAAAATCCCCCAAATGAAACAAAGTTCGCTAAGAAAACTTGTAAAGCACTTCGAGAATTGTTAGCTAAACTTAAATGGCATAGTTAAAATTAAATTGAATGTCATAAGAATAAAATTCAAGTGAAATTTTGTACAACAACCTTTGATCTTAAGTTTCAAAAGCGAAAACAATTCATTAGGTTGAAAGTGCACATTGCAGGGAATATTTTTTCATGTGATTTGTATTTTATGGAATATATTTAAGAGCTTATTGTTTGTCTAGCTGCATATTGCAGAAAAAAGTTAACTGCCTAAGGACATTTCCAACTAACAATTTGACACAATTACTTATTTTCCTCAGTCGTAGTCCACCGCCTCATATATAGAAGCACTTGCAGTTTCAATCTGTTCGTTTCAATTTGGTCAGTTTCATTCATTCATTTATTCGAAGACTGTTTCGCCCACGCAGCGCACGCCGCCACGCACTCTCCACAGGCCAATGGTCTGTCCGTTTCGTTTGTCCGTAACTTTGTCCGTCCGTCTGTCCGTTCGACTGAATGACACCGACGTGTGGGCGTCAATTGCGAGACGCAGCGAGAATTGATTTCACTTTTGCGGCACAGCGTTCGAGTATTGCATCTGCATGTGAATGTGAATGTGAATCTGAATCTGCCTCTGAGTGGGGAGAATCACTCTTGACTGGCTGGCTGACTGACATTGGCCTTAATGAGGCACGTAACTGCGGTGGTGTCAACTTCAGCGATTAATTCCACAATACGAGTTAAAGGCCGCCTATTCGAGATCTCTGGGTTGTGCAACGAACGCATCCCTAGTCCCCCTGCTTCTCCTCGTTCTCCTTCTTCTCCCAGTAATAATTGGCAGGTGTCTATATGGCCATATCTATATATATAGCCATCCCCCATCTACATATATGTGTGTGCAAATGTGATTTATGATTATTACTTGAAACGAATCTATAGGCGTTGGATCGGCGCAGCTTTTAATTGCTGCAGCAAAGGGGTTAACAGAGACGGGGCATCTTTTCAATTTGTTTTCCAACAAATTTCTCATAAATTAGAGACGCTCATTTCGAATTTTGAATTTCGAATTTCGGTTATATAGTAATTGGAGGAAACAGGTTTGGTGCCTCAATTGCAATTGCAATTAGTTATTGATTGATAGATTGTTAGGAGTAAAGTTAAGTGGTTTCAGTTAGTTTTAATTTTAATTTGAATGCCCCAGGTTTTTTTGATATTGAAGAAAGACCCGAAACAATAGCTACACAGAAAAAATGGCATAGTACAAATAAATAATTGCATATTGAATTTAAAGATTTATATTATATATTTAAATTTAATGAAAAAACGTAAAATTGAATATAAAACAATTTTAATTGCATGATTTGATTTAAAAAAAATTGAATGAAGGTAGAAAATATTTCCTTAAATTTTACTTAAAAAAATTAATAAAAAATTGCAGAAGATAAAAAACATAGAAACAAATATTTAAATTTAATTCATATTCACGTTTGTTTTGATCAGTGTACTTAATTCCCATTTAATTCGCAGTTAATCGCAATTAAAGACCGAGGATTACATACCTGTTGGACGCTGGGCGTGGTGGCCGTGCCCGCTGGCGAGTCGAGCGGCGATCCGGAGCAACTGGAATGACTGCTGTCCTGCGAGTGCGACTGCAAAGGGCAAAAGAATAAGTATACGCCGTGGTGGTTGGGTGGTGTTCAAGCAATTCTCACCTGGCCGTTGGGATGACCGCCGTTGAAGTGACGCACGGTAACTACCGGCGTGGAGGCGGCACTGCAGGATGCCGACGAGGCGGCGGATGCGGAAACGGCCGCCGAAACGGCCGCCGCTGCCGCCGAACTGAAACTAAAGTTGTCCAGCGGATTGGTCATGGCGATCAGCGAGTTGAGGATCTCGGGCGTCTTGGGCGTATGGCCGCCCATCAGCAGGCCGCTTTGGTCGAGGCCGAGCAGCGAGGAGGCCGGTATGTTGGAGTTGAACATGTTGGTTAGCTGTTAGCAGTTGCACACGCGGTAAGTTAATAATAATACAAACTAATAAAACTTAATGTTAACAAACGGGGTTGGTTTTTTCTTATTTTTCTTCTTCTTTTTTTGTTATATATTCTTAAATCACAGTTGAAGGCCTACGCGTTGCATTGGTTGTTTGGACTGTCCAAAAAGTATTCTTTTTTGTATATATATATTTATATATTTTAGGTTTCTGGAGGCACACACTTTTCACTTTTCCGCTTATCACAAGTTCACCAAACTACAGTTCCTTTTTCGGTTTATTCAAGGGATTCATGGAGCAGAAGGGACGACTTTTGGAGGAATATGGCCGATCCATCGGTTCCATCGGCTCTAAATTCCCGACTTTTTGCTGTTGTTGCTCAGAGCGCTAAGGCCGAGCGAATGCGTTGAATGTCGAACGTTGAACAGCCGGCACATCGGCAGCGAATCTGCAAAAAAAACAGAAAGAGAGAGTGAGTATGTAAGAAGAGCGCCAGAGATATATTATATAGATATATTGTACGGGGAGGAAAACAGAGAGTCAAGTCGAGTCACTCACGAACGTGAGTCTGCCATGTCAACGTAAACAAAAGCAATTAAATTATAAAATAAACTCGGCTAAATTGATTTATGTAAGTCCCGGCGTGTCACGTGACCACCAAGCTTACAAATCACGATCTCGAGATTGATCACGCACCAAAAAGAAACAGTAACAGAAACAGAAAGCCCCACATCTCGCACATACTATTCAACATGCCTCAATTAAACCATTAATCGGCTAATTGAGAGCAGGCACACTTATCATATAGCCCCTACAGATCTACAGAGAGGGTGTAACTTATATAGAGGGCTTCAAACACACATTCCTCACGGGTTGTGCGAGGTGAAGGTGAGCAGAAGGAGAAACTGCAGCGAAATTCAGCATTCCTCGGCGGCAATTGAAACGGAATTGAAATGCAATTGAAGGCAATCATCCATGAATTCGCTTGACTCCCGAGAACCCCTAACCTAAACAGGGGCTGCAAATACATACGAAAAATGTGGGAGTCTTCTACTATTTAAACTCAGTTTAATGGAATTACATTTGTAAGGGTTAATTTGGAGTATTTTAGTAAAACTACCTAGTTATATATTAAATTATTAAAAAAAGAAAGGAAGATAGCATATCGTTCCCATAACATCTATGTGAAATCCGAATCAGAAGAGAATATGATAAGATATATGATATGGTGTATATAATATGATCGTCCGATTGTTTTAAAATGAATTTATAAATTCTGAAAGGTGAATCCCTGAAAAATAATGCTTTAGCCGGACTTTCCAATAGGAGACGACTTTTAAGGGCAATTAAATTACCGTTTTTGCTTGGGAATGATCTGTAATTACAAAGATATTTTAGAAAATTGTACTTTTTAGGGATCTTTTTTGTAGGGCATTCCCCAAGTCTATCATCCCCTTTCTGCCCCCCGAAACATCACTTTATTTGGCAGGAATTTCTGTGGTCTGTGGAGTTATTTCCCCCGAACATTTGTGGCATTTTGAAGATGAACTGTGGGTTAAAAAAAAGAACTAGTGGTTGGGCGCATTTTCGCTCAAAATGCAAATTGAGGCTGTCAAACTTCAAAAGCCGAAAAACAGAACACAAAAATCTCATTTTGGTTTTGTGCGCGATTTCTGTTTTTCTGCTGGTGCTTTTCTGCCTGCCTTTTAGCCATTTATCATATGGTATGGCCAAAAGTGTTTGCACTTGTGGTGGTTTCTCTGTATGTGTGACATGCTCTATAAGTTTTAGAGCCCCCCGTTTTTTCCCGGTCCGTTCCAAACCGAAAGTCAGTCAGCAGCAAACAACAAAACGAAGGTAGAATAAAGAATTATGATTTATGACTTTCGCATGTTTCTTTATTTTTATTCTTATTTTTATTTTTTCGGGGTTTTGTTGTTTTGTTTGTGATAGCTTTTAATGCCTTTGATGTGGCTTTTTCCCCCGTTTCCACTGCAACGAAAATCACTTTTGACATTCGGCTCGCACAAATCGCACACAAAATCGCTTTTTGGCTCGGCTCTCTTGGTCCGGCTTTGTTGCCAATGCTTATTTTGACCAAATGCGGCGGACGTCAAAATCAGCATCGGCGACAGCAAACTGCGCATGCGTGGCCTCCCCGTAGAACATTTGGGGTCAGGGCAGCCCAAAGCCAACTGAAACTGCAACTGCAGCTCTCAAAAAAGAGAGCTATTTTGAAAAAGTCATTGCAAACAAATATTAAAAAAAAAAAGAACCTTAATTTTACACCTAACTGTCTGACTTACTGCATTTATTTGAAAAAAGTCATGGTAATCGAGAGATTACAACAATATTTTATGAATTTGAATGCAGATGTGCCAAAGGTTTCCATTAGAGATAAGAAAAATATCAACATTTTGATATTGCTCGATATTTAATAGTTTTTTTTATTGAAAACATCGAAATTGTCGAAACCATATTGTGAAAATATCGAACATATCGATCATTTTCAAGCTATAGTTTTTATTACTTTTTTCTTGGAAAATATTTTGCAACTTTTTTGTATTTGCCTTAAACAGTTATTCTAAATATGTATAATATACCAATATTTTTATTTATTTCTAGCAACAGATATAATCTAACGACCAGGGTTTTTTTGAAGTCAATTACATTAAGCAGGCGCCCAGCAGGATTTCTCAGCACCTCCGCCCCCCAGAAACCTTTTAGCTCACTTGCCACATTGACATTCCAAAGTTGAATCGCTGCTACTTTGAAATAAAGTCATTTGCGGCTGATTTGTGGCTGGCATGTGAATTGCCCTCAAGTGTGCGAGTTTTTGCTGCCAGCCGCGATCGATGTCGAACCGATCGATGGACACCGGATTGAAGCTCACACAGCAAACACGGAGCAGCAAACAGAAGCAATCGCAGCGATAAAGATATATGGAGAGATCGTTTGGAGATCGAAGCGCTGGGGTGTCCCACCATCACCAGCACCACCATGAATATGCGATTAAAAAAAAAAACAGGCACAAAATTCCTGTCATCGTTCAACTAATCAGAAAGTACTAAAGAATTTATCGATGGGGTATGAAAAACACAAAATATTCTAACAAATAACTATTTGTTTTTATTACACTATTAATGGTATATCGTTAGCATCGATACAGGTTACCTAAGGGCATTACTAATCAACTTGTTTAACGATCATCATTCCATCATTCCGTCTTTTTTTACGAGCGTTAAATGTTATCGATTTAATTATGAGGTTTACGTTATGATTTTTCACACATTTTGCATAATATCGATATTATCGATAATTTATCGTGAACCGTCGATTAAATTGATAATCTTTATTAATTGTATCCCAAATGATATATCCATTACATCCCGGTTTATTTGAAATCCTAATGACAGCCTGATTCATCAGACATTGTTAGGCGATGTCACAACTTATCGGTTGTGAATTTGATTCGGTCACGTCGCCATCCGAAATATTCGAAAAGTGTGACTTGGGTGACTCAGAGACCGATTCGGAGTCCCGTTCCATTTGCATACGATTAGTCGTGCGATCGAATGCAAATGCAAATGAATGAATTGCGATTGCACAACGAGCATTAATTATTAATAACACTTCATAATTGCGATACATAATGCTCCGGTCGAGAGCCACGGACCTGCATTTATTTATCAACGGGGCGTGCGATGTGAAAACCGAAAGCCGCATAAGTACATTAAGCATTTGAGTTATAATATATAAAAAAATGCATATATTTTATACGAACGTTCATCTGTTTTGTTTCGTTTGTTTCGATTATTTTGCTACGTGCCTCGGTTTCACTCCACATTTCACACGAGCCAATTGTTGGGGGGAAAAGCCAAGCGGCACACACATATTGAGAAATTTTTCAAAAACATTTTCGAGTAACAGTTTAAGGGGTTATTGAAATGAAGAAATATCATGTGCGGATCGCCCCACTCGATTAAAAAAATTAAAGAAAATCGGGTATTCAAAAAGTATGCAACACAACATTTTTTTCTGAATAAACTAAATAGTTTTATAATTATTTATATTCATTTGCTCACAATCCAATCACTTCCACAATCGGAAGCCTGAATCACAGAGGGTTCTCTTCTGGTTCTCTGGATTTCCTAGATTTCTGCTTTTCTGCTTTTCCCTGCGTCATCGGATTCCATTTCAATCCTTTGCCTTTGTAATGGAATGAACACTTTGCCAACTTTGTTGTTGTTTCTCATCTATTTCGATTCTCTTATTCATATTCCGAAATGGCTTTCGGTTTGAGCAGCAAGTAGTAGTTGAGGGTGACTGAATTGGTATCTCTGTCTATTCTGGCCATAAAAATAAACTTTCATTGAAGCGGAGACAATCGCTGTACCTTCTTCTTTTTTCCTTCCTTCTTTTTTTCTGCTGTCTTGGCCGGGCTTAATTAAAAGCATTGCCAAAGCCAAACACAGAAAGGCCAAAGGCAAACACACCACACACAGCGAGTATATACAACGTATCTGGGTATCTGATAGATACGAAAAGCTATTCGATTCGATACGGCGTACGGTGCCGTTCTTTTTGTCAGCTGTTTTCCAATTAAGTGTCACTGCAGGCCGCAAATCGCAAATCTCCTCGAAGATGGCTACAAATTTACACTTTAATTAGGCATTTACATAGCTTGTATACAGTATATATATCTGCCTTTGATTAGTTTGCTAATTGCAAGGGTGGGGTATCTTTGTTTTGTGAGGGGGGCGGGGTGGGCTGGGATATAACCAATATAACCATAAACCCCAGCTTGGCCATTAACATAAAAGTTTACGAATAGACCCATAGACGAACGATAAGAAGATTGAGAGGGGGTTGGGGGTTGGGGGTTCTCAATTTCTCAGACAACCCCGCCTAAAATGGGCCGCGTGGCGATTCAATTAATTTATTATTCACTTAAGAGCGCCACGGGCAAACAGAAAAGCAGGATAGTAGGGGGTATTTTCCGTATTTTCCGGGGGTCGGGGAGATGGCATAAAAATGTTATTAAAATTAGAGGAGGAACGAAACTAAACTGGCCAAGAAGTTTTCGCACATTCCAAATGCGTCCCGCTGTCGTGCCAAAAATGTCCTGACTGCGGGTGGTGCAGGGGGTGGTTTTGGGTGGTTTGGGGTAGATGGTGCACATTAACTTATGGAGAACGCGTGGCGCAAGTTTTACAGTTATAAACATTTCCGCGCACGTTCCGGGCGTTAAACAGTCACAAAAAAATATATAAATTTGAAAATTGAATAAGAGAAGAAAAGGGGAAAACCGAAATGGGAAGTACTCTACCTTTTTTTTTTAAAGATTTTTATTTTTTATAAACTTATTTCATATAAAAAATGTTGGCTTAGATTTTAATTTTAATAACTTTTTTCCATGGTTTATTGAATTTTTAATCTGATGAAAAG